ACAAGTACAAAGTTTCATATATATATACATAGGATATATGAAATGATTAAATAAAAATGTTAAATGAAAAAAGTAAATATTGAGAAAAGAGGAAGGTGCTGACAGTAAATTGTTTTAAAGAGATATGGTTGTCGATGTAATTGAATTTAAGTAGTGAAAGTAGATGAAGAGGAAAAATGAAAGAAAAGGAAAAGTGTGAAGAAAGAAAGACCTTCACGAAAGGTGAGCCACTGTTGGTTGGTATATAAGAAATTCGATTCGACCATGGCCCAGAAAAAGCAGATTCGCAAGCTGATCTTTCCACATGCGTCCTCGTGGTATGTCGAGGAATGTCGTATAAGTTACGCAACTTCTGACCAATAGACGCCATGTTTAACTTCGATTTTCGAATACTAAGCAACATTACGTATTATATATATAGCTGCAAAATCATTGATATTGGTAAATATGACAGGGCGACGCGACCCATTGACGTTTTATAATTTATACATAATAATCGATCGAAATTCCTTATATTACCAGAGCAATTTGTAAAATCCTCAAATTAGAAAAAAAAATTGAGTCGTCTTATTTTGACCCAAATCTCAAAAGATTAATTAAATTTATAAAGTTGAATTTTTAGTTTTATTAAATTATTATCACTATTATTATTATTATATTATTAGAACTTTTACAAAATTTATATCTTTTGCTATTAGAACTTTTAGAAATTCGATTAAAATGTTTATTCGACTTTACGGAATTTGATCTTTTGAGATTTAGGCCAAAATAAGGCTACTCCTAATTTTTTTTGCTACTTATTTGTAATTTAAAAAGTAATTTTGAATTACTATTATTTTTTTTGGTTAAGAATCATGTCAAAATCTTATTGACAAAGAAATATAAAATAATTAGTGGAAGATCCTAATTGTGACACTTTGCAGGGAATGGTAGCTTTTTTTCGATACATAGCAGGGAAGGTTGGTTTCCATTGTCCCCACTCATCATTTGTTATAATTCTCCTCTACTACCGCACCCTGCTCTAGTAAAAATTTAGTAACTTTATTGTTAGAATTAAAAGTTACTATAAAATTACTAAGTTTTCACTAGAGCAGGATGCGGTAGTTGTAGAGAATTATGACAAATAATAATTTTGTTTTGTTACTAGAAAAGTAGTAGCCGAATTTAGATTATTATTAAGCAGTTAAGCTCATTATTATTCATCATTAATATTAAACAACCTTTTTTTCTTTCTTCACTGCGATCACAGAAAATTAAAAGGTATTAAAATAAGCTGCAACGCTTATTATTTTAATCCAATTTTGCTTATTTTAATACCAAAATGGATTAAAATAAGCAAAATTAGATTAAAATAATAAGCGTTGCAACTTATTTTAATGCCTTTTAATTTTCTGTGATAACTTAGTTTATCTCCTTTCAAAATTGAAATGCGCCATGTCAGAGTTATCTGGAAAAAATTAATTATTAACTTTAATTACTAATCAATAACTTTTCTTATTTTTTGAAAATTTAATTACTGTAATATTTAATAGTTTACCTTGTGTACAATATTGACTGTGTTAAAATGGGATATCCCCACTCGCCATTAATTTGTCGTAATTCTATAGTCAACTACCGCACCCTGCTCTAGTAAAAATTTAGTAACTTTATTATTAAAATTAAAAGTTACTATAAAATTACTAAATTTTCACTACAGCAGGGTGCGGTAGTTTATGAGAATTGTGACAAATGGCGAGTGAGGACAATGGGAAGCAACTGAACTAAAATAGAGAAAATCAGGGTGAGGCAGGTTTCAAAAATATAAAGATGTGACATATCTCGCACGTTCTACTGGATTTAGATTTAAAAAGATAATTTTTATCCAATTTTTGAATACAAATTCAATGAAAAAGAAATTTTGTTAATTAAGAATATTCGTCTGATTAAAAATTCTTTAATAGTAAATATTCTCCGTAGATTTTCTCGAAAATTTGATAGATTGAGCTAAAATTTTGTTAAGACCTCAAAAACAGTATAAATGATTCTTTCATTGTCATTTGTCAGAGTATATTAATATTTTGTTAAAAAATTTATTCTTAAAAAAATTGCAAATTTGGAAAAATGACTAAAATTGTACTGCCGGCATATTAAATTAATTTGCAATAAGATACATACATATTAATTGCTTATTATCAGAGCTTTGTCGAGAGAAACAGAATTGAAGTATAACCAAGTATATATAGTTTAAATTATGGAGCAGTGGAATGAAAAATTAGTTATTGTAATAACTTCAATATTATTTGTTAATGGAAAATGTTTGTCATGCTTTGTAACGCCATTTTTGTCACGCCTTTGGTGGTCTTTCTCAGATACATATATACGTCATTGTAAGCGGAAATAAAATGAATCAATTTAAATGCAGTTTTACTTGCATGTGTCATGACATACACTTTCACATAAACTTGTAGTTAATTCAAATTTAAAAAAAAAAACCACTCATTTTATAAATAATATGAATTCAAATTAATCAACAAAAAAAATGAATTAAATTATAATCAAAATTAATCATTTATAACATATTTAAAAAAAAGTACTGAATAAAAAATAAAATTGTTTAATAAATATTTTATGTAATTTTTTTTAATTTTAACTTAATTGTAAATTTTTCATTTTAAAATGAAAGTTTTTAAACAATTGCTCTACTATTAAATAAATGACCCCTTTTTTTGAAAAAAAAGAATAATAATTGTATTATCTTGTTTAACTCTTTTTTGTGCGTTATCTCCGTTAAATGCCATTAACTATTCATAACTATTTCCTTATGTTACTTTCTCATACCATAAAATGAAGAACTCATCTTTTACTGTTACGTAAAAACAATATATTTGGATTTTACAAAGAATTTATTGTAAGCTAAGCTGTCGAGGAGAAATTTCGAATAAAATTCGAGCCAATTTATATACAAATTTTTAATTTAAAAAAAAATAAAATGTATTTTGTTTTCAATACTAATTAATTTCTTTTTCTCGTTATTTTTTATTAATTTAGAAAAAAAATAAAATCATAAAAAAACAAGAATACAGTCGTTATTATAAAGAAAAACTAAAAAAATATTTAATTTAAATTTTTTGATAATTTAAAAAATTTTTTAAAAGAAAGATGAATATTTTTGTTAAAGTAAACTTGCTAATAAAAAAATAAATCTAACGAATTTTTTAAGTTTTTTTTTATAAACAAAACATAGGTATGTATATTTATATACAGTAAATTTTTCATTATGACAGTTCAAAAAATATAAAATGAAAGATAACTTTTCTTATAAGGCTACAAGAACTGAATTGCTTTTAATGAGAGATGATGATTGAGGTACATTTTCTGTTCTTCGCCAAGGTCAAGTAATTATTACTTCTTTTATTTTTTTAAAGAAATGTTTTCCCTTTCTTGAGTTCAGCTTGAAGTCATAATAATTCTTTAAAAGTTCAGGATCACCTTCGAGCTCGAGAGATGTTATAAATAAAGATATTTATAAATTAAAGTTGAAAAACTTGAAAATAATTTTATAAATTTTACTATTGAATTATATTACTAATATATTAGTGGTTTTTGAAAAATTCGAACATTTTTTTTTTTTTCATTTCATTCTGATAATAAGTATTACAGTGGTCTTTATTTTCAAAATTTAGGTTTTTTTTTGATAATTTTGACGTAAATGGACCAAAATTGGACCGAAAATTTTAATTTAAATATTTAAGATTAAAATATCGGTAATAGATCTTATTAAATTAAAATTTACAAATTAAAATCTTACAAATGAGAAATAGAATTTTTGAAAATAATTTTAATATATAAATGATTAAATTTTTTCAATAACGAAATTAATTTCTAATTAATTGTTAATTCAAATTTTATTTTTTACTAATTTTCTGTTTATCTTTCAAAAAACAAAGAACTTATCAACTTATTGCCCTTGAACTGTACTGATTACCAAATTAAAAAAAAAATTCCAAAATTACTTTCTTTTTTTTGTTGTTGAAATTTTTCTACACTTGTTAAGACACTCTTTTACCATCACTTCTGTTTCCGCTCTTTAGCATTTCATTTGAAGTTTATGTCAACGCTTCATCTCCTTGTCTTTACTTACAGACGCATGTCTCTATATGACCGTAAAAGTTGCCCAATGAAAATGTTGAGCGTCAGCGAAAAGAAAGCCGTAACCTTATGTAATTCAATATGTGCAGGCTTGTCCTGTGAACAGTATAAATATACAATTGAGAACTAGAATTATGTGTACATATTGAAAAATACTGGACATTTTTTAATATTTTTCAATTCTTTCAATTTTTTAAAAATATTTATTAAAAATTTTCATTAATTTTCATTAAAAATTATAATCCTCATTGTACATAATTCTATTTACGCGATGACGAATCTTCTAAACACAAAGAATTGAGAAATATATATAGAAATTCTTAGATGATTCCACTTTCTGAAATTTATATACATTTTTACACTTCTTTTCTGAAGGTTGTATAATATATATATATATATTTATATTGAGAAATATTTTTCATGACACGCATAAAATATTAAATCAGCAATTTTCTCGTTTCTTTTTTCACCTGGTTAATAATAATTATATGAATCTATAAATTAAGTAAAATTAAAATCAATAAATATTAAATCCCAATTATAACTGATAAATATACACACACGAGACTGGAAATCATCACGTGACTCTTATGTACTAAATTACATCACTTTCACGTACGCGAATCTTGAAAGAGAATGTATCTACACGAAGGTAATTAAAAGAAACGAAAAAAGGAATTTTTTTTTACTGTAATTTTATAAACCTATATAATTTTATTAAATTGCGAAAACTCTCGATCTTTTTTTTCGCGAGACAAAAGAAGTTAAATTTTAATAAATAGAAAACTTTCTCTATGACGAAGCAAAAAACTGAAATTTAAAATACATTTTTGAAACTTAGAAAATATATTTTTGGTTTTTTTTTTTTGCAGTGACGGAATTGCAGGAGACGGTGGAACTTTAGAGAATTCCAATTCATTTAAAAAAAAAATGCAAACCACAGAAAGTATAGACGGCGGTATAATGCCACCAGGTACACTTGCACTTATGGCAACTCCTGGAATAAATAATCCAACCTGGAGTCGACAACAAGCCGTAAGCGTAAGGCACGCATTTAAAACTTATGGAAGTAGCAAAAATCCAAATCATGTAATACAAAATCTCAGTATGACTGTTGCCAAAGGCTCGATGTAAGTACCAATTCAAATTTTTAAATATTATAATCCTATAGGGGGGGACGAAGCTGAAGTACGCAACGTTTATGATAAACGATTTTTAAAAAAATAATTAATCAACAAATTATAAAAAAAAATTTTTAGGCAAAAAATTATATAGAATTTTTCATTTTAAAAAATTATTTCTGTAAAAATCGTTTATCATAAACGTTGCGTACTTCAGCTTCGTTAGGGGGGCCTATTTTTTATTGGTTTTGTAGATGTTTGAGTTAATGTTTAGACAATTTCTGGAATTAAAAACTATTATTAATATTTTATTATTTATTTCTTTAAATGTCATTTACGATTTTTATTAACAATAATTTTTACTATTTTCAATTTTTAAAACAAAATTTATCTAATTTTTTAAATTTTCCAGCTAAAATTTGACTTACATTTAAGGTTATGTTCGTTTTTTGGTCATTTTTGACCAAAATTTAGTTTAAAATTAATTAAATTAATTATTTAGTTTGACCTAAATTTTGAGGTTATGTTTGTTTCTTGAACGTTTCCCGACAAAATAACTTAACCTTAAAATTTAGTTCAAATTCGGCGGAAAATCCACCTCTCCTTCAACGTAAGAAAGGAGGGGGGCCTTGCGACTATATCACGAAGTAAGAATAAGGAGTCTTCACTCCATGCGTGGATTGAAGGAAAAATTTTCCCAAATCTGGTACAAGCATTCCGGAAAATTAGAATAGTCGGAGGTGGCGTTCGTAACGGGAAAAACCTTAAACTATTGATTTCCCTAATTAAAATCGTCTGCTATTTTTGAAAAGTATATTATAAAATCACATAATTCCATATTTTTGAAAAATTAAGTAATTGAAGAAATAGTAAATGTTAAATATGAAATATTATTTGTATTTAAAAAGTCATTTACAAATTAATTAATTTTATTAATTTTAATGAAGTTCTTTAAAAATTCACTAACTTTAAACTTTTTTTTAATACACATTTTTTAACAATCAATTATTGTTTTTTTTTGTTTTTACAGTAATCTGTAGCTATTTAATTGTAAAAAAAAGTTTGCATTAAAAATCTCTTAAAATTGAATTAATTCGATCTAAGAATCTTGCTAATATATGACTTTTCCGAAATTCAATTATTTTTAAAATTATTAAAATTCTTTGTAAAAATTCAAAAAAAAATTAACAAAAATCATTAGATTTTGCATTTTTCAGCTATATTAACTCAATATAACTGAAAAATAATTTTTTTTTCAAAAATAATTAATTTTTAACAATTTTTGAAAATTTTGAAAATTTTGAATTTTTTCAAAAATTAAAAAAAATTATCAAAAATCATTAGATTTTGCATTTTTCAGCTATATTATATATATATTTCAGCTGTACTGTAAAAACAAGAATTGATTGTTAAAGAATGTGTATTAAAAAAAAGTTTAAAGTTAGTGAATTTTTAAAGAACTTCATTAAAATTAATAAAATTAATTAATTTGTAAATGACTTTTTAAATACAAATAATATTTCATATTTAACATTTACTATTTATTCAATTACTTAATTTTTCAAAAATGTGGAATTATGTGATTTTACAATATACTTTTCAAAAATAGCAGACGACTTTAATTAGGGAAATCAATAGTTTAAGGTTTTTCCCGTTACGAACGCCACCTCCGACTATTCTAATTTTCCGGAATGCTTGTACCAGATTTGGGGACATTTTTCCTTCAAAGTGAAGACTCCTTATTCTTACTTCATGGACTATATTCACAGTCGTGAAACGAACATAACCTCAGAATTTAGGTCACTTTTGGCGGGGAAATTGAAATTCAAAAGATTTTGTTAATTTTCAGACAATAATTAAATTTTACAGAACTAAAAATAATTTATCAAATAATTTTAGATAACATTTTTTAAAAGTAATTGAATTTTCAACGATTTATAATTGAGATTTTTGAAATTAATTGAACTACAAGTGATTTTTAATTAAAAATTTTTTATGATTTCACTAACAAAATTTATTAGAAATTGCGGACAAACATACAATAATTTAAAAACCATTTTTAATTGAAAAACGGTTTCAGATAGTTGAATTTTTAAAGAATATTACAAAAATAATTCAATTTTCTTAGAGTTATAATTGAAATTATTAAATTTCAAAAAAATTTTCGATGGAAAATTTAGGAAATAATTAAATTTTAGAAGCTTTTAAATCCAATTTTTGAAAATAATTGAATTTTAATTGAAATTTTGAATAATAATTCAATTTTTGATGATTTTTGATTAGAAATTTTGATAAAAATTATTTTTGAATGTAATTGAAATTTAGTTGATTTTGAATTGAAATTTTTTGAGTATAATTGAATTTTAGTTGATTTTGAATTGAAAATTCGGAAAATAATTAAATTTTATTTGAATTTAAATTGAAAATTTGGAAAATAATTGAATTTTCTTTGTTTTTGAATTGAAATTTTGAAAAATAATTGAATTTCAATTGAAATTTTGGATAATAATTTAATTTTAGTTGATTGTTGATTGAAAATTTTGATAATAATTAATTTTAAATTGAAATTTTGGGTAATAATTAAATTTTATTTGATTTTAAATTGAAAATTTGGAAAATAATTGAATTTTCTTTGATTTTGAATTGAAATTTTGGAAAATAATTGAATGTCAATTGAAATTTTGGATAATAATTTAATTTTAGTTGATTTTTGATTGAAAATTTCGATAATAATTAATTTTGAATTGAAATTTTGGATAATAATTAAATTTTAATTGATTTTGAATTGAAATTTTTGAAAATAATTGAATTTTATTTGATTTTGAATTGATTTATGGTTTTGAATTAAAAATTTTTGATATAATTTTATTTGATTTTTTTTAAAATTATAATTAATTTTTTAATTTCATAAATATTTTAATTGAGAAATATTTTGAAATAATTTAATTTGTAATGAATTTCATTAAAATTATTAAAAATAATTAATTTAGTGAAAAATTTTAGTTAAAAATTTGTTAAATAATTGAAATGAAGAAGATTTGCATTTTATACTAAAAAAAAAATATATTTTATTGAAAAAATTTTTTTTAAAATTTAAAAAAAAAGTCGAAATAGTCGCATTTTATTGATATAAGTCGAAAAAAGTCATATTTTTGAAAAAAAAGTCGTATAATCCGAGGCCTGAATTATCTTAGTACAAAACACAAATAAATTTGAGACCCCTTTAATAGCGTCCAGGTACTGGTGCTTTTACCTTAAATACTATATTCATTATTCTTTCGATTAAATAGCGATTTATCTCATTTGAATTGCAAAAAATAATTCAAAAAAAAAAAAATCAATACCTAAGAAAACATGTTGGCTTAGTTTGCATTTTTAAACAAACTTTTCAGTAAACAAACATTATATGAAAACACACACGCTGCTCCTTTTAACCTCTTGCATAATATATTACCGATGTAAATCGTTAGATGTCATAAGATTGTTGAGAAATCATTATGTGTTTCAAGGTACAATGCTCTTAAACTATATGATTTACCCACAAACTTTTTTATTTTATTAAAAAAAATATATATAATTAAATATTAAAGCGAGATCCTTAAAAGTATCAAAATTATTTTTTTTCTAGTATATTATGATACACTTTAAAATATGCTCCTTAAGGAAATCAAATTATTATGCAAGTTCTATTGGAATTTATATACATTATATAATCAAGTTTTCTTTAACTTAAAAAGCAATTCAAATTTGCATAATAGGAATCGTTACAATTTTTCTGAAAATAAATATATACAAATCACTATCAATCGCGGTTTTGAAATTGATATGACAATTCTGAAAATATGCATAAGAATATCAGGAGTTATTTTGTAGTCAATTTTTTTTTTACTTTGTTTTTTTTAACAATTACGTTTATGCAATAATTAAAGTCTTAATGGAATTATTGTTTGTAATCAATAAAGAAAATCTTACGTGATTCTCTATATATAAACTTGTCATATATTGCTTCATCAGAATAATTGATCCAATTATAATTAACCTTTTATAATAGGAAAAATTATTTTAAATATTTAATACAAAAATTTAAATAAATAAAATTAAATTGAAAATACAATTACTTCTTTTCCTGGGTGTTACTCAAAAATTTTCAAATTGTGTCATATTTTTATATTTTTCTTCTTATTTGGTTATTTACCTCTTTAAATCGTTAATTATTTTTCAATTTTTTCAAATTCTACTACGCATATATTTTCATTGCATCATTTTTCCATAAATCACAAACCTGTAACTTGCATATAACGATATAACAATAACCTAACCTCTTCACATCACACACTGGCACAAAAACTGTATTACGCTGTATATATAAGTTACTAATTATACTATGTTTCTAATTTACGAAACAATATTCGATTAATATCAAAATCTGTCTAATATACATTATTTTACTTGATTTTTTACGTTACTTTAATTTAAAACCAAATGTAAACAATGTGCTTTGCACGTCTCAAAAAAGCAGAGAAGAAATGACAGGTTCAAACATTTCGATAATCAAAAAAGTAATCGATAGCGGCAACTTCACGAAAGATTTCGAAAAACTGATTGTTTCACTGTTTACTTTTTATCTTTTTTAAAATACATAACAAATATAGAAAATTTGTATTCAAATCAAAATTTTTATTGATATCGTGGGAAACTTAAAATTAGTAATCTTATAGATTTCATGATTAATATCTATACTTCGTAATTCGTAAATGATTCCGGTAAGAGGAAAGCAAAATTTTATCATAAATTGGAGGTTATATGTTGTGACATAATAAACAGAAAGTATATATAAGAAAGTTTTTACCGTTTCCACAAAATAATAATAATGAATGACTAATATTATATTGATCAATTAAAATGGAACAAAAATTTAATACAACTTCATATTTTCTTATTATATTAAGTCAAGGAGAAAAAAAAATCAAATTATAATTTAAAAAGTACATGCGAATTTTTTTATGGTGAAAGTGCGAACAATTTTATTTATTTGACACTTTGAATCATTAAAAAAATTGCCATTGGATTTAAAATTTCTGCGATTATAATTAAACAATTCCAGTAACATGATTTAAAAATATTTTCATTTCTTAACCTCAATAATTTTTAACTATTTTAATATTTATTCAAATGAAATTTTTAATTGTTCAAAATGTCAAAAATAAAATTGTTTTTTTTTACTAAATATGTTCTTTAATTTTAACTTGCTTTTTGACCATTAAAATTTTTTTTTATTATATATATAATATTTTTCGTATATTTTTCAATATCAATAAATTATAATTAAATAAAAATAATAATAATAATAAGGATAATTTATTTATTTAACAACATACGGGTCAAGCCCTTTCGTACATAGTACTCTTACAATCTAAAAGTTGCAAAATGCGCAACTTGTTTTATATAATAAAGCCATTCAAATAACGCTAGGCAATCTCTTTCTGACTTAAAAATCTAAAATATTTCTACGTAGTAATGTAGTGAATCCTGACAAATTATTATTAAAAAAGTCGACAACATTAGAGATAGAATTAGCCTCTCTATTCAATCTATTTACTAAAGAGTGATATCCAAAATTTGTTCTATGAGCTGTTTCCAAAAAAAAGTCGAGGTGCATGATTTTTCACAAAAATTAAAAAGGTCGAAAATTTAATTGATCGAATTACATTAAGTCGATATTTTATTTGAACGAAATTCTAAATGATCGATATTTAAAGTGGCCAATATTTTATTTAGTCAATATTTTATTTTATCGAAATTCTAAATGATAGACATTTATGAAGGTCGACATTTTATTCAGTCGATTTTTTATTTGGTTGAAATTCTAAATAACCGACATTTATGAAGGTCGACATTTTATTTAGTCGATATTTTATTTGATCGAAAATCTAAATGGTCGATATTTAATGTGGTCGACATTTTATTTAGACGATATTTTATTTGGTCGAAATTCTAAATGATCGACATTTAAAGTGGTCGAAATTTTATTAGTTCGATATTTTGTTTGGTAAATATTTTAAATGAACGACATTTAAAGTGGTCGATATTGTATTTGTTCGATATTCTAAATGATAGAAATTTAGAAGCATCGAATTTTATATCCATCGAAATTTAATTTGGTCAATATTTTAAAAGCTCGACACTTTTTTAGCTATACGAGTTTCCTTTCTATGTAGTTTGTCGGTAAAGTACATTGAAATTTTGCGGGAAATTTGAAATTATTGATGTAAATAATAATAACAACATAGAGAGGAAACTCGTATAGCTAAAAAAATGTCGAGCTTTTAAAATATCGACCAAATTAAATTTCGATGGATATAAAATTCGATGCTTCTAAATTTCTATCATTTAGAATATCGAACAAATAAAATATCGACCACTTTAAATGTGGATCATTTAGAATATCGACCAAACAAAATATCGAACTAATAAAATTTCGACCACTTTAAATGTCGATCATTTAGAATTTCGACCAAATAAAATATCGTCTAAATAAAATGTCGACCACTTTAAATATCGAGCATTTAGATTTTCAATCAAATAAAATATCGACTAAATAAAATGTCGACCAAATAAAATATCGACTTAAAGTAATTCAATCAATTAAAATTTCGAACTTTTTAATTTTTGGGAAAAATCATACGCCTCAAAAAGTCTGTAATTTCTAGTCATCGTTGTAGGGACAGAGATTTTAAACATTGATAATAAATTCGGACAATAAATTATACCACTCAATATCTTGTACAAGAATATCATATCATTATACAGAAATCTGGATGCAAGCAACGGAGTACCAAATAATAGTCTTAAATCACTGTAGTCATAATAGTAATAAAAACAAAAATTTTTTTAAACTTTATTTTAATATAATTAAATATTGTCCTTCAATTCGTTTCTAAATGTAAAATGTTTTTTCGAAAATATCAATCGTCAAATAATGTAAATTTGCAAATTTATAGAAAAATATCAAAAATTTTAATTTCTTCAAAGACGAAAAATCGCTTTTAATTCTACAAAATTTCCATTAAAATATGTACTTTATCAATAAATTTCTTTCTCAAGGTAAAATATTTTCTACAAAAGAAAAATTTTTTAAATCTGACAATTTTCGATTTTATACTAAAAATTCATTATTTAAAATTTTGCCAAAAAGTAAAAATCTTAATGAATTCTACAATTTTTAATTAAATATATACAGTCAATCGATTCGTTTCGAATCAAAGAATTTAGTTTTTTTTTTTTATTAGAAAACATTTTAAATAGAAAAAAATTTTATTGTAAAAACTGAACTTGTTTAAAAGAAAAAAAAATGCTCGACAAAATTTTTTTCCAATCTGATGAGAAGAATAAAAATCATAAATTCGTACTTTGTATTATAAAATAGGAAATTTTTTTTTCTCCGTTCTACTGTGGGGGAAAAAAAATAATGTTTAAAAAATTCATCACTATTGAACAATGCGTGTTTTAAGCTATATATATAATAATTGACCTCTAGCAGTCTTTCTAAAGTCTTTATAGATGTAAACATTCTTTGCTAATACTTGTACCTTTCTATCAGCTGTTCATGAAGCACGTTGACCGCATTTACTATTTATCAACGGTGAAAGCAATACAACTTAATATATTGCTTCCTACTATATAACAAAACCAATAAATGAATAGAATTACGCACAAAATTTTTCACAAAATTTTATATAAACATCCAACTATAATTTTTCCGAATTTTTTGAAAAAGAAAATTTTATTTTTAATAAAAAAGAGAAAATAACAATCTATTTATAGACAATATTTAATTATATTTTTCTTCTTCTTTACATACTAAACAGATTCTCTAATTGACATGTAAAAAGAAAGCACGATCAATAAATATATAGTTTCCTATAAATAAATTTTTAACGGTAATTAAGGGACCAAGGACAATAAATACAGTATACCGCAATTATCTAAAATATAGAAAAAGAAATACTAAAAATCAATTATTTCTTTTTTTTTTTGTATTAAAAGAAATATTCTAATTTTTTTGTATTAAAAGAAATATTCTAAAATCGAAAATTATATTTTTAAACTATACAACAATATGTTATATAAAATAAATAGAATTCATGAGCAAAACTTACATAATATTAAAAGCAATCACTAAATTACAAAATATTTATATCTATTTCTTTTATATATACAATTATGATTATATAAAATAAATTATAAATTTAAAACTTATCGTTTCATTCGTAATTTCTAAAAATCATGAAATATATATGAATATTATAAAACAGTTATGTTATTAAACCTATTAACTCCATTAATATTATCATGTTATTAAAAAAATTTTAAATATAAAAAATAAATATAATAGTTTTTAAAAAAAATCAATTTTTTCCATGTAAATGTCATTTTAAAATAAAGAAAAAAAATAATGGACAATTTAATTATTATTATTTAGAAATTATATATGAATTAATTTAAAATTAAAAGAAATATTCTTGTTTTTTTTATTTGCAGATACGGTCTTTTAGGTGCTAGTGGCTGTGGAAAAACTACCTTACTCTCTTGCATTGTGGGAAGAAGACGATTAAATTCAGGTGAAATATGGGTATTAGGTGGCAAACCAGGCACAAAGGGATCGGGAGTGCCTGGCAAAAGAGTAGGTTACATGCCTCAAGAAATTGCACTCTATGGAGAATTCACTATCAGGGAAACCATGATGTACTTTGGTTGGATCTTTGGCATGTGCACCGCAGAAATCGTCGAAAGGTTACGATTTCTCTTGCAATTTCTCGATCTTCCTTCACAAAATCGTCTTGTTAAAAATCTTAGGTAAATCTCATATTATATATTTCTATAATTATACAATATTTTTCATTTAATTTCATGAACTAATAGGTATCAATTCCTCGGTTGTACCTTTTTTTTATTATTTGCTGTATTATTTTTTTGGTTTGTTATTTATACTTATTTTAGTTGATTTCGATAACTGTTTTCTTAAGTATATAATTACAGGGAAAGAAATGAATGAATTCCAAAAACAGTACAGCTAATACCAATATTTTCCTACTTCAATATACTTAGTGATTTTTTTATTTCTTGAACAATACCTAGCAGAATTTGTTCAAAATAAACAAATACCAATTGTTAATGCACTTAATGAATATTTGGAAGATTATCAGAATAATAAACTCCAAGAAAGTTTAATTAATAAGAAACTTGTTAAATGAAAGTGATCAGTATAGAGAACAAGAAGACGAATACTTATTTTAGTTGATAAATATTTTTTAAATATATATATATATAAATTTAGATTATTTAAAATTTTTAGAAATTTTAAAGCTATTATAATCTAAAGAAGTTATCGGACCTTTAATTTCAAATATTCTTAATAAATTATCAATGTACATAAAAATATAATAATAATAATATAATTTAATAAAGCCATATAATTTAAAAAGTAAATAATATTAATAATAATAATAATAATAATATAGAAAAATAAATACTAATAATTAATTAAAAAAATCATTTTCTTTTTCTATTTAAATTTTCATTATCTTAATGCAGTTTTTTAATTTGTATTAAAAAGTATGTTAGTTTTATTATTGTCATGAGGTTTTAAAGGTCACAGAGAATTACTGTGTATTTAAAATAGACGCAAAAAGAAGTAATTGAAATTAATTAATTAATCAATTAAAAGTATAGTAACTTATTTTCAGTATCTCAACTCAAATGTCGATTAATTTATGAAAATACATAAACAAATATTAAAGAAGCAAAAAAAAAGAATTTTTTACAAAAAAATCACGAAAAACTAAAAATTGATTTAAAAAATATGATTTTTTTAAACATAAAATCCATTATTGTGAGCCTGAAATTTCGATTTAAAATAATTTTGTAGGTAATTTGTTTAAAAAAAACTGATTTTTGAAATTTTATATTTTTATTAAATTTGTGATTTATAACTATTATAATAGAAGATGTTTAAAATTTTAAAAACTTAATAAATATTAGAAAGATGAATGAATTTCACACAAAGACTAAAAATCGTGATTTATTTTTCGTATTTCAAATCAAATGTCGATTGATTTTTGAAAATGCACAAAAAAAGCATTGAAAACATAAAAAAAATCGAATTTTTAAAATTATTTTAGTCTCAGATTTAATAAAATATGCATTTATTCAATAAATTTATTTATTTCAGTGGCGGTCAACAAAGAAGAGTCTCTTTTGCAGTGGCTCTGATGCACGATCCAGAACTTTTAATTCTAGATGAACCGACCGTAGGTGTAGATCCACTTCTAAGGCAAAGGTGAGAAATTAAAAGCAAAATAAAAAAAATTCAAGAATAAATATCTAGAAAATTACAATCATACATTATTGAGAACAATTATTGTTTATAAGAATAAATTAATGAATTAATTAATAAAGAATAGTGAAACTTGAAGGATGTAAATATATATCGACCACTTTCCTTTGATTAGGATCATATAATACAAGTGTTAATGATCTTTTCAAGGAGGAGAAATTTTATTTTGCCATGCAACATTTAATAGAAATCACTATATTTTATATATATATATTGGAATGTTAATAATAGATTTATGGAAAAAATTGAAAAAATATTAAATCATTAAAAAAATATAATAAAAAGTGAAAGTATAGGTAATCTTTTAAACATATCATCTATAAAATAAGAATAATAAAAAAAAATCTGCTACAGAAGTTATGTTTTACAGATCAAGTCGAATTTGCGATTAAAATTCTAAAATCGATCTCTCATTTAATGTAGAATATTTAGTGATTTAGATATTCATAAACAAATAAATATTAATAATAAACTGCAGCATAAAGTTTAATTTTCAATTTTTTAAAAAAACGACAAATTATCAAAAATAGAAAAGACAACTTAAAAAATCAATTGAAACTTTTTGAAAATGTAATAAATTTTTTTAATTATGGTATAAATATTTTGTAAGATCTATATGTTTAAAATTTTCTTTAGATTCTTTTAGAATTTCTGAAACAAAAAAATATTCAAATTAATTCCTGAGAAAAAATAACTTTTTAAAAATCATGTTTCTGCTGGTTTGGATTTTTTTTCTATTTTTTAGTATCTCAGTAAAGGAACTCTTAAATAATAACTCATTATCGATCAATAAATTTTAGAGTTCGATGTTATTATTATTAATTATAGTAATAATTCTCTATGAAATTAATATTTATATTTTTTTAATTTACAAAAATTAAAATACAAAATATTTTTCTTTAAACAGGTTTTTTTATATACAAAGTACAAAATGTAAAAGTATGTTTCCAAATGAAGAGAGAGAGAGAGAGAGAGAGAGAGAGAGAGAAAAAAATAGTCTTCGATTTTTTTCTCATGCAATTCACATGCGACTCGTTGTATTTAAACCATATTTAAAATGACCGTGAAAAACCAGTTTTGCCAGCACAAAAATAATAATAAAAAAAAAAATTTTATATGTAAAATAACTTCAAAAAATATTCTATACGTATATTTATAAAATGTACTTTAATTTTTTTGTTGAGTATAAAAAACTTAAAATGTAAAGAAAAAAAATAAAGAAAAATACAAAATATTTATTCACGTAACTATGAAATTTAAATTATAAATCTTCTTCCTGATTGAATATGAAAAATAGATTTGATTATATGAAGCGAAGCGGTTGATGAACAACGATTGTACACGCACAAAAGTACGATTTGCAATTTATAATAAGAGACGAGACTTTTACTATTCGTAATCGCTTTCAATTTCCTTTTATTATTAGAATTTCAATATTTTAGTAAAAAAAAAAAATAATAAATAATAATCTGTGAGAATTTGTTCACAAGTTTTGAAATAACGTATAATATTTTTCAAAGAAATATCCTTCAAAATTATAATTAATTCATTTGCGAGTAAATAACAAGACAATGAATGCCTTTTGACTAATTGACATATTGATACAGTCACTTTTTTTTTTTTTTTTTTTTTTTTTTTTTTTGTCAGCTAGACGTTGATTTTCAATGACATAAATTTATTTATTCAAGAAGCAATATTCTTTTAATAGGAGCTACGACCTGCAAAAAAAAAGAACTTTTAGTTAAAAGATCAACCAAAATGAAAAAAGAAATAGAAAAGAAAAAGATTAAATTCTATAAAGAGAATTATTTTTAAAGCATGAATAATCTGGTCATTTAAAACTGTCTGGCAGATGACAAATGAGGAAGGACAAAAAAGGTATTTGAAAAAAAAAAAAAAATGAGGACACAAAATTAGGAAATTAAATATTTATTTGAAGAAAATGATTAATTGAAAAAAAAAATAGTTTGGCTGTGATAAAAAATAAAAAAAAACAACAAATAATGTTTAAAGGAATAAATTGCACTTTGATAAAATTTAAATAATTAAGTCCATATTACGTCAGATCATTAGAAAATTAAATAGGAGACGCATACTCCATCCGGAAGTTTTTAGCGAGATTACAAGGATCAGGTGTCAAGGTACAAAGACACTTTGAAATGAAAGAAAATATTGAAAAACTCTTTTATCGTGCAAAACAGATCGTTAATAAAACATGAGTTCTTCTCAACGATCTTTTTTTGAATGCTTCACTTATAGTTATTATTTTATTTCGAGTTCAAATGCCAGACAATAATTTCAATAAAAAAAAAAAATAATATGTAATTAAAATTTTGTTTTTAAATATATTTTATTTAATTATTTTTTTGATTTCAGTATTTGGAATCACTTGGTTCAAATTACCAAAGATGGAAATAAAACAGTTATCATTACAACACATTATATTGAAGAAGCTAGACAAGCACATACGGTAATATATTCTGTTTGATTTTTTTTTCACTATTTTATTGGAATTAAAAATTATTTTTTTTTTTTGTAGATTGGTCTTATGAGAAGTGGAAGATTATTGGCAGAAGAATCGCCAAGGGCTCTTTTACAAATGTATAGTTGTTCATCTCTAGAAGATGTTTTTCTAAAACTTTCCAGAAAACAGGGACAATATGTTCCACCTACAGAACTTAATATTACTAATAATACTAGTTTGGTAAGAAAAATATTTTTTTTTTTTTTCTATAAATTTATTTTCAATATAAACTATTTTTAAAAGTTAATTTACTATTCATAATTTGCTATGCAAATAGTAATGAAATGTTATGTATTTTAAAGAGGCTGAAAAAAGCTATTGATTACTTTGCAAAATATAATTTTTAATTTAAAAATCTATAAAAAATTTACATAACTTTTTTTTTTTAATTTTTTTTTTTCATCGAAACATTTGAAAAATGATTTAAAAAAAAAGTAATATATGTTAATAAGTAAATTATATAAAGTTGGAATTGAATTTGTGATTATTTTTTTTTTTTTTTAGCATTATATTGAAAATATATTAACAAACTTTTCATCTCGTTTATCATCAGGCTTCCTTAAACTGGGGCAAAAAAGACGAACCAGTCTATGTGACGGAGGAGTCTGGAGTTATTGGCCTCAACTTTCATCAGAGTAAAGAAATCCTCATTCACGATACAACCAATGGAGTAGGAAGTCATTATGACGTAAGTATAAATTTCGAAATTTTCTATTGACTTTTTTTCTTTTCAATTTTATTCTATTTGGTAAAAAAGAAATACTTCGATAATTATGCAAATAATGCGTATATTTTTTTGTTAATTAAATTATTATTTTTATTTCAATTAATTATTTTTTATCGTTAATTTAAAATTTTTAAAAAAACTTGATTTTAAAAGAATTTTTATTTTAAAATTATAGTTAAATGGCAAACCCCTACCAGGAGTCAAAGGAGACTCGACAGTGGAGTGTGAGGATTGCGATTTTTCTGATTGCTTCAAACTCACAACTACAGGAAAGATCAGAGCCCTTTTACAGAAAAACTTTCTACGTATGTGGAGAAATGTTGGGTAAGTATATTTATATATATATATATATATATTTATTTGAGTGTTATTTATAAACTTGACTGACCTAATTTATTACTTTGATTAATTTTAAAAATTACGAAATTTAGCAAACAATTCTTCCTCAGAAACGAGGAATTTCTTAATATTTTCTACCAATTTAATTTCAAGTCATTTAAAATAAAACGTAATTTTTTCATATTCAGAATTCAAAAGAATTTAAATTATTTAATTCAGGGCTGCAATGACTGAAATTATGATTTAAATCAAAGGATTATTTACATTTAATCAGGATTGCCGAGGATCAGGGAAATCAGGAAATTTTAGAAAAAAAGTAGTGGAAAAATATCAAATTTCTAAAAATGTTACTAATATTACAATTTTTGAAATTTTCAATTCAAACTTTTGCTTTTAAAAATTATTGTCTTCATCATAAATGAGAAAGTATTCATTTTGGTCGATTTTTTTTTTTTAATAATTTGAAAACGAAATATTTTCATTAAAGTTAGAAAAAAAATTTAAATTCTGACCTAAAATCAGGAAAAGTCAAAATAAAATTTTTATCGCAACTTTGATAAATTATGATTTGAATCAAAAAGTTGTCCAGCGAAAATCAATTTTATTATTTTTAAAAAATCTGCAATTAATAGATAATATTCCTTTATGCACCTTGATTATTATTTAAGCATTTATTTCGTAAAATATCTTTTATTTATTTTTTAAAAATAATTTTTATCACAGAAAAAGTAAAAATATATTAAATACATTTTTCAAAAAAAAAAAAATACTCATTTTTGAATATTCTTTATTGAGAAAAATAAGAATTTAAAAATTCTTTAGAGTTTAATTTATATAAAAATTGCAATTATATTTCCGGTGAAATTTTCATAGAATCTCGTCGAATTTTAAAAAATTCTGATAATAATAAAAAATTTAATTTATATTATATTTTTGTTTAATATATCTTGAATAAAAAAAAAAAATTTATCACTGTACAAAAAAATTGAATCCGTAATTTAAATATTTAGGTGAATAATTTTCTAATTATTTATGTTTAGAGAATTTTATTATTTTTCGTTTTTTAGTTTTTTATTTTACAAAAATGCATTTTATATATATTTTTTACTTATTCTGTGATTTTTACTATACTTCCAAAACTAACCTAACGAAAAATTATTTTCTAAAAAAATAAAAGATATTTTACTAAATAAATTCTTGAATAATAATAAAGGTGTATAAAGGATTATTATATAATATTGATTGCAGATTTTTTAAAAATAATAAAGCAACCCGGTCTAGATGATTTTCGCTGGATTTATTTAAACAATTTTATTATTATTACAAAGTTATTAAAGTTGCAAAAATCACAACCGTATAAAAAATGTTCTTTTTCGATAATTTTAATTCAAAATTTTTTTATCAGTTTTCATATTTTTAAAAAAGTTCTAATATCTAATTCAAACTTTTTAAGATATAATATTAGAAAATTGACTTTTTAGAAATCAACAATTTTGAAGAGTATGAATTGCATTTTTAGTCTTTAATTGAAAAATCTTATTTTCTTTGATAAAAATATAAATATTAGTTTGATGCTTTTATTATTAAATTTATCGTTTAAATAATTTATTAGCAAAAACAAATATAATAATTTGGAAAATGAACTTTTGTAAGTGACGTAAATAAAAAAGAAATTTGATTTAAATAAAAAAAATACAAATAAATAGAAAAAAAAGGATTTTTTTATTTTATAAACAAATCATAATTTTTATCAGCCCTGAGAATTAAACAAATTTTAATTCTCGTTTTTTTCAAATTTAAGGATTATATTACATATTTGGGGCAAGATTTTGAATTTAAATTAAAAAATGAATAACACTTGAATTAGAATTTTTTTTTAAATATTCAACAACTTATTTGGATAAAATTAAAATGTAAATATAATTTTCAGAGTGATGTTATTTATTTTTGCCCTGCCCGTAATGCAAGTTATACTCTTTTGCCTGGCAATTGGAAGAGATCCAACAGGACTTAAATTAGCCATAGTTAATCACGAAATGTTTTATGAAAATATGAGTTGTCCAGTTTCAGAAGGATGTAATTTTACACAACTCAGTTGTCGATATTTAAAATTTCTCGATAACGAAACAATGGTGAAAGTGAGTTTTTATTTTTAAAAAATGTTATTTAACAAAAAAAAAAATATTCATTACGCAAATATAAAATATAAATTTTTTTTTTCATTCATTTAGGAATATTATCCGGAACCTAAAGTGGCAATGGAAGCTGTTCGTCGTGGTAACGCTTGGGGTGCACTTTATTTTACGGAAAATTTCACCGACGCTCTAGTTGCAAGAATGGCATTAGGCAAAGACTCGGACGCTGAAACTTTAGATCAAAGTGAAATTCGAGTTTGGCTTGACATGTCCAGTAAGTTGAAAATTTATTTTATTTTTGAAACGAAAATTATCTATATATATATATATATATAAATTAAAATAAATGTTAAATGTTAAATTAAATATTTTTATTTCAGATCAACAAATAGGTTTGATGCTAGCGAGAAATCTTCAATATTCATATCGAGATTTTGCTAAGGACTTGCTGTCAACTTGCAAACAAAATCCAAAATTAGCTGATGTACCAATTCAATTTAAAGATCCAATTTATGGGACTAATGAACCCAGTTTTACTGATTTTGTTGCTCCTGGTGTTATTTTAACGTAAGCATTGCGATTCGTTGATATTTTGAAATTATTTTCAATTTGAATTGAAAATAAAATTAATTTTCAATTTTAATGATATTTATTTTAAAAAAACAGCCTCATTTGGGAAATTATTATTGATAATAATAAGATAATATAATAATATATTAATAATAATAATAATAAAATTAATAAAATACTTTTTCCATCATTTTAGTATCGTGTTCTTCTTGGCTGTTGCTTTAACGTCTTCAGCTCTTATTATTGAAAGAATGGAAGGTCTTTTGGATCGAAGTTGGGTAGCTGGTGTGTCTCCGGGAGAAATTTTATTTTCTCATGTTGTTACACAATTTGTTGTGATGTGCGGTCAAACAGCTTTGGTTCTTATTTTCATGATCATTGTCTTTGGAGTCGAATGCAAGGGTGAAATTGGTTTTGTTATCGTCCTTACAATTCTACAAGGCTTGTGCGGCATGTGCTTTGGTAAGAGATCAAATTGTTAAAAAAAAATTTTTTTTCAAATTAAATATTCAAAAATAAAATTAATTTAGTTCTTAATTTTATTTAATTTTTAATTTAATTAAGTTAGTCAAATACAATAATAAATAGTTTTCATATTTATAAATTTATAAATAGTTAAATATTGAAAAATAAAATAATTAATTTAGTAAAATATATTTATAAATAATTAAAATTATTGTTTAATTTTAAATAAATATTTACAGGTTTTGTGATCTCAGCGATTTGCGAACTCGAAAGAAATGCCATTCAACTAGCTTTAGGCAGTTTCTATCCAACTCTTCTTCTTAGTGGTATGTATTTTGAGTTTCTAATATTTTCTCATTATAGCTGAAAATAATTTTAAAATATGTGTGATAATAATAATTATTCACACAGTTATTTGAATTCGGGATTTTTAAAAATATTTTATTACAAAATTTCATGAATTTTCCACAATTTTTCAGGAATGAAATAAAATAATTTCCATGATATTTCAAAAAAATGCTAACAAAAATATAAAATGACAATTTTTAATTAAATGAAAAATTAATTAAAAGCAAATTTGGTTAATTGAAAATTTAACGAAATGAAAGTTTTATTGAATGCAAATTTTGTTCAATAAAAATTCATTCAAAAGAAAATTACGTCAATTAATTAAAATTTTGTCAACTGCAAACTTATTCAAAAATTAAAATGCAAAATTTTTCGAAATAAAAATCCGTTTACAAGAAAAATTCAGTAAATAACAATTCGGTTAAACAAAAATTCTGTTAAATGTCAATTTGGTGAAACAAAAATTCATTTTGAAAGTAAATTCAGTCAAATAAAAATTCTATTACAACAATAGAAATATTCTGAAATTTAATTAATTATAATAATGATTTAGTCAAATGAAAATTTTATCATATTAATAACAATTTAGTTTAATGAAAATTCTGTTAAATGCAAAATTTGATTTAATAATAATTCTTTTTAGACAAAAAATTCGGTTAAATATAAATTGGGATAAAAGCAAATTCGGTTTAGAAAAATTCAATTATATGAAAATTTGATGAAATGAAAATTATGTTGAATAACAATTTGATTGACTAACAAAAAATTTTTAAATTAAAATTTAATTAATTGCAAGTTTTATGAAATAAAAATTCAGTGTAAAATAACAATTGGGTCAAAATTAAATTTGATTGTCATCCGTTTAGTAGAAAGTGGAGTAATAAATTGAATAAAAATAAATTTTCATGATTTAAACAAAAATTTTATGAATCAAAATGAAATTCAGTAAAATTTCCCTTCAATGTTGTGAAAATTCTGTAATTGGGAAAAAATTTTTTTATTTTACATAATTCAATGACCAAAATTAATTCTTCCTTTTTTATTTAATTAATGCAAATTAGGAGTCATTTGGCCAGTTGAGGGAATGCCAACTATTTTGCGATACATCTCGCAAGGATTGCCTCTGACGATGGCCACCACGTCACTTCGATCAATGCTCACACGTGGATGGACCATTGGAGAACCTGACGTCTACAAAGGTTTCATATCCACTATAATATGGATCGTCGTGTTCCTAACGATCAGCATGCTTGTTCTCAAATTTAAACGAGGATAAATTATGTGTGAATCCTCTTCAGGAAGTTTCAAAAAGAAAAAAAAAAAGTTAAACATCCTGCTTGTACAGTATATCGAATTCACAAGAAGACTTGCAAGGATAGATAAAAGCACAAATTCATTTTAAGTTAAAAATTATTAACTTCTTTTAAAGGCACACAAATTTATTGTGCTTTTATTGAAAAAAAAAAAAAAAGTTTTTATAAAATGAAACTCAACGTTTCGAAAATTATTACTGGCCAAAATTTTAAGAGATGACTAATTAATTATATATATGTATTTTTTTTTTTTTTAACAAAATTGTAGATATATAAATTTTAGTCATTTTTCAGAGTTTATAATTTATAATATAAATATTTCAAAAAGATATAGATTATATAAAAGAATTTTTTAAAAATTACTAAAGTTCTCTGGAATAAAAAAAGATATTTTTTTATATGAAAAATTAAGAAAAATTTAGTATAATTAAAAATTGTAAAAAAAAATTATAGGATAAATTTTTTCAAGTCAACACTATTTTTTATAAATATTAACACGATTTGAAAATTGTCATTTTAAAAAAATTCATTGGCAGATAGAAAAAAAAATATGGAGAAAAATAGAAAATAGTTTATTGTCTCAATAAAATTTTGATTAGCTTAACAAATTGTTTGTCTAAAAATAAAATTCCAAAAAAATTACATTTTTATTAACTTTTAAGTAATAAAATTTCTTTTGTTTAACTAATCAAAATTTTGTCAAAAAAAAAAACTCTTTTTTTCTATCTGTGAATGTTTTAATTGTTTTTAAAAAGAGAATATTTAAAAAAAAATTATTTTCGTGGCTTGGGATTGTTATCTCGTGACAGATAATTCTCTTTGGAAAATATTATATCCACGAAATCTCTGCGAGTTTCTTAGGGTAGAAAGTTCTCGCGTGTTTGTTAAAAATGTGAATGCTTGTGAATGAATGAATGTTCTCATAATTCTAAATTATATATTTTTGTTATACTGTTATTTTTGCGAGAGGCAAAAACAAAATCAGAACATATGGGCCTAAATTGGGACAATTAGAAATATTTTAAATATTAAATTTTATTCAAATTATACAATTTGTAATTTGATTTTTATAAACAAAATTTTTAGATAATTTTATAGAAAAATGGAAATATTTTTTACGAATTAAAAAAAAAAATTTTTAAAGGGAACAAAATGTTTTTTAGTAAACAAAAGTTTAAATTTATATATAGCTTTATTTTAAATAATTTGAAAGCTTTCTATTTATTTTGAAAAAAAAAAAAAATTAAGCATTTAAATAGTTGTTGCAGTTAAAAAAAATCAGAGGAAAGAATTTCAGAGTGTGAAAGATTAATTATTTTAAATGAACTAACGAGACAATTAATATGTGTAAATATACGTTTTTAACTTATAAGGAATTTGATTAGTATAAAATTTCTGTAAATAAAAATGTATTTGAATTCATGTTCAAAATGTTCCTGAATTCTTTCTCTCAAACTTTAGAATGATATAATTTTTAATTTGAACATTCCGATGAAAGCCATTTTATTTATATTTCAATATCTCTAACTTATGTTATACATATAAATGCTCAATGAATGAAACTGAATTTTTTTTTTTATTATTACAAATTTGCTATTGTAATATTAAACAGGCGTAATTTATTTTATTTGTTGAATAGAAAAAAAATATGTTTAAAATTGAAGTTTAAAAAATTTTTATGATTCTTAAAGAAAGTCTGAGTGTTATGCATCAAATAGTTTTTAAATAAAATCTAATTGATTATAAATTTTATTTTGTAAATGTTAAAAAGAAAAATAATTCATACGAGCGTACCTCGGGTAAATTGGTCCCGGGACGTTAGGGGTATGTAATTAGAGTTTTTAAAAAATAAATTTTTAGATATTAGCTGGTTCTACTTGCCCATGACTTAAGTGTACCTATGTATTATTTAACTTGTATTAATTATAAATATAAAACAACATTTTTGAAAACATGAATATATATATTCTTTATTCCTTTTTTTCGTCTACCTCTATATAATATAAATATAAAAAATTGTAATAAAAAATAGATTTTTATTTAATATATTCAAATAGTTTTTCTTTGGTCCCCATAAATGAATAATAATCTGCAAGAAATATAGATTAGAAAATATATTGTTGAAAGATCTGCATAATTTCAAGTACTTTATCTCATATTATAAAAGTCAAGGGTTCATTTAATAAAAACTCGAATTTAAATTTTAAATATCCAATGATGCATTAATGCAAGGTTATAATTTATAAAGTAGAGAATAATAAAGATGAATCTTTCGTTTCTTTTGAATAATAATAATAATAATAGACGTTTCTATTTCATTAGTTGATTAGATAATTACAAACTTACCTTATTTTCAATCATATCATTAATTTATACTTTTCATTCTCAGAAAACCAGTCTTCGTTTTCCTCAACAACTTTTTTCCAATAATCTAGAAAAAAAGAGTATTATTATAATAAAGTCAATTTAATTTAATTTATTAATGAAAATTACCTTTCAAATTTTCAACACTATCATCAATGCCACCATATTCAATAGGAAGAATATTTGGTGAAATTTTTTCAGCAATTTCTTTTCGATGAATATGAATTCTCTTTCGCAATTTTTCAGTCATAAAACTTTTAAAAATATTGAGCACAACATTTACATAAATTGGCGCATTAATAAAATACAAATAACCAATTCTAAATGGATAACAATTTTGCCATGAATGAACAAGTTGTTTTATCACGTTTGGAGTTAGTTGTAAGGCGTGACCAAGAGATACTGATTTTAAATCTAATATCGCTGCAATTCCATGCAATGAAACTGAAACATTGTCTCTTGTTGCCACGTCTAAAACCATCATACCAGCCTAAAATAAAAGAAAGAAAAAAATTTTTATTGAATAAAAATTTAAAAATAAAATTTCTTTTTATATAATTTCTTACTTTAATAACATCTGCAAATTTGTGTTTACGAGGATCATGAACTGATGCTTTTATAATTATAACCATTCTACCTTCTTCGTCTAATTTTTTTAATGGCAAAAAAACTCTGAAAAATAGAAAATAATTTTTTCTTTTTTTGCATTATAACTAAATCATCATCAGGCCTCGGATTGAACGACTTTTTTTCCGACTATTTCCGACTTATTGAGACGATGTTATTTTTTGACAAAAAAAATTTTTTATTTCTCTTATAATTAATTTTTTTTCTCATATTTCTATACAAAATAAAATATTAATTAATTTATTAAATTAAAAATAAAATGCCTTTGACTATATTTTAGTAAAAATTGTAGCTCTTTCAAAATTCAATTATTTTGAAAATTTTAATCTAAAAAATTTTTGCGAAATTAATTATTTTCAATAAATGAAAATTCTTCGAAAATTCAATTATATAGAACATTTTTCAATTAAAAATTCACTAAAATTTAATTATTGTCTAAAATTCTTGTAAAAAAAAAACTCAAATTTACAAAATTATCAATTCAAATTCTCTTCAAACTTGATTAATTAATTAATTCTATAGCTCTTCTTCAATTATTTTTTAAAATTTCTATTTAAAATTCTTCGTCAAGTTAATAAATAATTTTAACAAATTTCTTCTAAAAATAAATTTTTTAAAAATATTTTTTAATTATTTAATTACAAATTTTTAAGAATCAATTATTGTCTGTTATTTGTAAAAAAAAAAAATCTTCAGCAATTGAATCTGTGAATTTCGAAAAAAGCTCAACTCGATGAAAAAGCTTAAGTATCAGTTTTGCATAACTATCAATAGTAAAAATGACTTTTACGATTTTTAGAGTTGAGCCCTTTTCCTCGCCCTTTTCAAAATTCACGATTCAATTTAATTTTACAAAAATTTCTATTTGAAATCTCTCTTGAAATTGAATTTTTTGTTATTTCATAAATATCTTAAATTATGTAACTATTTAAAAATACAATTGTTTTTAAAATTTGTTTATTACTTTATTAGAAATTAGTAATAAATAATTAATTATTAATAATAATTTATATATTTAATTATTTATTTTGTAAATTTATTTACCAAATTAATCATTTTCAATAATCAATTATTTAAAACCTTTTTGGATAAAAATTCTTCCATTTTTCATTAAATATCTTATTTTCAAGAAGTGACTGAAAAAAGTAAAAAATGACTTAAAAGAGTAACAACAACAATTTTTTAAATTCCTGAAAATTTGTCTCAGTTCAATTATGAAATTGTTTGGTATAAATTCCTATGTAATTATTCTTATTTAAAAATAATTAAAATTTATTTTTACTACCAAATATTAACAATGATTAATAGAAATAAAATATTTATTAGAATAAAATTGACTAAAATTTGAAAAATCGACTAAAACAACTTTTTTTTTTGCGCCGTAACGTCGATCCAAGGCCTGCAAAATTATAAAATATAAATTGCAAATTTTAATTCTTTTTATACCCAAGATTAAATAATTCAGTTAATTCTGGTAAACGTGGATTTCTATTGGAAAACCATTCTGTCATAATTGCTCGTTGATGATGAAAATTTCGCAATTTACATTTTACTTTTTCTACTTTAAATTTACAACCTCTTAGAAAAAGTAAAATAAAATTATCATCTGAAAATAGACAATAATAAGTAAATAATTTTATTAAAAAAAAAAGAAAATTAAACTATCGATTACAATTTTTAAAATTAAAGAGTCTTTAATATTAAAATTGTTTAATCATTTTTTTTTTTAAATTTATATTTAATTTATTTTTTACATATTCAATTTAAAAACATATCAACTGATTTCTTTGAGAAATTTGAATATAAATTATTATAAAGTTATTGATGTTTCAAAAAACAAAACGTTTTTAAAAACATTTCTTTTTAGATAATTTTAGATTAAAATTTCTTATATAAGCTCTGATGTATTCTAAAAAAAAGTTATATATATTCAAAACTTTATTACAGAATTACTCTTCAACAATTTAAAAAAACACAAATTGTTGGAGTTTTAATTTTTAAAGAATATTATTTTCTTTGATAAAAATAATAAATATTTCTTGATGCTTCTATGATTAAATTTTTCATTTAAGTATTATAAAAAATATTATAATAATAATAATATTCATTTATTTAAAGTTTATTTAAAAATAAACTTTTTGAAAAATGTTACATAAATAAATTTTATTTAAATGAAAAAAAAAATTAGATTTAAATAAAAATTAAATTTAATTCTATATTTATTTTTTTAAATCTTGATTTTTTTATCAGCTCTGAAATTCAGCAATGATAAAAAAAAATATAGAACAGAAATTATTTTTTAAAAATTATAATTATTATTTTTAGAATAAAATTAAAATTATAATAAATAATAGGATTGAAAAAATATAAATTTTAATTTTTATAACAATCAAATTTGAATACCTGTGCGTGCGCAGATTTCTTTATTGTTTAAAATCCACTCTCTTATTTCTTCTATCTTTTGATCGCGAATTTCTTTTGTTTCATTCAAAACAATGGCAGCATATTCCTTTTGCTCATTCGTTAATAATTTTAAATCAACATCTGGTATATTAGACATTATAAAACATTTCCTGCACTTTTTTTTTCAAATAAATATTTTTTTAATTTTTCACTATATATGCGAGAACGTATATAAAAATCTTTTCCAAGTATCACCGAAGTCGGTTACTAACTGTTATATTCATATTCCTTCCCACTCATATTTTAATCAACATTAGTAATATGCATAAGTTAATCACTACTGAACTCTAACAGATAATAAATTATTTGTTTTCTCCTCTATACATATATAGACAGTATTCTGTAGAAAACAAATATTAAAAAAAATTTAATTAAAAATTTTTGCTAATATAATACTGAAACGTTTACATAATATGCATTCTTATATAAACTTTGTTGTGAAAGATAATTTTATTTTTGACAGGTTTAACATATTATCAATATTTCTGGTTCTGTATTATTTTTTTATAGGTTAGGTTTCACTTTAAAATTTTTATTATAAAGATAAAATAGTTTTTCATTCTTATTGTAAGTACTATAAATATTTATAATTTAATTAAAACACCTTTGCAGTGATTAATTACTAAATTAATGTATTTAAAAGAAAATTAATATCAGGAAAAACGGCGGGAAATTCAAAAAGTATTTTGTTCCCTCTGTGGAATGAATTCGAAAATACAAATAATTTCTTTTTTCCTATCACAATAATTTTTATTGTCAATGACGGTGACGTGTCAACAGCAGCGCACCACGTGGATGCGGTTGTTTTCTGGAGGTTCTGGAGTATTTCAGACACGTAGCATTCAGTCAGAAGAAGTGTTACATTTTCAGAGACGCGTTATAAATTTTGAAACCAGCGACTCGTCAGCTAGTTTAAACAAGTACATTCTCCTGTAAGTAACTAATTCCCTTATTATATCAAAAAAAAGGAAAATTTTAACTTCATAAATAATTAATCTCCTATTAAGAACATAATTTTGTGTTTACAGTTTACAATTTTTATACCTGGTTCATTATTTCAAGAAAACTAACATAAGTTGACAATGGTGAGTAACAATTGATATTTTTTATTGTACTGTATATTCATCTAAAATTTATAAAAATTGGTTTTTTAACCTAAGAATTAAAATATTTTCTATTTATATATTGCTACATATTTAATTCTTTATTTTTAATTTAACAATTTGAGTTTACACTCTCGTGATTATAACAATATGTTTTCTATAGAAATGTGAATTTCATATAAATTTAGTACCAAACTTATGACAATGCATTTTAAATAATTATTTATTTTCGAAATACCTTGACATTTGTCTGACTGGCAAATTTTTACATTTATTTAATAATCGGACAGACAGTCAAAACAAAAGTTAGTCTAACTTTATATTTTCGTGTAATTTAAAATAAAAAAAAATAATTTTTAATTAGGTTCCAAAAAAAATACTCTTAACATTTTGAATGAAGATTAAAATACGATAAAGTTAAATTTAAGGTTATGTTGTCTAAATTATTTTTTATCGAAAAATTGTAATTTTTATTAAAGTACAATTTTCATGTCTCAAATTAAAAAGAAATTAATTAGAAATTAAATTAATTTATAATAATTGGACTGAAATAATTTTAATATTAAAATTTGTTATTTCATTGAAAGATTCGGAAAGTCGAAAAAAATTTGAAAAGTTGAACTAATTTTTGTCCTTTTTTTTTTTTAATATTATGAATAAGAAATGATATATATTTGTTTATTGATAGCCTGCTGCACCAAGTTCTACGTCAGTGGGAGCGGCTGGTCGTTCACCAAGTAAAGCAGTAGCACCTCGTGCTGGAGGTGGAGGCACTGTGAGACAACGAAAAACCGCTCCAGCCACTTCAGCTAGGAATAGGAACACTGGAACAAATTCTGGTGGAATGTGGAGGTTTTACACTGATGACTCACCAGGAATCAAAGTGTAAGAAAGATATTCAATTTATAACTGTAATTATTACATATGGACGATTCCACGTCAAATTTACCTGAAACTTTTTAATTTCGAATAATTTTTTTTTGTTCTTCGTAAAAAAAAAATGGTGCAATCATTTTTTTTTACAAGTGCCGAAATTTTTTAATTTATTTTTAAAAATCTGATTTTTTCGCGGTTTTTTAAAAGTAGATCTATTTTCAATTTTTTTTTTTTTTTGCTTTCAAAATATGTTAACGAAAAATATTTTTAAAAAAATCTTTGTATTTTTATATAAAAAAATTAATTTTTCTACGAGGCTGAAGTACACAACGTTTATGATCAACAATATTAGAAATCAATTTTTATTTAACACGGAAAATTATAAAATTGTTTACTTAGATTATTTTTTATAATTTGTTGATTAATAAAAATTAAAAGAAATATTTTTCTGGCAAAAAATTATAGAATGTTTAATTCTAAAAAATTATTTCATTAAAAATCGTTTATCATAAACGTTGCGTACTTCAGCATCGTATTTTTTCTTTTAACTTTGGACCCGATTATTTTTAGTTTCTTTTTTTTATTACATATTTTTTTATTTATTTTTTTTAACTTTGAACTAAGATTTTTTGCAAAAAGTTTTAGAGTGGGCCTGATAATTCTTTTTGTTAAAATATTTTTTTTTTTTTTTAAATTTATAAATCGAAAATTTTGGACAATTATAAAAAAATACCATTTTTTTCTGTAAAGAAGGAAAAAAAATAAATTTATCCGAATTTAAAAGGTGAAATCGCCTACATAAAATAGGTTTGATATTAATTTAACTATTTTTTTTTTTTTCAATAGAGGACCAGTTCCTGTTCTCGTCATGTCCCTGCTCTTCATTGCATCAGTTTTCATGCTTCACATTTGGGGAAAATACACAAGATCTTAAACAATTTGCAAATATAATTCGTATTTCTAAGACTGTGAATTAATTACTCGAAGTTGTAAATGGGAAGATAAAAAAAAAATAAATATCGTATTTTTTTATACGCGATATGGCTTAAAACTTCCACTTACAACTTCGTTTTTCACAATGTTTATTAAAAAATTGTGAACAATTTATTACTATAAGTATAAAAATTTAAATTATTCCATTGTTTATTACTTAGCATTAATGACATATCTATATATAATATAAAATTCTTTTTCATTAGAAATTTTTGGAATTTCATTTTAGAAAAACCCTTTTTCTCATTTCAGAAATCGAAAATTTATATTAAAAAGCCTAAAAATGAAATGCGGGAAAATTATCCACAAAATTAAAAAAAGAAGCACGTTAAAAGTAAAGCAAAATTAGATTTTTAATTAAAAATACACAAATTTGATCTAAAAGCAAAAAATGAAGATTATTTACATTTTATTATTAATTGAACTAACTTTTAAGTGAAAGTATTGAAAATTAAAAAATTGGCACTACTTTGAAGTTAATTTTTGGCCTATTCTTTGCGTCTTTTTGATTAAAAAAAAAAGGTATTAAATTAATAATAAATTTAATAACGAATAATTTGCAATTATTGATTTCTTATTTAAAAAAAAAACTCGTATTTAATTCTTTCAGGGTTTAAAAAGTAATTATATTTTTCCTCTAAATAATTAAATCAAGAAAGTAAATCAGTTTTTTTTTCTAAGCTCATTTTATTTTTTATTAACGTCTCTGATAAGAAGCTAGTTTTTTTTCTTACGTCGGAAATTCTTTTTTATTCTAAAAGTGGAATTTCTTCTTCAAATCACTAAAATAAAAAATTATATTTTTCCTTTATTTAACAAAATGTAATTTAAGAATGTTCAACGGTCTCTGAAATTCATTGTCATTTAATTATCGCCCTATAAAAACGGCAACTGAACGTGAAAATGATAAACATTGATTTTAAAACACTTTTTACTCGAATTATGGACACTTTCTATAAAATCGGCCAACGTACCAAGATTTCTTATCTTATAAATTTCCAAAATCCGAAAGATTTTTCGAATCCATGCAAAAACGCGATTGCAAAATTGGAAATAGGAAAGGAAAACATGCTCTCTGTATGGTTCTGCCATCTAACGGCGAAAGGACGTAATAAAGCTATCATTATAATTATTACTTTTCTATTTCCAATTTTGCAATCGTGTTTTTGCATGGATTCAAAAAATCTTTCGGATTTAGGAAATTTATAAGATAAGAAATCTTGATCCTTTGGCCTATTATTTAATAAGACTTTTAGCCTTTTTTTTAGAAACACTTTTAGCCCTTGTGCATCAAAAGCCTATAATTTCCTTAAAATAATTATTGCATAAATATATTGAGTTAATATATTTTTATTTTATAACAATATATTATTTCATTTAACAAGTATCTCATTACATAATTTGTTGGAATATAATCGTATAGCACTGCGTCAAATTATACATTATTATTACACTGATTCTACTTTTAGTATGTAAATATTTTCTGGTGAAAAAACTGTAAACTTATTCGCACTGTTTGCAAATCATTGAAAAGTGTAAAATTTCTTTACATTTCATTTACACTATATACATATTTATACACTCCGTCATTACAAAAATATATATTTTCTTCCTACTACATATCAAATAGCATAGACATTCCCTGTAAAAGTTCTTTGCATAGAATTTTTTTACAAAATACATCTTACAAGTATCATATTTTTCTAATGATATTCACGACATGGCTTCAAAATATTTTAAAGCGAATTACTACATAACTTAATAGTATCATAGTATTTTCATTTATAAAAAAGATATGGACAAAATAAATCTTTTTTTTTTTTCTTTTTTTTTGAAAACAAAAAAGTTGTAAAAATTGTCAAGCTTATGTAAATTACATATGTATTTATGTTTGTGTGTGTGTGTACATTTTTACAAGGTGATTTTGAATTTACTGTAAAATAATAATCTTAAGTGTTAATACATCATAGTATTAAGATTGAATTATTTTACTGAATTTGTAGAAACAAAAACCACCTTGTTTATTTAAATGTCTAACCTTAATGTATATCATCAGTCGATAGAATATTATTCTCCACAGGCAAGGAGGATAAATTTTTAAAAATGAAAATTCCAATATTTTTTTCATTCATTTGTCGACTGCGTGTCTAATGTGTCTATAGGTTCAGCAATAACAATATCGGCATGATGTTCGGGCTCTTTATGAAGAGAGATCATGATTTTTTCTTCATTCGAAGATTGACTGTCCGAGGATCCTTCCTGAGTTGAGGTAGCAGCCTCCTAAAACAAATGTTATATCTACAAATGCAGTTCATAAAAAATTTATTACTTTTAATAAAATAATTCCAATATTTCAGCTATTAAAACGAAAAAGGATTTAAAGATTAAAATTTTTTTTCAAGGTTATTTTGCAATTCTTAATACTTTTTAAACCTCATTTTTTTTTTGGACATCAAAAAATTATATTTTTTCATTTATTAAATGAAAAAGTGACATTTAAAAATGTTTTAAAAATTTCAACTTGTCAATATGTAAAAATGGGAATTTCTATTTACCAAAAATAGGTGGAAAAAAAGTGACAAATAAAACCAATTATCGTGCAAAATAACTAATTTTTATCTATTTAAATTATTAAAATTTAGCTAAATTGAACTTTCGACAAATTGAAACTTAAATTAATTAAAATTTAAAAAAATTGAAATTCGGATAATTTGAGACTTAAATCAATTAAAACCAATTATCGTGCAAAATAACTAATTTCTATCTATTTAAATTATTAAAATTTAGCTAAATTGAATTTTCGACAAATTGAAACTTAAATTAATTAAAATTTAAAAAAATTGAAATTCGGATAATTTGAGACTTAAATCAATTAAAAAAAAATTGAAACTCGGATAATTTGAAACTTGAATCAATTAAAAATTAAATTAATTGAAATTTGTATAATTTGGGACATAAAAATTAATTAAAATTCGAAAAAATTGAAATTCGGATAATTTGAGACTTAAATCAATTAAAGTTTGAAAAAATTAAACCTCGGATAATTTGAAACTTGAATCAATTGAAATTTGAAAAAATTCAATTCGTATAATTTGAAACGAAGATCAATTAAAATTTGGAAAATTTCAAACTAAAATCGATTAAACTTTAGATAGATTAAAATTTCGTTAATTTTAAGTTTCAATCAATTGAATTTGCATTTGACTAAAATTTTAATTAAATAACTTTATTTTGATCAATAAAAATAAAACTTGATTAAAAGGTAGATGAATTTCAATTTGGATCGAGTAAAATTTAAATCGAATAAAAATGTAATCAAATATTGAAGTTTGAATGATTTTAAATTTGAACAGTTTCAAATTTGAATAAATTGAATAGTGTATTGAATTGAAGTTTGATTAAAATTTAATTAGAATGAATTTAAATTTAAATCGATTAAAATTTTAATCAAGAAATTCTTCAACTAATTATAATTTATGATTATTGAAATTTGTTCTAAATAATTTTTAAATCGATGAAAATTTTTTTTATAAATTCAAACTTGGGTCAATTAGATTAATTACAGAAAAGATGAAAATCTTATTTTTTGTTCTATAAATTAATATAAGATCAAAGAATGTTAAGAAAAAAAAATTTTCAAACTAATAAATTATTTTTCAACATTTCTGAGTATAAATAATAATTTTTTTCACATTGTAAATTTAATTATATTTTAAATATTATATCAGCAAATTAATCGAATTATGAGAAAAGTGAAAATGGTAACAAATTATAAAAATTAGTGAAATAAATATAAAAAGAATTACTAATTTCACGATTTCCTTTAAAAATCAAAATAATTTTTTCACAATTTCTTTAGTTTTAAATTCCTCAGAAATAAGAATTGTTAAATCTTTTGTAAAATTAATTAGTCAGTTGCTGCATGAACGATATAATTGTGAAGTGAAAGAGTATTAATGTGTTAGTCACTTCTACCGATTCATAATTTAGTTTTAGTCTCTTGTGATAGCGATTCTCCGCTTGCACTCATGTAAAGAGGTAAATAAATAAATTTGAAATAAATCAATAAATAAATTATATGGTGACAAAACTTACAGTGCTTCGAATTTTCGTATGTGTTTTAATGTGTTTCGTGAGATGATCAGAGCGCATAAACTTTTTCGTACACTCTGGACATTGAAATCTTTTTTCTCCAGTATGCGTTCTTCGATGACGCTGCAATTCATCAGATCTTGTAAATTTTTTCCCACAAAATATCCAACTGCAAACAAAAGGCCTTTCACCAGTGTGCCATCTTAAATGCGCTCTTAAATGACTTGTTTTTCCATAAACTTTATTACATCCAGCTATATGGCACACGTGTTGACGTTTTCGAGTCATGTCTCTATTTCTAAAAAAATAAAAATAAATCAATTTAGAAAAAATGTATCCCAATCCGGGGGTTTTTTTTTGTTGCAATTTTCATACTTTCAATTTTTCCAATATATTTTGAATAATACTATTTATTTAGTATTTTACCTATCTCCATCACCACAATTTGGACATGTGCATGCTACCCTTCGTCGATGTTGTTTACTGGTGTCCGTTTCTCCACTAACATTCGTGGTATTGTTTACTTGATGCTGATGAGACGCAGTGGCAGGTGTGGAAATTGTTCCATTTGATTGTATCGTTTGGAGAATTTGCCATTTAGTTGGATCGGTTGAATCTAAATGTGTTGCAACAATGGGAGCCGCTGAAACGGTGGGTAAAGTTTGAACTGCTGTTGGTTGAAGGGCACTGGCTGGTATTACTTGAACATTTCCCAATCCAGGAATATTCTGCACTGGAATTGACTGTAAAAAACCACTTGTATTTAAGCCAGCAGTTGGTTGTATTTGCATTACTCCACCGCCAACATTTACACCTCGCATCATATTTCCTTGTTGTGCCAAACTCGTCAATGCAGAGGCAGGAATTAATGTCAATTGTTGGCCTTGTGCTCCTAAAAATTATATAAAATACAAAATTAATTTATTTCATGAAAAAAAAAAAAATTCGACACTTAAAATGTAAAGTGAAAATTTAATGGAGAAAACAAAATTTATATTTATTGTTGAAATTACCTGTTAATGTAATTGGTTGCATGGCAGTTTGAGTTGTTTGCGTGGCAGGAATATGTATAACTTGACCATTTGCTAATTGATTGGCATCTATATTAGTCAGTTTAATGTCACCATCTGCAGATTCAGGCGCTCTCGTTATTGTCGAGAGAGTTTGCACCTCTATTTTTTGTCCATCTTTTGTTGTTAATACATTAGTACTATTGCCAACTGATCTACCCAATTGTCCAAGCCCAACAACCTGATAAAAAAATTCAGATATTATCAAAATACATTCATCTTTCATTCACAATCAAGAAAATATTTTTATAGGATTTTTTAATCAGTTCAAGAAAAACAATTCCCTAACTAGTTTTAAATATTTTTATATATAAATTATTACAGGATGACCACTAAAATTGGCGAACAAAATTCAGGACTTTCTCATGATTTAAAAAAAAAATTTCAAGATTTTTTAAATTGAGATTTTATCACATAATTTTAAATTAGTATTAAAACGTGGCTTATTTTAAGTATAAAACCAGAAAAAACTATTAAAAATTAGATGTTGGAACTCACCAAAAACATAAATCACTTTATTCTGCACACAGGAACGAAAGAATTATTACAAAAATTTATTATTTTTAGATGATATATGATTTTGAAAAAAAATTTCTTGAAAGAATTTCAAAATTTTTGTTTACTTATAACTTTTTTGTCGGTGCTCTGAAAAATTTGAGGTTTTGCATATTAAATTTTATTATTATTTATCTTCTATTAAAATTTCATGAAGGTGTTTTGCTTCGTTTTGGAGATAATTTTTTTTTAATTCTTCTTTACTTGAAAAGGTTAATTAAAATGCTTGAAGTTAACTGACTAATTTTAAATTGCTTCATTTTAATATATTTATAGAAAATGGAGCAGTTTGAAATTGGTAAATTAACTTTAAGTCTTTTAATTAACCTTTAAAATAAAAAATTTTTTAAATTAATATCTCTAAAACGAAGCAAAAAACCTTCGTGAAATTTTAATAGAAGATAAAGAATATTAAAAATTTATATATGCAAAAGCTCAAATTTTTCGGAGCACCGACAAAAAAATTATAAGTAAACAAAAATTTTGAAATTCTTTTAAAATCATATATCATCTAAAAATAATAAATTTTTGTAATAATTCTTTCGTTCCTGTGTGCAGAATAAAGTGATTTATGTTTTTGGTGCGAATTCCAAAATGTAATTTTTAATAGTTTTTTAATAATAGCGTTTTCAAAAAAAACTGAAAATTTTAAGGTTGCGAACTTATATATTACGGTTAATGAACTCAGGGAATCATCGAGTTTCACATTTATATTAAAACTAGATTATTTAAAAACTAGCAAAATTAAACGCGCCCAAACGCGCCAAATTGAGTATTTAATTGTTTGTTATAAAGAAATTAAAGATTAATATTATTAATAATAATTTAATTTATTAGAATATTATTACATATTAAATAATAATAATGAAAATTATATGTTTACAGGCCTCGGATTATACGACTTTTTTCAAAAATACGACTTTTATCGACTTCTTTTAATAAAATGCGACATTTTTTTTTACATTTGAAAAAAAAATGTAAATAAAATACATTTTTTAGTATAAAATGTAGGTTCTTCTTCAGATCTTCTTCAATTCAATTATTTAACAAATTTTGAACTAAAATGATTCTTCACTAAATTAATTATTTTTAATAATTTTAATTAAATATATCACAAATTCAATTATATCAAAATTATTTTTCAATTAAAATTTTTATGAAATTTAACAATTGTATATAATTTTAAAAAAAAATCACAATAAAATTGAATTATTTTTTAAAAATTTCAATTCAAAATAAACTAAAATTCAATTATTACCCGAAATTTTAATTCAAAATCAATTAAAAATCCAATAATTATCCAAAATTTTCAATTTAAAATTTAATTATTTACCACCCTTCTAGAAAAAATCGATTGAAAACGATTGAAAACAATAGGAAAGAAATTTCTATTGTCCCCAATCGTGTTTCTTAATCGTGTTCTTACAATTGAAGACGATTGACTTTCATATTATATTCAATCGTTTTCAATCGTGTTCTATAGATTGTATTCCATGCACTATTGCTTGGTAGGAGTTTTTGAAAATTTTTAAAAATGCAACTAATTAAACAGTCTAGAAATATATAATTATTTCAAAGATTATTTTCCGGACTAAAAAATTAAAATATTTATCAATGTATTTGTCACCACAGAAGAAAATCATATATTTTATCAAAAATTAATTAAAAGTTATTTTTTAATTTATCTTTGAATGAAACTGCACAAGACGAAATGTTTCTCGTTTATAATTTATTGAAAAAATGTTTAAAAAATAATTTTTGACAGATACATCAAGTATTGTTTTAAATTGAATTACTGAAATTTTTTTTTAATTTCAGTCAATATTGAATTTTTTTAAATAATCGAATATTGGAAGATCTACAATAATTATAAGATTCATTAGAAATAATTAAATTTCTGATTTTAAATTGAAAATTTTGAAAATATTTTAATAAATGAAAAACTTTATACAAATGTAACGGCTTTAACATCCGTTTCTAGCACAAAATAAGTTTGTAAAGAATTTTAATTTAAAATTTTTAGAAAAAATTTATATTTCGAAGAGTTGCAATTAAAGTTTTTAATAAAAAATATTTTTTTTAAACTTATGATAAAATTTGCAAAAAGTATTAGTTAAAATTTTTTATAAATAAAATAATTATAGAATTTAATAGAAGTAATTCAATTTTGGAAGTGTTAGAATTGAAAGGTTTTGACTTATTATTTTTAAATAATTGAAATTTTGTAAAATTTAATTGAAAACAATTGAACTTTTTAAAGAATTTGATTACAATTTTTGAAAATATTTAATTGAAAAATTATGGTTTTTTGTTGTTGGAAGGAGTTTAGGTGAACTTCGAACATTTATACTGAATAATTTTTTTGAAAAGCTGCTGGACACATAAAGTTTAAAAAAACTAAAAATTTTGTTCTAAAAAAAAATTAAAAACTGAAATTATTTTAAAATGCAAGAAATAGAATTTTTTCTTATATTTATTTTTAGATGTACCTAATTATTTATTTAATTTCTGTTTATATGTATTTTTTTACGTACCCATTTATTTATTTTTATTTTTTTGAGGTTATGTATTAACAACTCAAAGATTGTCATATTTAATTTGTTCATGTATAGGATAAGTAAACATATTGACATTATCCATATCACTAGAAATTTTACTTTAGATTTTAAATATTTGACACATACGCACGAACAGAACAAACTATATATTACAAAAGACTTATAAGAAAAACATCTTTCCTGTTTGATTCAACACTTTTCTTATTCTTATAATTAACTATTTGCGCATGTGCGTATATCGTTCTCCCAATAGCACCCGATTAAAAACAATTGAAAAAGTTTAACTTATTTTACACGATTGAAAACAATTCGAATCAATTAAAGAAATATATACTCCAATTGAAAACAATTCAAAACGATTAAAAAATTTTTGTACTCAATCGTTCTGAATCGTGTTTAATTGATTTTTTCTAGAAGGGCAAGTTTTCAATTTAAAATGAAATAAAATTCAATTATTTTCTAAAATTTCTATTCAAAATTAATTATCCAAATTTTCAATCAAAAATGAACTTCAATTAAATTATTATCCAAAATTTCAATTAAAATTCAATTATTTCCCAAAAGTTTTCAATTTAAAATCAAATAAAATTTCATTATTCTCAAAAATTTGAATTCAAAATTAATTGAATTTTCAATAATTTGAATTTAAAAGCATCTAAAATTTAATTATTTCTAAAAATTTCCATCGAAAATTTTTTTGTTGAAATTTAATAATTTCAATTATAACTCTAAGGAAATTCAATTATTTTTAACTATTTTAATAATATTCTTTGAAATTTCAACTATCTAAAACCATTTTTCAATTAAAAATGATTTTCAAATTATTGTATTTTGTCCGCATTTTCTAATAAATTTTTAGTGAAATCGTCTAAAATATTAATTAAAAATCACTTAAAGTTTCAATTAATTTCAAAAATCTTAATTTTAAATCTTTGAGAATTCAATTAAATTTAAAAATTGTTTGATAAATTATTTTTAGTTCTGTAAAATTTAATAATTGTTTGAAAATTAACAATATCTTTTGAAATTTAATTATTTCTAAAAATTTCAACTTTAACCCTTCGAAAAGGATTATTATTAAAAAAAAAATTTTATTTAAAAATCTGTAAAATATTTTTGTTAAAATAAAAAACAAATCCACTTTTTTTTGGAATATAAATCAACTAAAATGACTTTTTGTGTCTTTAAGTTGATTCGAGGCCTGTGTTTTTATAATTAATATTTAATAGGTATTCGTTGGCTTCTGGTACCTTATATATTAATTTTTAAAAATAAATTTTTTTCAAATTACTATCTTGTACGAAATTTCCTGGCGCATCTTTTTTCTCATCATAAATTTTTTGTATTTGTATACAATTTTTGAATCAATATACAACTTTAAAAAAAATTTCGTTGGTAAACGTTGTGTACTTCAGCTTCGTGAATTGAATTTTCGAATTTGGAATTTTAAAGAAACTTATTCCGAAATTTGGAAACACAATTATATAACTTTGGCAAAATTGAGAAAAAGAATTGTCAAAATTTGACACGTCATAAGATTACTATTCAAAAAAACACGTGAAATCAGAAAGGGCCAACTTCAAGTTAGAACAGAAGGACAGACCAAGCATTTTATTATTATATATATAATAATTTTGTCACAACCACTATTAGACGAAAGTCAGTGGACTGACCCATATTTAAAACTGTAATATACTATAGGAAATTGAAAAACAATTAATTCATTAATAATTTTGTAAATAAAACTCGAAATTTTCAAAAACTAAAAATTTAAATTTCTGTCGCAATTTTTATTATTTTTCACTGCTAATTTTTAGAAGAAATTCCATTTTTTCAAAAAATAAAATTTCGAAAATGGTCAAAAAAATTTTTTTTTTTAATTTTGATAATTTACAATAACTTTAGATCTCAAATAATGCCAGAAAAAAAATTGACACCGCTTAACAACATTAATTTTAATGAGTTGAAATTTCACCGGTTCCTTCTCTTAAAAATTTTGTAAATAATTGAAAAAAAATGTAAAGAAGATCTGTATTGTATAATAAAAAAAAAGTTTTTTTTTGTTTAAAAATTTTGTAAAAAGAAAGTCGAAAAAGTCGCATCTTAGTAAAATAAGTCGAAAAAAGTCGTATTTTCGAAAAAAAATTTGGAAAAAGTAAAAAAAGTCAAAAAACTAAAAAAAGGATATCTTCAGATTTTTTTTCAAATTTAACGAAGCTGAAGTATGCAACGTTTATGATAAACGATTTTTAAAGAAATAATTTTTAAAAATAAAAAATTCTATAATTTTTTTCCTAAAAAATATTTCCTGTACTTTTTATTAATTGACAAATTATAAAAAAATATTTTTTACGCAAAAAAATTATAGAATTTTTCGTTATATTCAGCGAAATGCATGTCACTTTAATAATTTGTTTGTTCTAAAGACGCTGTACTATACCTTGGCAAGATCGAAATTGGAATTTGCAGTATCAATTTGGGTACCTCACCAGGATTATCAATTGCTTAAGTTGGAACGCGCTCAAAACAAATTTTTACGTTTTGCTGCGAAACAAGTTAACGTACACTATGATTTCTTCAGTCATGATTACACTAATCTTAGAGAGTCGCTTATGGTCCCAATTTTTTCATCTAGAATTATTTATCTGGATTTATTGTTTTTGTTTAAAATTATAAACGGACTTATTGATTGCCCTCTTATACTATCTTGTATTGACTTTATTGTTCCCACAAAAGGTTTGAGAAATCAGAAACTGTTTAAAATACCATTTAATAGACAAAACTATTTGGACAATTCTGTTTTAAATAGAATATTTTTTAGAGGTAATGAGTATTGTGATGAGCTAGATTTTTTCGGTATATCATTAGATAGATTTATCCGTGATTTGCGTAAATTAATTTTTGAGTAAATGTGTGACTGCCAAGGCGATTTGTTTTACTGCTTGTAATTTGATAATGTAAATTTATTATCTAGTGCTTTTGCACAAAAGGGCATTTTTCTTTTTCTTGTGAGCCCGTACATGGTAATTAAATAAATAAATAAATTATAAAAAATTATTTCTTTAAAAATCGTTTATCATAAACGTTGCGTACTTCAGCTTCGTAAAATTTAAATTCTAAATTTTGGTAAAGCACTGAGTAAAAAAGTAGCGTTTTTTTTTTTTAGTATAATAGCCGTGGTTGACGGTATGTAATAATAAATAATATATTGTCACATTAGTAACATGGAAAATATACCTGAACATTATTTGGAGCACTAACACTAGTGGTCCATGTAGAAACAGTTGAGGCCGGAGTAGAAACTGAAGCCTGCTGAGCTTGTTGTTGAACTTGCTGCTGTTGTTGTTGCTGCTGCTGTTGAATAACCTGCTGAACAACTTGCTGAACTTGCTGCTGTTGCTGAGCTTGGGCTTGTGCCTGTGCTTGAGCTTGCGCAACTTGTTGCTGCTGTTGTACAGTTTGAACAACTTGTTGCTGACTTTGTTGCGCAACTTGCTGAACAACTTGTTGTTGAGCTTGCTGGGCAACTTGCTGAGCAACTTGTTGTGCTACTTGTTGACCCTAGAAATCGAAAAAAAAATTAACTTCTCTCCTTTTATACAAATATGATAATTTAAAGAAAAAAAAAAAAAAAACATTTTTTACCTGCAAACTTTGAAGTTGTGAAAGATTTGCAATTTGCACCTGTTGAAGTTGGCCATTTGGTGTTATTATTTGTGCTACCTGAGGAATTTGCTGAAAAGTTTAAAAAAATGTAATTTCTTTTTCAAATAATTTTTTTCGTCATTGGTAAAAAAAAAAGGTTATACCTGTGTGATCTGAGGTATCATTTGTGTTGTTGGCATATTGAATACACTTGATAGTGCTTGTACTGGAAAATGTACAGTTTGATAAACTGTCTGTCCATTACTGGCAGTGACTGGTACTTGAACGGGAACAGTTTGTTGGAGTTGCTGCATTGGAAATTGAAGTGGCCTCACTTGAACGCTTTGTCCTAAAACATCCAAGCTAGCCTTGGGATCTGTCCGTTTGTCATAGCAAACGAAGAAGGCAGAAGTTAGTGCGTGAAAAGATCTACAAGAAAAGTTAAGTGCCGCGGCGGCGGAAATTTTTTTCCCACCATGCAACCCAAACCTTTTTGCATTGATATAAAAAATGAAAAAAAATAAATAAATAATATAAGAAAACAAAAAAAGTTGAGAAAAGCAAAAGAATGAAATGATTGCTTTGTTTTATATGGATTAAAATGAAAATTTTTACCTGTGGGTAATTGAACAGTTTGACCACCAATATTCTGAATGATCGACGTAGGAAATACATTAGGCGCTCTCAACAAACTAACTGGTTGTGGTGTAATAATAGTTTGTCCATTTGCCAGTTGAACTTGTTGATTTGCCAATTGCACTTGTTGTCCTCCAGCAGTTGCAAATTGCATTGTCGGTTGCGTTTGGTGATGAGCACTAACGCCTGACATTGCTGAATGAGGAATGAACAGCGCTTCCTGTCCATCGATATTTACTGTTTGCATTTGAGGAATCACACTGTAGCTCAATTGTTGCTGCTGCTGTGGTTGTTGCTGTTGATTTTGCTGTTGAACTTGCTGCTGTGCCTGCTGTTGCTGCTGAAGTGCTTGAGCTTGGTTACTAACCAACTGAGCATTCTGTAGAAACAAAATTAAAATAAGACTTCATTCATTTCTTTCAGTAAGTTGTTCATTCGTTGATTTTACCACATTTTGACTATTTTTGTGTTGTGTATAATGATTTAACTGATGAATTAAATTACAAAACTTGAGAAACTTTTTAATACATGCATATAAGGTTTATACAGTCGAACCTCGATAAGTGAGAATCCAAGGGACCGAAAATTTTTTTTTCTCACTTATATAGAGGTTTCCCACTAACACAGGTTCTCATTTTTTGAAGGTCGAAGAGCGGGTTCTCTCTCTTACAGAGATTATTGCACTGATAGAGGTTCAAGTGCGGCATTTTTTTACTAGTAGAGATTTATAAAGGTTTTGTTAATTAAAGTTTCACTTTTACGTAATTTGAAACATATCAGGGTGTCTAACAAGGATTGAGAAAAAAATTCCCTGACTCCTCCCTGACATTTTTTGATATTTCCCTGACTTTTTAATAACCTTATTTCTGCTTTCTTTGGACAAAAATATGGTTACTGAAATATAATAAAATTAATAAATAAATAAAGAATAAATAAATTAATTAAATTAATCAATAAATTAATTTCTAATGGTAGTAACAAATGGTAATAAAAACCATTCCAGTTTTTTTAGATTAAAAAATGTTTAAATTCACAAAAATTTTTAATTTTTTTTAGAAATTTACAGAAATTTCCCTGATTTTGAATGAAATTTTCTAAAATTCCCTGACATTTCCCTGACTAACAAAATTCCTTGACGTTTCCCTGACCGTTGGACACCCTGCATATAATTAATTATTTAACAAATATAATGCAAGTTCACAATGATCTAACATTTTATTTCGGACAAGAAATGGATTAACTGTCAAAATTAAATTTTTCAGTACAGTAATTTGAAATTTCAAATCCATAATTTAAATCAAGGAATCTAAATAAATGAATGAATTTTCAAAAAATAAAAATTTATATTGTAATTTAAGTGAAATGTATTTAAAAAAAAAACATGTAACATGAATATAAATGTGAAAAAGTTATAGTTTCTATATATTTGTTTGGTTATGTTACAATTCGAATTTTCATAATATTTCAGAAACATTAAAAAAATTGAAATAAATAATATAAATAAATATAAGAAATAATTGTTAAAAATAAACTGAAAGAATTTAAATTCCCAAATCATTTAACATTAATTACTAAATTATGCAAAAAGTGGAATTAAACCCTTTTTTATCGGGAACAAATAGTTAGATCATTGTGAACTTGCATCGAATAGATAGTACCTTCTGTATCGGTAACAAAATGATAGTTGATAATTCGTAGAATCAATCGATTATTTGTTCTTTAATTGTGCTATTCTTAACATGATTTTCAAGCTCATAAATTTTGTCAAAAGCTGATGTATTAATATTCATCGAAAATTCAAAAAAAAAAAAAAAAAAAATCTGTGAATCATCTCCAGTGTACTTAAAACTTCTTGCTGCTTTGGAATTGAAACTTCTGCGATGGTTGAATTTTTGTTTCTTTCCACTTTCAAATTCACTTATAATTTTTAGTTTCTCACTTTACGAAAAAGCTTCAAATTTTCGCTTAGACATTTTGAATATTCGAAAACGATTCTTATTACAGTCGTTTTGAAACTAAATTTTATTTTGTGTGATAAGTGTAATTGTAGTTTTGAACAAAGAGCCTTTCTTCTTACACGTCTATAGGCAAATTTTAATTACTGTTTGTTGATTTCTATTAACTTTTAGAAAATTATAGATAGAGGTTATCCAGTTCTCACTTATCGAGGTTCGACTCTATCCTGTATATATTTTATAAAATATTGTATTCAAGTATTGTCCTTATGGCTGGCCTGGGAAAAAATAAAGAAATTATTTTTTTATTATTACTTGTAAAAATTGTTGTGGTAAGGCTTGAACTGAAATAGTCTGGGCTCTCTGTTGCTCATGCTGTTGCTGTTGAGTTTGTAAAGGCACAAAATTTTGCAACTGTTGAAGTGTGATAACTTGTGGCTGTTGCTGTGCTTGTTGCTGAACATCTTGTTGTTGTTGCTGCTGTTGCTGTTGTTGTTGCAATTGTTGTAAAACATTTGCGCTTAAAAAACGAATTTGCGGTTGAACAGTCTGTTGTGTTTGATCCAAATGTTGTTGATCCGTTCCATCTTGTTGTTGAGTTTGTAATTGTAGTGGATCGTGTTGTTGCTCATCAAGCTCATCCTGAAAAATTAAAATTTATATTTTCATTTATTTATAAAAAATTAAATTAAAATCATATAAAAATTACCAGATCGATAGAAAATCCATATTTTTCTTAAACTTTACAGAATTTTTAAACACGAATAAATTTTAAACACGATTTTAAATATATATGAAATAATAATAAATCGTAATGGCGAATTCAATCACCTGATCGACTTTCACAGTAGCTTCAAGACTGCCGTTCATTTTTAAAATGGCAGAAGAACAGAAACAACACAAGTTCTTCTATATAACTTTTGGTTATCAAGCCAAGAAAATAAGAAATGCAAATCTTCCAAGCAAATTTCTGAGTGTCAGAATTCCACCTGTAAAAATACACGTTTCAATATATATATATACACGTACAATCCGATTACAAAAATACAATTATATTTTTTAAAAAATATTTCTACAACTTACATTTAAAAAATTAATTTCTCCAGAACAAAAAAAATCAAATAAAAATTGAGAATCATAAAATCATTTTTGAAAAATCATCATATTTAAAAATTAAAACGTTCTGAATCTATATAAAGTTGAAGCAACTGAATACGAAAATTATATCCAAGCCAAAAATAGTACAGAGTAAATACTGTTTGAGAATTTGGTAACCCAAGCAGAATCTCGTGACACGCAGTTTCTAAGAATTGCATTTAAAAAAAAGAAAAAATTTTCTCGAATAAAAATTCATGTTTATAAACTTTTCTAAAAAAGGGGGGCATTATTTTTGTCAACAAACGAAATATCCTAGGAATTTTAGTAGTGACACGTGGGTTTTGCATCTAATCTTCTTAAAGAGACAAAGAAGGGAAGCAGGGCCCTCCTAGAGGACCCGAGGGAGGACCGCCTCCATACGCCCCTGTCAATACTGCCCCACCCGCTTGAAAATCAACTTGAAACGCTCCAAGCATTTCTGAAAACCCTCAGCAGCAACAAAACAAAGAGAAACGTCGAGTTTCCATTGAAAAGAGAAAGAGGCTGAGAAATACAAATAGAAACCAAATGAAGTGAGTGAGATTAAAGAAAGAAAATGAGGTAACACAGTATATGGAATAGAGAAAGATAGAGGTAGCACATTAGAAAAGGATGAAACGAAGAGAGAAAGCGTTCAGACTCATACATACACAGAGGACACACACTCGTAAAATATCGAACTCACCCGCCCACTCAACCATCGTCCCGTTTAGCTCGGCCTGCCTCACTCGCGCACCAAAACCCCTGGCTCGTGATAACGTGGAAGGCCTTGCGATCCAGCCTCCACCCACTTCGCACATCGGACTCCACCTAACTCTCGCCAACACGTGCTCTTTCAATTGTCCACCTCCCGCCTAAATTACAAATTACTAACCCTTAACATTATCAGCTGTTAAAGCAATATTCTATTTTGCAACTATTATTTTACCCAACAAAACATCATTCATCCAAAAAAAAACTTCGAAATTTACTCCTATGCCTAATTCACTTCGAAGGAAAATTTTCAAGAGAATCCGCTAAAACACAAAAAATCCATAATTCCGAAAAAGAAACCAAACGAATGTAAAATTTCCCACTACTGTCAGAAACACAGCGAAGAACGACACATTTTTAGGTTAGGTACGAACCGAAAAGTAGAACTCAACAAAAGTAAATATGGATTATAAACAATTATGTATAAAAAAAAGAAAAAAAACAACCGATACTGATATTAAATGTTAAATTTTCTAAATAAAGAAAAGTATATATTTACCTTGGGTTCCAGTTTGGCTGTTGCCATCCTGGCGTGACGTCGCTATGTAGACGTCTCACTATGTACTTGCTTCAACAAGGATTTTTCTTTTCAACTCCAATCAAATTTATAATCTTAGGTCATAAATCAAAAATACACCTGGATATTAACATCCTTCCCGCGCGTTTAAACAAAAATAAGTATCAGATCCGTAGATTGTCATTCGGCACCTACTGGCGCCAGCGCACTAAAAAAGATATCGCACACTTTTTTTTTTTCTCTCTCTCTCTATCTAACACACCACACTATCGATACTAGATTTTAGTTTATCTCCCCTATACATGTAAATATTGCAGAAAATGTCAAAAAAAAAAAATTTAAATGTAAAACATATTTCCAAAAGGGGGGCGAGGCTTATAAAATTTATTCGAAGTTGGCGCCCGATGAAAAGTGACGCTTTGCAATATCACCGGATGTGTAATTCGTGTAATTGAATTGTATGAAATTTTTGAAGGCGGATTCACGTTATCACGGGCGTTTCACTAAGCACAAGGATGTGGGATTCGGTTCAGTAATAATTTTCGACGTACACGCGACTTGTCGCGTCTCTTGTAAAAACGTGCCCGCTTGAAACTGGAAAGTGGGGCGTGCGATGTTGCAGAGTTTGGCGTTGGAACCGATGCGCCCCCTGATTGGTGGCCTCTTCGAAAACAGGGGCGTAAGCCAAGACGCCCACCCCTTGCCTTCCTTCCTTCTCTATAACATATAATAATAAACCCCTACCACGATTTTCACCCAATTTTTTTTCAATATTCTGTTTTGATCTAGATCATCCTTCCGTCTTACTACAATTGTTTTTTTTCTATATTTTTGACATGATGCTAAATTATTCACTTTTTTTTTTAAATGTAAAATAAAAATATTTACAAAAAAGAAAATTAAGTTTTTTTTTTTTTTAATATAAAAAGTAGGGTTATTTAATTTTTATTAAATGTTTCAGTGCAGTATTTTCGTTTTTATTACAATATATGGATATAATTTTATAATATAGAATTTTTTGTTGAATTTTGCCAATGGTGGCGAACCCTTTTCTCCCTTTTTAAGTGTTGAGTGCAAACCCATGATCGTTGAATCACGGTGCGAACTACGATTTGAGGTCGGTGTGTCGCGCGCAATCCGCCCCTTTGGCAGACCACCACCTTTCCACGTGATAAAGTCCAAACTGAATTTTCTACTATCTTTTCATAATTATGATTATTCAAAAAGATTTCTAAAAAAAATTTTTGCCTTCTAAATTTTAAATAAAAATACGAAAAAAATGAAATTTAAAAAAAAAATAATATAGCCTTCAGTAAAGACCACAATGTTCAAACAGAAACGTTTATTTTTGGCCCCTCGACTAAAACCACCTGGCCTTTTGCTGCTCCCACATCAACCAACCCTCGACCCTTCTATTCAACTCAGAAGGCTGTTCAACACATGCAACACACCCCTTACAGTCAGATTATTAACAACTCCCCAATATATTAAAGAAAGAATGAGATAGACTGTCAAATTAAAAGTTAGCTTATTTTTAAGTCAAAAAGCGATTTTATAATTTAAAAAAAAAGAAAACTGTTTTAGTAAAAATTATACAAAAATAATTTTATTATTGAAACATTGAGTTTTCATTGGATAGAGGGAAAATTTTCTAAAAATTAGAAAGGTTACAGAAACGATAGAAACTATTTTTTCTATTTTTGGTGACATAACCTAAAAAATTTTTTCGTTTCTTTAATGTTGAAAATTTTTTAATATTTATCTAATGTTAACTTTAATATTTCAGTGTTAAAAAAAAGTTATATTATCGCTTTTTATAACTTAAAAATAAGAAAATATGGAGTCTATCGTAAAAAAATAACAAAGTCGTTATTTTTCGTTCACTTTCGTCAAATATTCGCATATTTATTTCAATATTAAATTCCAAAATATTCTCAGATATTCCAAAACATTTCAAAATATTTAGCAATATTTTTAAATATTCTAAAATATTCTCAAGAATTTTCTAATAAATTCAAATATTTTTTTAAATTTCAGTTTTTGAATACAAAAAATACTTGTTAATTTCAATTTTTTTTTGGTTTTCATTTCATATACTATTTTTACTATTTCGTCGATGAACTTTACAACATTTATGATCGATGATTGAAAAAAAAAATTTCACATAAAAAATAATAATTTTTTACTTGCAATTTTCTTTAAAAAAAAAATCGTTGATTTCAAGAAACGTGAAAAATTTTTAGATAAAAAATAATAACAAATTTATACTCTTTTATAGTAAATTAATCTTGTATAATCCATTTTTACAGACTTATATATCTGACGAGGACACGAAAACGTGTTGAAACGAGTCATAAAATTTTATACAAAAATTATTAAAAAACCATTAGGCCAAACAAAAATTACCATCTTTTATTTAAAAAATAATAAATAGAAAAATATTTTTTTTAAATCGTTTTTTATAAATGTTCTAAACCACTATTCCTCGACGAAAAATATAAAATTAAACGTTGAATAAAATACTGTTTCTAAAATTTTGTTACTTTTTAAAGATGATAGTTATTTTAAACAATTATGTCCTAATTAAAACTTAACATATAATATTTAATTTCTTATTTGAATAAAATATTCAAAAAAATTTTGGTATTAAATTATAATTTTTCAGTATTCTTTGTAATATTCTTGAAAATCGTATAATTTAAAATAATTCCGCACATTCTTAAATATTTCCATCAACTTTCAGACAAGGGTTATAAAATTAAATGAAATTAAATATAGGAGCGTTATTTATATCGTATATTTCGTTATTATTGCTTGTCGTCCAGCGAATCAAAAAATTGTCGTTCGAACAAATGTGAAATTCATTATTAGCAATAGGGCTATTATATATATATATATTTATGTATGAAGTGATGACAAAAAAAAATAAATTACAGAAAAAAAATACAGGCACGTGCGATCTCACAATATAACGGATAACTTAATTATTATTATTATTATTAAATGATAATAAATTTATGTACATATTATACTTTACATAAAATTAAGTAAATTTTTTTTTTCTAAATTCATGCCTATCGATAAATTGTAAAAGATTTTCGAAAAGCTTTTTTCTAACATAAACGATATAATAACAATGTCTTTTTTTTAATGCACAATTCTTTAAAAAGTTGATCGAGTGTTTACAGTCTTATGCATATTATAGTCAAATAAATATTTTTCATATTATAATAATCTTAAAGCTTATAATACTTTTGCTTGTAAAGCCTATATATTTTGTATTTTCATCAGTATATGACTCATTTGATATAGTTTTTTTTTTTCTTTTTTTTTTGCAGATAAGAGAATCGCTTTGACAATGAGAGGAAAATTCAGAAACTTAGAATTCTAAAAATAAATAATGTATATAGTGAATGAGATAAAGAAGAAAGAAGTAAAAGAGAGTGTACAGTGAATATGTATTTACTGAGTTTCATGTGATACTAAAAGGATGTGCGAACGATTATTTTTTTTTTTATTTTTTTTGGTTTGTGACTCTTTACAGGCCACCTCCAGATCTCTCCACGCTGATCTTCTTCTTGAGAGCATCTTTTTCATGTTGTGCTTCCTCCATTTCTGCCATTCTTGCAAATCGCGAATAAGCAACATGTCCCGACTTGATTGCCGACATCATCTGAATAAAGAAATTATTTAATTAAATTTCATTTTTAATTCTTTGTTTTAATAATCGTGCAAATAATCTAAATTTCTCAAATACAATTAAACAAGGGTGTCCAGCAATTTTTGAAAAAAAAAAATTTATTTTAAAGTTTTTCAAGGTTTAAAATAATTTTTTTCAAAATCCACTTTCGACGTAGAAACTATAAAAATATTTGTTATTTATCATAAAGTTTTGTTTTTTAATTTTTTCTCAATAAATATAAGATGAATAAGTAGAAATAAAAACATTTAACAATTTAAAAAATTATGTGATAAATAAATTTTAAGGGATATTTTAAGTATTTTTCATTGTCAAATTTTTTTCCACACTTTTTTTAATGATTTTTCAAAATCTATTGCATGGATTTTCAAAAATATTAATTTTTTCAAAAAATAAAGATTCTAAAATAGTGAAAAAATTAAAATTTCATTTTTTTGAAAACCTCATATGTTTTTAGGTTCCAAATGATGGAAAAAAAATTTAACCTCGTTTAATAAGAATTTGAAGCAAATAATTAAACACGAACAGATTGAGGTAAACATTGGAAAAAAAAACAAGACAATATTTGATAAAGGAACAAAAATTAAAAATTTCAGAAAATAAGTATTGGAGAAACATTGAGAGAATTATCGAGAATTTTAGAAATTGACAAAATGAAAGGAATATTTTGTCAGAAAAATTGCAAATTTTGGGTTACTAATTTTGGCTTAAATAAATAAATTTTAGGATATTTAAAAAATAAGAATAAATATTGAAAAAAAATGTTTCAAAAACACAAGAATTTTAGAAAAATGATAATAAAAAGTCGAAGAAATTGAAAGAAAAAAATGATAATTTTAAGAATTTCACGTGATTTTCATTAAAAAAATTTTTTTTCTTGACTAGAATATTTTTTTCAAAATCTTTATGAAAAATAAGAAAATACGTATTTTTTGATTTTTTGATTTGATAAAAATTGTGGAATTTATTATTTTTTTAAATTTAAGGTCGTTGAAAGCAGAGTATTTTTGAAATGCGTTTTTCTCTCTTCTACTAACAGATGAAAAATAATATTATATATATGAAATTTGTTTTGATTTTTCTTCAATATTTTAAATTTGAAATAAAAATTAACGTAACTACCACGGAAGCATTTAAAAATTTAAATTAAATCTAAAAAGTGACTTTCGTCAAAACCAAAGGGATCGATTTTTTTATTTTCTTTTTTAAATCCATTCCCTGATAAATATATGAATTTTTTTCCACAATTCATAACTTCTATAATTTTTAGCAAATAAAAAAAATAAAAAAAAATTGAAAATTTTAGAAATTAACAAAAATGAAAGGAATATTTTGGCAGGAAAATTGAGAATTTTGAGCCACTTTGTAATAATGAATAAATAAATTTTAGAATTTAAAGAAATAAGGATAAATATTGGTGAAAAATGTTTTAAAAAATGAGAATTTTAAAAAAATGAAAGTAAATTAAAAATTTAAGAAAATAAAAAGTCGAAGTATTTGAAAGAAAAAATGATAATTTTAAGAATTTCAATTAAGAGAATTTGAAGAATAATTTGAAAAAGAATAAAGAAACACGAGAATTTTATAAAAATGAAGAGAAATTAAATTTAAGGAAATATGTATAGTGTGGAAAAAAGAAAAATCAAGAATTTTATAAATTTTCAGAATAAAAGAAGAAATCGCGAGAAAATTGAGAATTTCTGACTACTTTGTAAAAGTAAATAAATATATAAATTTTATAAATTGGAAAAAAATGAAAATTTAAGGGATAAATCGCTTTAAAAACGAAAATTTTTAATAGTGTAAAGATTTAAGAGGATAAAAAGTATTAAAAAAAAACAAATTAAAAAAAAATCGAAAAAATCTTCGAGTTTTAAAAAAATTAGAATTTATGATAAAAAATTTAGATCTTTGTTCCGTTTGTAAAAATAAGTAAATGTTAGGAATTTAAATTTTTTTTAGGAAATTTTAATAATTCAAAGTTTTTTTTTATAAAATTCAAGGAATTTCAATGTTAAAAAAAAATTCTTGAATTTTTCAAGGTTTTCAAGGTCTACTGGACACCCTGTTAAAATTTCTTTCTTTCCAAAAGATTATTTTGTAATTTCTCTCAATTTAAATTTGAATATCCTCTCTGTCCAATTGACTACGATTTAAGCAATAAATTTAAATCATAATATCAAACTAAAACATTACAAAACATGCGAAAATGGCAACACGAAATTAGAATAAAAAAAAAAGCATGCCAAATCAAAAACTTCACTTTTGTCATTAAAAAAATTAAATTCCACTTGACATATAATGAGAAAAAATAATGCTTAATTAAAGCAAAACCTAAAATATTTTTTTTTTTTTTTACAATTTTTTGACATTCGAGAAGAAGTACAGAAGAAAGTGAATTAAGCTAAGCAAACAATTTGCGTCGAAGAAATTTTTTTATGCAATCTATAAAATTCGAAATCATAAAATAATTTCCTCAATATTAAATTGATACGAGATGAAAATTAAGAGCTTCGTAATTTCTATATTTCAAAAAAAAATTTTTTTGAATAAATTCAACCAAAAGAAAAATCGATTCTGAGCAATCGAAACTCAAAATTTTTTTTTTTTCAAAGACTAGTAAGCGCATGCTTTTTAACAGCGCAATAAAAATTTTGACAGTTCAAAAATGAACGCTTTTTTTTTGAAAAAATAGTCTGTGGCTTAGTAAGATGATCATAAAAAAGTCGAGACGAACTCAGAGAAATTAGTGCACAGTGTAAACTGAAAAGAATTAACGATCGATTGAATCCAGTTTAAAGTGGACGTTATACAATCGTGGAAAGAAATCCGCTAAAGCCTTTTTTTTTTATCAACATTGACAGACCTGAAGATATTCGTCCAGCTCGACTTGACCGTTCATATTAGTGTCGATTTCGCGGAGGATTTCATGAAGTTCCTCACCCGGTACGTCCTTGTCGCCAAAGAGCTGCGCAATGAAAAAAAAAACCGATTCATTAACTTTATAGAATTATCATATTACCTGTAGATAGTCTTGAAGTTCCATTTGGCCATTGTATGAGAGATCGATTTCGTTGAGTAAATTGTGCATTTCAGCCTCGTTCAGTTTTATACCGAGTGCCTAAATTTATGTGACATAATATTAATTAAATATTCATTAATAAATTAAATATTAATTAAATTCAATCTGGAATGTTAAATTTTATAAAACTGCAACGATACTCCTGTAAATTTCATTAAAGAACTTCAGGATAAATTCTCTTCAAAAATAAATAATTTCTAATTTAAAATAAAAAAGAAAAAAAATAATTTCTAAATATTCGCACCTTAAGACCTCGTCTAATATCGTTAATTGAGACGTATCCTTTGCGATCTTTGTCAATGATCTGGAAACGTTTGATGTAGAGTTGAATTTCATCTTTGGTAAGATTAATAGGAATTTTATCGCGTGAAGCACGATTGACAACTTGACCCATTTCATTAGCGAGAAAATCGCTTGCTTCCTTTTGTTGTTTCTTTTTTTCATCAGCTGACCAATGTAATTCTTCGGCCATAATGTCGACAATGCCAGGAAGTGCTTCCTGTGCTGCTTGTACATTGAGGAACGCAAGTCGCAAACGTCGAGCAATCATATCGATTGCAGTTCTTGCATACTCACGACATCCATATCGAATCTGAAATTATTTATTTATTTTACAACAATTTTAAGGGGGGAGGCATCACTTTTATTTAGAAATTTATTTAATCTTAATGATCGCACAATGATTTTTTTTTATCGGTCATAAAAACAAATAGTGCGGTCAAAAAAAGAGAATCTTCATTTTTGACCTTTTTAGAATTTGTAGAGTCTAAAAGTCATTTAGATTTTATACTCTGCTTCTGATGACGTTAAATTAAAAAAAAAAACATTATTTCTAAAAAATTTTGTCAAATAAAAAAAATACGTATTTTCTTAGTTTTCATAAAGATTTCGAAAAAAATGTTATAGACAAAAAAAATTTTAGTTACCGAATTTTTGTTTGGCAGCATTTTTATTTTATAGTCATTTAATTTACATGACTTTTATAATTCAAGAGAATTTTAATATTTAAATGAATTTTAACAAAATTCTCATTCAATCGAATTTTGAATTTCAATTCACATAATTTTTATTTTAACAAATTTTTAAGACATCGAATTTTCATTTGTTCGAAATTATAAATGACCGAACAAAAAATCGACAGAAAGATTTTGGCGCAATTTTTAAAATTGATCAATTAAAAATTCTCGAGAAAATCGTGATTGGTCAATTTTCAAAAATTACACACAAATCTTTCTGTCGATTATTTGTTTGGCCATTCGTAATTTCGGACAAATGAAAAATTCGGCGTCTTAAAAATTCTATCAATTAAAAATTCGTACAAATAAAAATTCGGTGAATTGGAATTTCTGTCATTTAAAAATTTGAATCACATAAAATTCGATTGAATGAGGATACTGTTAAAATAAAATTCACTTAAATTCAAAATTCTCTTAAATAAAAAGACATGTAAATTAAATGACTATAAAATAAAAATTCAACTAAAAATTCTTCTAAAACAAAAATTCGGTAACTAAAAATTACTATAAGAAGAAATTCTTTCAAATCCTAATTCAAAAAATAAAAATTCGTCTAAAAAATAATTATTTCTAATCAAATTCTTTAAAATGAAAATTCTAATTATAATTTTTACGGGATAATCCTGCGCCCTAATATAAAATGTATTATTTATGAAAATAATGATAATTTTTTTACTGTAAATAATAAATATAACAAAGTGGCTTTCGTAATATTTGTATAACTCAGTCCTTTCATGAAAGACAAAAAAATGTTTGACAAGAATTTTGAATTTTAAGAAGTAATTTTTCAGAACCTGTTGGAAATTTGAAAAAAATATTTTAAAATACCGATTTTATAACATAAAAATTAAAAAAGTGTCTGTTTCATCAAACTCTATTTTATTTTATTTTTTAATAAAAATTTTTGGAAATTTATACGAGAGATTCTTAAGTATCATTAGAAAAATTAATTTGTAAAAAAATTGTCAATGAAAAATAGTCAAAATTGTAAAAGTAGTTCACTATTTATGAGAAATGATTATTGACATTTGAAATTTCAATTCATTTTTTCTTTCCTTTTTTTAAAAAAATTTAAATCTTTGAAAATACATACGAGAGATTCTAAAAAAATCTTTAAAAAGCTTGTGAAAAAAAATTGTCGATGAAAAATAGTCGAAATTGTAAAAGTAGTTCAATTTTGAAAAATCTCTTATTTTTTTCAACACTAAATACTCTAAAATAGTAAAAAGTTAAGATTTTCTTTTTTTGACCACCCTGTATGTTTTCAGAATCCAAATAAAAAAAAAATCGTGCAATCATTAAAATTTAGTTGTCAAAGTAAAGTATTAATAATAATAATATTAATATTTTAATGAAGAGAGAAAAATTGAAATAAAAACCTCGGCGTCGATGTAAGGAAATTCGGGATGAATCTTTTTGCCAATAATCGGCCAACGTTTGCCAGTTAATGAAGCCATTTTTGCCACTGCAAAGGCACGATCTCCATAACTTTTTGCCAAATGCTGAGCGACTTCACATTCTAATCCAAAATCTTGTACCAATCGAATATACATGGTTGGCGTCCATCCGTGAGCTCCTTCCAAAAGCATACCATCTGTTTGACAAGGTCTTTCTGGTTCCAAGTCGCACGCTTGAAAAAAAATTTACCATTTAATAAACATAATGAATGAATTAAAAAAATGAATAGAAAATAAAAAAAAAAAAAAACCTTTAATTGTCGCGTCAATTGTTTCTTGGGCCATTGCTCGATAAGTGGTCCATTTACCACCGGCGATAGTTACAAGATTCGTTGGACTGACATGAACAATATGATTTCGAGCGAGGGATTGAGTGTTGGGTTTGTTTGGATCGGAAACAAGGGGTCGAATTCCACTCCAAGCCGAGAGTACATCACCACGACGCACCTCAACATCAGGATTTAAATAATTTTTCACCTCCTGAAGAATAAACATAATCTCATCTTCTGTTGGTTTTGGATTATGAGTTATCTGACAAGGAAGATCCGTCGTTCCAGCGATTGTCTGCTTTTGCCAAGGCAGGAAGAAAATTACTCTTCCATCGCTAGTTGCTGGATCAAGCAAACCCATCTGATCAGGGCTGTAATTCAAAAAAAAAAATTCATTTTATTTCCACCTTTAAATTTTCATTCTTTATATTTTTTTTAAATATTGCTTTAAAAATTTCTTCAATTAATATTTTATATTGATAAATATAAAATTTTTTTTGTCAATTTTTTTTTGTATATAATTGAAATTTTTGGTTTTTATTTTGACTTTATAAAATTTTGTCCTTTTAAATTTTTGACATTTTAAAACAAATTTAATTTTTAAAATTAATTAAATTAATTTTAACTAATTAGCCTAATGAGGTCGTTACATTGTGTCGAGAAACTCTTGAATTTTTGTTCAATTTACCTTTCCAAGATCATTTATCAGGTTTCGCACTTTTTAGTTAGCAAATAAATAGTAGCCGTGAAAAATATATTTTTACATTTATAAGAATAATTATTGTCTAATAATTCAAAACATTTCGTTTTTTATAGTACTTTTTTGAAATAGTAAATTTTCAGTTTTGTATTGACATTCAGTGCTTAACTTATAATAAAACATTGAATTACAGTTATAAAATTTGGGATTATCTTAAAAATAACTATTTAAAAAACTTTATATTTATGAAAAAAATATCTAATAAATGTTAATAATAAGACACTTAATAATTAATATAAAAAAAATTAAATAAAATTAACATAATAATAATTAAATATTTATTATTTTCATTTGTATTTCTAATTTTATTTAAGTAAAAAAAAATAAACAGAACTTTAAGAAAAAAAAGTCCCTGACTTTTTACAAAGTATTACCCTGATTTTACTATAATTGTTATTAATAATAAAAAGAAAAATTATTATTATTGATAGTTTTTTAAATTTGTAAACTTGTTTAAAAAAATTATTATCATTATTTATCAAGAAACTTTGTAATGAACTTTTAAAAAATCCAAAATATTGACGGAAGGGACCGGTGAAATTTCAACCCAACGAAATTAATATTGTTTAAAGGGTATCATTTTTCTTCGTGATAATATTTAGTATTTAAAATTATGAAATAATTTAAAAAATTGAAAAAAAAAATGGGGAAAGAAAAAAAAACATGAGAATTTAAGAAAAATTTGAAAAAGAATTAATAACATGAGAATTTTAGAAAATTTAAGGAAATACAATATTAAAGAGAAAATTTGAAAGAAAAATCACGAATTTCAGAAATTTACAAAAAGAAAAGAATTTACAGGAAAAATGGTAAATTTTAAACTAATTTGTAATAAAATTTGTAAATAAATAAAAAAAATTTCAAAAAATGATAATAAGAGAAAAAATGGTTTACAAAACGAAATTTAAAAAGAAAATGAAAAAAAATAAAAAATTAAAGGAAACAAGAAATCGAAGAAATTGAAATAAAATTAGGGAAATTACTCAAAAAAAAAAAAAAATTAGAAATTCTCTAAATAAAAAAAATTTTCCGGGGAAAATCGAGGATTTTAAAAATCCTTAAATTGAAAGGGGAATTTGTAGAAAAATTGATAATTTTTGACCAATTTATAAAAGTCTATAAACAGGGTTGTTGCAACAAAAATTTTATTTAGTTTTATCCTGACTTTTCCCTCATTTCCAGTCAGAATTTAATTTTTTTTCCTGACCATAATGAAAACATTTCAAGAGGTTTCCAATTTAAAAAAATTAAAACAATAATTTTTAAAAGAGAAATTTTAAATTTAGCATTTTTAGAAATTTGATATTTTTCCAACACTTTTCATTAAATTTTCTGACTTTTTCCTGATTTCCTTAACTCTTGACAACCCTGATAAATATAATAAAAGTTTAATGAATTCAAAAAAAAAAAAAAATGAAAATTTGAGGAAAAAATCTCTTTTTAAAAATTTTTAAATTAAATTAAAGAAATATTGTAGAAAAGTTCTAAAAAATTCTAACAAAAAATAGATTTTTATAGCACAAGGGCGAAAAAAGTAACCAAATAGTAACAAACTATAAAAAAATTAAGAAATAGTAGATTTCAATAGATAAGTGCGAAGCATGATTTATATTTTGCACATATCAATCAAGGAAGGATGTAATTCTAATTATTCAATGAAATTTCAATCACCTGTAATAACCAGGCAGAACAATGTGAACGCCGGATGATGGACAACATATTTCCGGAATACTGGCATCGTCCATTTTGCGAATACTGTCAGTGAAGGGACCCGTTGCGTTAATTATTGCCTTTGCTTTAACGTCAAACTCTTCGCCTGTTAATTCATCTCTAACTCGAACACCATTGAGAACTCTTTTTCCATCCTATAAAGAAATAGAGTAATATTTAAATATGTTTCAAGAAAATTTTTGGATTCCAAAAAAAGAAAATACATTTTTTGTTCTTTTTATAAAAATTCTTTTTAAACTTTTATTATCTACAATTATATTACAAAAATAAATATATATTATATGAATGAGCTACTTACTCGATCTAGACCCTTATACAGATTTAGAACATTAACATGATTAACTACTGTAGCACCGAGTCGTGATGCTGTAAGAGCTACTGCAAGATTCATTCTGGCATCGTCTTGTTGACCTGAATAATTTAATTTTTTTTTTTATATATTAAATAATTTAATATTTTAAACATTATTGTGCTCATTTAAATCGTTTCTGCTTGTCATTAAAAAAAAAAATAATATAGAATTGATGTAAAAAATGTAAATAATTATAAATAACTTCAATTGCGAACAAAAAAATAAACAGAACCTTATCGTTTTGATTTGTTTAAGATTATTATCAGCTATTGAGAAATAAGAGAAAAAATCTTTTTCTAGTTTTTCCAGTTTTTAAGTCATCAAAAAAAAGGGATAGATTTATAATTACTAGACAACACTGGAAATTTAATAGATAATAATTTATATCATTTTGTAAATTACTTTTAAAAATTCTTTCTAATTTTCTGTAATTTGACCTGGAAAATTTTGAAAAAGACCTAGAATTTTAATTAAAAAATTTTATAGAAATCCTGTATTGATTTTTTTTTCTCAATATTAAAGCAAATTGTAAGAATATATGTAATCTTAAAGATTATTTACATTAAAATTATTCTTACCGTCGTAATATACAATCGCTCCGGTGAGTTTATCTCCTTTTAACATTGGAAATAATTCTAGAGCATTTTGTTTACTTAAATAATATGAAGATTTAACAGTTTTGCTGCCAGCTACAAGGTCGTACATTTTAATACCAAACCAATAATATGGTATTTGCCACCATCTGTTAAAAAATGTCAATTATTTAACTAAATATATTATAATAGAAAAATTATAATAACAGACATCACAGTAGCTTTTCCCCTCAAAAAAAAAAGGTGAAAAAAGGAAAATTTTTTTTCTAAAAAAAAGGGGACAAAAAAATTATAATTTCTTATAGTTATTTTTAAACTTAATTCTAAATATTTTCCAAAAAAAAAAAAATCTATATTTTTTATCAAAAAAAGGTGAAAAAAGGGGACAAATCATAAAAAAATGTGAAAAAGGTGTAAAAGTTACTAACTATGATGCCTGTAATAATTATAATAAAATATAAATAAAATTGAACAAGATTCTAAAAATATTTGACATTATAACATGCGTGAGATATGATAATATTAAAAAAACACTTATATTGTAATTTGTACCTATACGTACGTGTAGACTGGTAACATGATGGGCAAAGGATGTGCAAGATGAGGAGCACTATAAAGCATTTGTGCTCTTTCGTGAAGAGCTTCCTTTACCATCTTATATTGTTCAACGTCGAATTGCATAATTGCTTTTTGTAAATATCTTACTCCACCATGAATTAATTTCGTGCTACGTGACGATGTTCCTGACGCAAAGTCATCAGCTTCAATCAAAGCTGTCTTTAAACCTATAAATTAGACATAATTATAATATTCGTTTCCAGCACTGATAAAAATAATAATTTTTTTTTCTATTTAAATCAAATTCAAATTCAATTTTCAAACATACACAAAAATACGCGAATGATTTTGATAAAATTCAAGTATTTTCAAAGCTTTCAATCAAATTTTACGAAATTTCAATTACTTACAATTACTTCACTTCAATATATATTCTAAAATTCAATTATTTTCAAAAATATAATTTAAAAAAAACTTAATTATTTCATAATTTGAATAAATTCTTCGATAATTGAATTATTTTTAAAAAATTTTAGTTTAACATCTTTTAAAATGAGAAAAAGTCAAAACTTTTAATTGAAACTTTTTCAATATTTATAATTATTTCTATTAAATCTATATAATTATGTTATTTATTAAAAAAAATTTAACTAAAACTCTGCAAATTTTATTATTTTCAAAAAATTCAATAAAATTCTTCAATAATTAAATTATTTCGATAATTAGCAAATTAAAATTATTGGTTTCAACACATTAATTTAAATTTACCTAAAATTGATTTATTTGTAAACAAAAATTACATTACAAAGTTTTCAAAAATTTCAATTAAAATATTAAAGATTTTAATTGTAGCTCTTACAAAAAATTTGTATCTATAAATATTTTTAGAATTTTAAATATTTTCCAAATTTTCAATTGAAAATCTTTTAAAATTTAATTATTAAATTATTAGCAAAAACGTTTAATTAATTCTCTAAAACTCAGTTATTGTTAAAAATTTGTAAAAAACATTCTTCAGCAATTCAAATTTACAAAAAAATTCCAATTTCAAATCTACTGAATATTCAAATATTTATTTAAAAAAAAGTTTTAATTAAAAATTTTCTTTATTTTCATTTTTGCCTGAAATTTAAAAAAAAATTCAGGAGTACTATGAATTTAAAAAAAATTTCAAATTAAAGTCGCGCCTGAAATTTAATTATTTCTTAAAATATAACCTGTTAATTTTCAAAAATTCAATTATTTTGATACATTTTCAAATTTTTTTTACGTATTTGTATGCTAATAATTGTAAAAATAATGTTTCGATTTGTTGTTGGAAATCAGAAATGTATAAGGTAATTCTCTGAGTGAATGAAATGAAAAATTAAATTAAAATTTAAAAAATTAAAAATTCTCTTTAAATGAATTTTGACGATAAAAATTTTTTTTTACCTTCCCCACATTTAATTCTTTGGATTTGAATTTTTCCTCTTAATTTTGAATTTACGAAGCTGAAGTTTATATTTTATAAATATAATATATATATATTATATTAATATATATATATTTTTTTTATTTTATTATATTTTATAGAAATAATTTTTTTAAATGAAAAATTCTATAAATTTTTGCCTAAAAAAAATTTCTTGTAGTTTTCATTAATCAACAAATTATAATAAAACTAGCAAAATTAAACGCGCGAAAGCGCGCCAAATTTACTATTTAATTGTTTGTTATAAAGAAATTAAAGATTAATATTATCAATAATAATTTAATTTATTAGAATATTATTACATATTAAATGATAATAATGAAAATTATATGTTTACAGGCCTCGGATTATACGACTTTTTCCGACTTTTTTCAAAAATACGACTTTTATCGACTTATTTTAATAAAATGCAACATTTTTTTTTACATTTGAAAAGAAAATGTAAATAAAATACATTTTTTTAGTATAACATGTAGATCTTCTTCAGATCTTCTTCAATTCAATTATTTAACAAATTTTGAACTAAAATGATTCTTCACTAAATTAATTATTTTTAATAATTTTAATGAAATACATTACAAATTCAATTATATCAAAATTATTTTTCAATTAAAATTTTTATGAAATTTAACAATTGTTTATAATTTAAAAAAAAATATATCACAATAAAATTGAATTATTTTTTAAAAATTTCAATTCAAAATAAATTAAAATTCAATTATTACCCGAAATTTTAATTCAAAATCAATTAAAAATCCAATAATTATCCAAAATTTTCAATTTAAAATTTAATTATTTACCAAGTTTTCAATTAATGAAATAAAATTCAATTATTTTCTAAAATTTCTATTCAAAATTAATTATCCAAATTTTCAATCAAAAATGAACTTAAATTAAATTATTATCCAAAATTTCAATTAAAATTCAATTATTTCCCAAAAATTTTCAATTTAAAATCAAATAAAATTTCATTATTCTCAAAAATTTGAATTCAAAGTTAATTGAATTTTCAATCATTTGAATTTAAAAGCATCTAAAATTTAATTATTTCTAAAATTTTCCATCGAAAATTTTTTTTTGAAATTTAATAATTTCAATTATAACTCTAAGGAAATTCATTTTTTTTTAACTATTTTAATAATATTCTTTGAAAATTCAACTATCTGAAACCATTTTTCAATTAAAAATGATTTTCCAATTCCGCATTTTCTAATAAATTTTTAGTGAAATCATCTAAAATTTTAATTACAAAACACTTAAAGTTTCAATTAATTTCAAAAATCTCAATTTTAAATCTTTGAAAATTCAATTAAATTTAAAAAATTGTTTAAATTTTAAATTTAAATTGTTTGATAAATTATTTTTAGTTCTGTAAAATTAATTAATTGTTTGAAAATTAACAATATCTTTTAAAATTTAATTATTTCTAAAAATTTCAACTTTAACCCTTTAAAAAAGATTATTATTAAAAAAAAAATTTTTATTTAAAAATCTGTAAAATATTTTTGTTAAAATAAAAAACAAATCCACTTTTTTTTAGAATATAAATCGACTGAAACGACTTTTTGTGTCTTTAAGTTGATACGAGGCCTGTGTTTTTATAATTAATATTTAATAGGTATTCGTTGGCCCCTGGTACCTTAAAAATTAATTTTTTTCAAATTACTATCTTGTACTATTCAAAAAAACACGTGAAATCAGAAAAGGCCAAATTCAAATTAGGACAGAAGGACAGACCAAGCATTTTATTATTATATAATATTTTTTAGGCAAAAAATTATAGAATTTTTCATTTTAAAAAATCGTTTATCATAAACGTTACGTATTTTGGCTTCTTTGAATTTTAACAGTTTATCTTAAATTGAAATTTTTACAGTCTATTAAATTATAAATATTATTTTCTAAAATTGATTATACTTAGAATGATTAATGTAAAATTATCTTACCTCGAGTGCACGCATCGAGAGCACATCCTGCACCTGTTGCACCTCCTCCAACTATAATAACGTCGTATTGCTCTCCAGATTTAAGAGCTTTTAATTGTTCTTCTCTTGAAGGAAGAGGTCGTTTTACTGGTTTAGAGAGTTTTTCCGCATGAACCTGAAAATTCAAAGAAAAATAACTTATTAAATTTAAAATCTATATAATAAGAGTTGCCAAAAAATATTTAATTTCTATTTTCCTAATTTACAGACTTTTATCATTTTCTCTAACCCTTAAAAAACTGTTTTTTTAAATCATGGAATTTTTTTCTATTTCTCCGCTTCATAATATAAGTGTATTTACTGATTATGTAACCGAATTTTCATTTAATGGAATTTTCTACTAAACGAATTTTTATTTAAAGAAATTTAAACTTGATTAAAATTTAATTTAACAAAAATTTTCCTTTAACCGAATTTTTGTTTTTATTTTATATTATTATTTAACATTTTTTAAATAAATTTTTTAAACCAAATTTTGCCGTTGACGGAAAATATTTAATTGAAAAAAAAATTTTAATAGAAAAATTGTAAGCATTTTTTATTTGTAAATACAAATAACAATTTAAATAAATCTATTTTTGGGATTTTTTTTTTCTAGTATTTTTTTTTTATAAAAATCCCTCACTTTTCTGTGATCTTGGACAACATGAGTGATAAAATTCTTTCGTTTTACTAGAATTAAAAATATTTTTTAAATTTTAATTTCTTGTTGTCAAATTTTTCATATGAGACAAGTTGAGTGTGTCATTAGGTCATCTGTAATACCTTAATTTGAATGTGTCTGCTATAATTAGAGTCACTATTATTAGAGCGATAGAATCGGCTACCACGATTAAAGCAACTATATAAATATATACACTATTTTTTTGATTTTCTTTTAAAGAACATGGATCACTTTGAGAAAAAAAAAGTGAATAATTGTTTTTTAAATCTTTATTATCGAAAAACTTATATAAAAGAAATCCTTGAAAAAACAATTATTATTATTACATTTTTTTTTCATTGTTTGACAAAAAAAAAGTATTTTTATTGCTAATTCTTTAGCTATTTATTTTCAATTTTTTTAAATTGCATTTAAAATTTAACAATAAACTTACTGTATTGTCGTTTGTGAAGTAATAATTAGTAAGAACACCTGCCCCCACAGCACTTGCACTAGCTGCCAATAATCTTAAAGAAGCCATTCCTAACGTCAATGTATGAAACACTTACGCGGATCTGTAACAAATAATTTTATATATTATAATAATTCGAAGAAAAAAAAAAAAAGAAATTCTCACTATTTGAAATAAATTAATATTTTAATTTTCATATCAAGATGTTAATTTATCTTTTAATTTATTGCATATATACAGATTAAACATAGCACGTGAGTATAAACGTCAGAGTTATTTGATAATGTACTTTTTCAAAAAGAAAGAAAAACTACATCATTCGGAAAACGTTATATAATTATGAAAAAAATGTAGCTTTGTAATAATTAACATATAATTATGTTCTTGACATAATTAATTTAAAAAAAAAGGAACACATACTTTGTTATTGCGTACAGATTATAAAACTTGACAATAAAATTTCTGTTGACACGCGCCAAATACGCAGAGAACATTAAGAGTTAAATATTTGACTTTCATCCAAAATATAATCTCAATATAACGTAAATTTTTATGGGAAAAAACATTTTGGAATATTAGAAAATATTTTTAAATGTTCATTCATCTCATTAGAAAGACATTAAAATTTTTTATAATTAGAAAAATAATTTTTAATCTATTAGATATTTTTGAACTATTGAAAAAAAAGAAACTGTTTATAAGTACATATATAACTATTTGAAATTGAATATAAGTATAAATCGATTTTGTTTCTGACACTGTATATAGGTAAGAGAGTACAATGTAATAAATAATTACAATGCAGCATCATTATGTAGACCTTGGCAGACACTCTAACCACGTGGAATTATGTAACTTGCATAATCTCACTGACCCCAGTCATCAGTTTTTTGTCAAACAGATAAGATATTAAAAATCAGAATTGAATTTTTATGATTAAACTTCCTTATTGGCAGTTTAGATAATGTTTATAGCAAGTAATTGATATTAAAGGAGTATTTAATGACGTCATTACTCTAATAGATAAAACAAAGATAAAATAAACTTGATTCTCTAGAAAAAAAAAAGTAATTTCCGTTGTTTCTTTTTTCTTTTTTTTTAAGGAAAATTCACTAATAATTTGTTCGAAGACAAAGCTGACCTTATGTCGCAATCTTGAATTTAAAATAGAATTTAGAGTTTCGTGCCAAGGGTTTCTAAATGTGACATATAGAAGTCAGTTTTGACAAAAATGATAGTTTTAAAAAATAGGCATATAATTTTTAATAATAATAATAATAATACAATACATCGGGCAAAAGTAAAAATTATTAATTCATTAAATCATTAAATAGAATATGTACACTTATTCTTCAATCAAATTATTAACTGATGTAACACACATTACTCAATGAACACCTCGATAGCAATGTCTAATTGTAAAACTTCTACGTAAGACTGAATAATTAAAAATGAAATAAGAATTTTTTCCTTCTTTTTTTTATGTTAAGTAAAGAAAATTGAATATTCTACAAAAAAGTAAATTCTGAATTTATAAAATAATCGATTTTTTGAATTGAACAAATCTTTGAACTATATTTAAAATTATTGCAAAAATATTATCAAATGAAATAAAAACTTGGAACATTTTTTTAACAATTTTTAAAAACACACTTTTTGATTGTTGAGAATGATACAATTATTATTTTCAATAAAACAATTGCAACTTTGAATTAAGTGTAACGTAATTTTTTTTTAAATTTCTAAATTTATAGTTATAATAAGTATATAAGTATAGCTATTAATAAATTATTAAATTTTCAACTTACAGTAACATGAATTCTTCCAAATACAATTTCACAGTGATGTTAACCAAGTACAAGTCATTACATATAAGCAAAACATTTAAGTTGGTGGGAACACGCGTGCGACCAGGTAGCTTGTCAGAAATATATGACTAGAAGTTACAATTGTATATATGTACAATTAACTTAATTTTAATTAATAAATTTCAACATTAAAGTAAGGTTTAATCACAATATCTGTTAATAGCTACCTGGTGCTAAATTACAACGGATTTGATTCCGATGAGTTTCTGTGCCGAAAAAATTAAATTAGTTCTGCTTTGGGAGCTAAATTGACCATAAAATATTCAAATAACATAGATGGGAAAGTATGAAATAGAAACAAAATCTCCCTTGGTCATTAATGCCTTCACTTTTCTGTCATTGTCTTACCATTGTATTGCCATGACAACACGTGCGTTAGAAAAAGATACGGGCAAGAATATGGGTTAAAATTTTACTTTAAGGGTATGTGGGAACCTCTCACGTGACCTAGTATAGGAAAATGTGTTTTGGTATTTAGTATACATTTTATTCTAAAATAAAAAAAGTTTTTTGTCTAAAATATTGAGGGATGATAGATTTCGGTACAAGGAATCTCGCTGATCTCCGAAAAATACATAATTTTGCGTTAAATTATTAAAAAATGAAGTTTAAAATGTTAAATTTTTCAACGAAAATGAAAACAAAGATGGCGGCGCAAACAATACCGTTACTTAAGCGTTTCAGTTCTTCAGCAAACAGCGCCAATTCGAGCAAGTGTCCGATGATAAACTATGATAAATAACATTATTTTACTATTTATTGTTTTATTTTTATTATTTTGGCATTAAATTTTATTAAATGAGTAGAATAGCAAGATACACACGTATTGCCATGACAACACGTGCGTTAGAAAAGGACAAAAAAGACCGAACAACCATGGCATACATGGCCAGGGTTGGGCAGTTACGCAAAACTTATAATTCTCTCGACGTATAATATGTAATAAACATCAAAAGCAGTAAAAAAAACAAAGTATATTACATTTTATAACAGAGATATCATAGGTATACAAAAAAAATTATTTAGTTAACATTTTTAAAAAAACAATTCGCCATTATCGTTTTTTTTAAAACTGTCACATATGGCACGTTTTTCTGTATTTGACGTCACAAAATGGCACAAACAGCTGCAAGCAGCAAACCTATGACCGTTTCTTAATGCAAAATGCTGTCATGTGATAACAGCCTTATATTTCTAACAATCACCTTACTTGAATATTTTGTTTCGTGTTCGATATTACATCTGAAAAAACAGTGATTTTATTCAGATTTTAGTTTTCTTCAATATGTTCAAACAATTGTTAAATTAGTGATTAATAAATTGCGAAACCAGGAATACGTGAATTGAAAGGATACATGATAATATTTACTGATCCATAATTGAAAACTGTTTATTCTGATTTCGATCAGAATTGACTGTGTCCCTTTTCTCTCTCTCTCTCTCACACATTTCACCATATCTAAAAATTTCACATGTTTCATTCTTTATGCTACTGCATAAAAAATGTCTTGTTTATATTTTTATAAATGCACACATTAGTGAATATATTCATTTAATCTATTTACAGTAAAAGTGTTGTCTTGACCAATGTGGCCATTTATTCTCAATCCATATTAAGCAAATGCATATTTTATCTCTTAAACAACTCGGTTAAGTGTTGTCAATGTGCAAACAAGTTGACGTTTTCACTGAATTGGTTTCGAAGTAGTTTCGAAAAATTTGCATTATATTTACAATCGACATGATGAAGAGCGGCGCTTGCACAACTAAAAAGGAAAGCAAGATGCGAATTCGTCCTTTTGCCGTAAGTGTTTTCATTTTTTTTTTCGCATGTATATATATAGATATATGAATATCATTTATTATTCTATAGCGTATGTTTTCTTCGCCAAAAATATTTTAAAGATTGCAGATACAATGCATTGTACATACAAAGAAAATATTCTTTGTGTTTTAGGCAATTATTTTGAAAACAATTATTTAAAAAATAGAAACAATATTTCAATAGATTTTTAATTTTATTGCTATAATTTTCGAATTTTAAAACGTATCTATTTTTTGTTCAATAAATTATATTTTAACTTACAAATTATTTAATTTTTAAAAAAATTTTCATAAATCGAAGAATTTTCTATTTAAAAAATAATTTTTTTCTTAAAATTATCTCGTTGGTATAGCAACTGAAATTTAAAAAAAAAACATAAGAAATTCAATTTTGTAAAAACAGTTTTAACCATTTTTTTATAAAAAAACAAAAATTAAAAAATTCTCATGTCAAAAATCAAAAGAAAATAGTAACAATTTGTTTTTAGATTGATAACGAAATTATATTTATGGAAAACTTGTATTTTTTTTCTATAACTACGTATCGTAGTTTTTGGTATTGTAAAAAAATAAAACATAAATTACGTCATCTGTCAAGAAATTTTCTCTGACTATTAAAAAAAAAAAAAAAATTAAAATTTTTATTAATTTCTGGATTACTCATGTAAGAAAATTAATTATGGAATCTCGTCAATTTGTTGTATCTGATTTTCCAAGTACATCTGGAGTCAGATTTGAATTAAATTCATCCGCAGGTTTAAATCGACTTGGCAATACAAATCCCTTAATGATCACCGAGACCCTCGTAAGGGTTATTGGCTATTTCACTTTAATTTTCTATTCTATTTTTATTTTCTTCAAAATTAAAAAAAATTATTTAATTCTCTATATGTTTTTAATTATATATAAAAATTGATTTTTTTTATAGACCACTATGGATGAAAAGTATGTGGAAAATATTTGGGCATTATTGAAAAATGCTATTCAAGAAATACAGAAAAAAAATAATTCTGGTTTGAGTTTTGAAGAACTTTATCGCAATGCGTATACAATGGTTCTTCATAAATATGGCGAACGTCTCTACACTGGTTTAAAAGAAGTTGTAACACAACATTTAGAGAATAAAGTACGAGAAGATGTTCTTAAATCACTTCACAATAATTTTCTGCAAACATTAAATCAAGCTTGGAATGATCATCAAACGTCCATGGTTATGATCCGAGATATTTTAATGTATATGGATCGTGTTTATGTACAACAAAATAGTGTTGATAACGTTTATAATTTAGGGCTCATTATATTTCGCGATCAGGTAAGTTTATTTTTTTTTATAATTTTAATCTTTGAACCACCAAAAATTTTCCATAATTATTAATAAGACAAAAAAAATAATTTTCAGGTTGTAAGATATGGATGTGTAAGAGATCATTTACGAGAAACCTTATTAGATATGGTTGCTCGAGAACGTAGAGGAGAGGTTGTTGATCGTATAGCAATAAAAAATGCTTGTCAAATGTTAATGGTCCTTGGCATTAATAATCGTGTTGTCTATGAAGAAGATTTTGAAAGACCATTTTTGCAGCAAAGCATAGATTTTTATCGAGTAAAAAGCTTCATTCTTTTTAGTATTTTAATTTTTAATAATCTAAAGCAATAGAAAATGTAATCTTTATTTTAATTAATAATTCTGGTTTTATATTATTATTATATATTTTTTATTTTTATTTAATTTATATTTTTTATAAATGTATTTTTCTTTATAGATGGAATCACAAAAGTTTTTAGCTGAGAATAGTGCATCAGTGTATATAAAGAAAGTCGAAGCAAGAATAAGTGAGGAATCAGATAGAGCTAAACACTATTTAGATGAATCGACTGAGCCGCGAATAGTAGAAGTAGTAGAGGATGAGCTCATTAAAATTCACATGAAAACAATCGTTGAGGTATTTATCAATTATATTTTATTTTATCAAATTTATTAAGAACTAAGTTTTATTAACAGGGTGTCCAATAGACTTTGAAATCGTTGAAAAATTCTTGATTTTTTTTTAACATTGAAATTCCTTGAATTTTATAACAAAACTTTGAATTATTAAAATTTCCTTAAAAGGATATTTATTTCTTAAAATAATTTTTTACACTGATAATCGAATTGTTAATATAAAATTAACAAATTGCAAAAAAAAATTTTATTAATTAAAAGCATTTTTTGAAAATTTCTAACATTTATTTATTTTTATAAACGGAACAAAGATCTCGATTTTTTATTATAAATTCTATTTTTTTAAAAAACGCAGATTTTTTCGTTTTTTTCAATTTATTTGTTCTAATACATTTTATCTTCTTAAATTTTTTTATTAAAATTTTTCGTTTTTAAAGCGATTTTTCCAAAATTTTCATTTTATTCAATTCATAAAATTTATATATTTATTTACCTTTGCAAACTAGTCAGAAATTGTCAATTTTCTCGCTATTTCTACTTTCGTTGTGAAAATTTATATAATTTTAGATTTTTCCTTTTTTCCACACTATACATATTTCCTTAAATTTAATTTCTCTTCATTTTTATAAAATTCTTTCAAATTATTCTTCAAATTTTCTTAACTGGAATTTTTAAAATTATCATTTTTTCTTTCAATTTCATTGACTTTTTATTTTCTTAAATTTTTAATTTATTTTCATTTTTCTAAAATTATCCTTTTTTAAAATATTTTTTTCCAATATTTATTCTTTATTTTTTAAAAATCCTAAAATTTATTTATGTAGTATTACTAAGTGTCCCAAAATTCTCAATTTTCTCGCAATTTCTCCTTTTATTATGAAAATTTATAAAATTCTCAATTTTCCGTTTTCCACACTAAACAATATTCTTCTTAAAAAAATTTTTTTTTGACTTTAACAGTTTTTTTTCAAAATCTTTATGAAAAATAAGAAAATACGGATATCTATATTTTTTGATCCGATAAAAATTATGGAAAAAAATCCTTATTTATCAAAGAATGGATTAAAAAAAAATCAAAGATCAATCACTTCATTTTTGAGAAATGTAAATTTTTATATTCAATTTCAATTTTTTAGATTTTTTCATAGTAGTTACGTTAAGTTTTATTTCTTATTTAAAATATTGAAGAAAAATCGAACAAATTTGATATATAATATTATTTTTTATTTGTTAGTTGGAAAGAGAAAAACGCATTTCACGACCATAAATTTTAAAAAATCATAACTTCCACAATTATTATCAAATAAAAAAAATAAAAAAATACATATTTTCTTATTTTTCGTAAAGATTTTGAAAAAAATATTCAAGTCAAAAAAAAAATTTAATGAAAATCTCACATAGAATGCCCCATATAATTTTTTAATTCTTAAACTGTGAAATGTTTTTATTTCTACTTATTCATCTTATATTTATTGAGAAAAACTAAGAAACAAAGCTTATTTTATTATAAATAAAAAATATTTTCATAGTTTCTAAGTGAACCTGGAAAAAAATTATTGTAGACCTTGAAAAACCTCGAAAAAACCATGAATTTTTTTGTTTTTTTTTTTGAAATTGCTGGACACCCTAATTGACTTTTTTGTGACATTTTTCGCATCTCAATGTCGATCCTTGTCTTGAGAAAGTAAAGACTACATAAAAATTAAATTCGCAGATGGAAAATAGTGGTGTAATTCATATGCTTCAAAATCAAAAGATTGAAGATCTCAACAGTATGTATAAACTATTTTCACGTGTTACTGATGGATTGCGAACAGTATGCGATTGTGTTTCACAATTTCTTCGGGAACGTGGTCGAACTTTGGTTCAAGAAGATCAAGAATCGTCGACAAATGCTGTTTCATTTGTTCAAAATTTGCTCACATTAAAAGATGGATTCGAACATTTCCTTCATTACTCTTTTAACAACGATAAGCTTTTTAAACATATGATTGCAGCTGATTTTGAACACTTTTTAAATTTAAATCCAAAAAGTCCAGAATATCTTTCACTTTTTATTGATGATAAATTAAAGAAAGGCGTTAAAGGCGTAAGTTTTTTGATATTAAAAAATTATAATTTCAATTCTATTTATTATCAATGGAATAAAATAAAAAAATATATTTTCCTTTTATTGCAGATGACAGAACAAGAAATCGAAGGAATTCTTGACAAAACAATGGTTTTGTTTAGATTCTTGCAAGAGAAAGATGTGTTTGAAAGATATTATAAACAACATTTAGCCAAGAGACTTTTATTGAATAAATCTGTATCCGACGATAGCGAAAAGAATATGATATCTAAATTGAAGGTTTGTTTTTGGAATTTTCAAAATTTTTTTTTTTTTTGTTGCCGAACAAAATTTGATAAAAACCTAGTTCTGACAGGAACAAGGGGCTTTTAAAGTCAAAGTGGACCTTTTCCTTGCTATGAAAAATCTTCAAGTTGATCCTTTTGACGATTCCTCGGATTTTATTATTCCTATTTGACTTTCATCCTGGAAAAAAATTATCCTTCTCCTAATCAATTTCTTCTATATTTGTCAGACTTATTGCAAAGTAAGTGTATGCTCTGTAAACCATGCTGAAAACGTTTTGTTTCAATGTATTACAGCAAAATCGTCATTTTTTTTGGATTCAATTAAAATTTAGCAAATTTCTATTTTTAAATTTCATTTGGAATATCCAATAATTTAAGGATTGTTTGCGAGTGCCATGTGATAGCTGACAGTAGCACGGTCATAAAAAAAAAATTAACATGAAACTTATTCGCATGGTTTAATGAAGCTTGCACTTTTCTTTCAAATTGAAATGAGTGACTTTGCGACTTGCGCAGCTATTGCAGGACTTTGCTAATTTAATTTTTTAATAATCAGTTTTCTTCTTCTTTTTTTTTGTAGACTGAATGCGGATGTCAGTTTACGTCGAAACTGGAGGGCATGTTCAAAGATATTACACTAAGTAATACTATTATGGATGAATTCAAAGAACATGTTAATACATTTGGAGTAAGTTTCTATTTTATCTATAAAGTTTGAAATTTTATTTTTTTATGTATTTTTAAATTGTTTTATCAATTTTCTTTTTCCTAGACAAACTTACACGGTGTGGATTTAAGTGTTCGCGTTTTAACCACTGGCTTTTGGCCAACACATTCGGCTACTCCAAAATGTAGCATTCCTCAAGCGCCAAGAGATGCCTTTGACGCTTTTCGTCGTTTTTATCTAGCTAAACATAGTGGCCGTCAGTTAACTTTACAACCTCAACTAGGTAATTTTTTTTGAATTTTTAAAATTAATTTTAAGAAATAGTTAATGTACTAATCAGAGTGTCCAGCGGACATTGAAATTCTTGAAAAGTTCTTGAAATCTTGAAATTTTTAATTCAATTTAAAATTTTTTTTTTGAAATTTCGAATTTGATTTTTTTTTTAAAATCGAAACTTGAAAATTGTCCTAAATTTTTTGTCTACCTCGAAGTAAAACGTTTCTTGAAAAAATGAAAATACTAAGAATTTGTGAATAGAAATTTTATAAGTGATTAATTAAAAAGATACGAATTCTAAAAATTAAAATTTCTGCCAAACAGTACTAGAAAAGCTCTAAAAATTTACTCCGTGACATTTTTTTGAAATATTAATATTTCTCAAAATAATTAATAATTTCTGATCTAATAGCAGATAAAAGACAAATTTTTAAACTTAAAAATTTTCAAATTAATAAAATTTTGTTAAAGTAAAAATTGTGCTACATAATTTTTACTGAATAAAATTTTCGTAAAAATGTATTATTAAATATTTTTTAATAATTCGTAATATTTAAAATCTTTCCCAATATTTGATTTCAAAATTTTTGGTAAAATTTTAATTTTTTCAAAAAATAATTTTTAATTTTCTTACCGGTTTTTTTTTTAAGAAGAGTGAAAGCTCTTTCAGACCTAAAAAGAAAGAATTAAATATTCCAAAATTAGTCTAAAAAATATGATACGAAAGATTTTTTCTTAATTTTAAAATAAATGACTTTTCCGACTTGAAAATTAAAATTGTTATAATTTAACAAAAAAATTTTAGCCAAATGAAAAAATACGTGTCGTCTAAAAATCATTAAGAAATCAAAATTTCGGACATGAAATAAATTTTCAGCACCGAAAAAATTCAGTCTGCCTGATTTGAAATGAATTCAGTCTTTGATAAAAAAAAGTTTTTTATTTATTTGTATAATATAAAATCGTGCAAAAATTTTGTGAAATTATTTTTGCACATAATTAAAAATATTATTTTTTTAATTTGAAAGAACATTGCTTATGTTCAATTTACAATTTTTTTTTAATTTTTTTGATTAATTGTGCGTTAAAAGTAAAATAGTATTGTAATTTATTGAAAATAAAATTGAGAGAATGTCCCAATTTAAATTAATTTAAAAAATAATTAAATTTTAGATATTCAAAATACAAAAATAAAAATTTTATGATTACATAATTTACTTAATTTAATTTTTCACGCGCTTATAATTTGCTGGTAATTAATAAATTTTGATTTTATCTTTAACAACAGGATCTGCTGATCTTAATGCCATTTTTTACGGACAACAAAGAGAAGAAACGGGTGGAGTTGATGCACCCACATCATCTTCCTCCGTAAATAGCGGAAATAATGCTAGTAATCTTTTGAGTCCGAAACCCAGTGGAAATGGTGGCTTAAGAAAGCATATTATTCAAGTTTCAACTTATCAAATGTGTGTTTTGATGCTCTTCAATAACAGAGAAAAGCTAACATACGAGGTTCGCTCGTCAATATTCTTTTTTATTAAAATTTTTTTAATCTATCGAATTTTTCCTATAAACTATATTCTAATAATTTCTTCTCACAGGAAATACAAAGTGAAACCGATATTCCTGAAAGAGATCTAGTACGAGCTTTACAGTCACTTGCAATGGGAAAAGCAACTCAACGAGTTTTGTTAAAATATCCACGAACCAAGGATATTGAACCTACTCACCAATTTGTTGTCAATGATAGTTTTACAAGTAAATTGCACAGGTATTATTGTTTCTTAAATTATTATTATTATCATTGAAACTATAAAAATAGGTTGAATTTTTTTCGATTGATGATATAAATTTATTATAGAGTGAAAATTCAGACAGTAGCGGCTAAAGGAGAATGTGAACCAGAACGAAAAGAAACGAGAAATAAAGTTGATGAAGACAGAAAACACGAAATAGAAGCAGCCATCGTGCGAATTATGAAGGCACGAAAACGCATGGCAGTAAGTATAATTCTATTTGTTTTGTGTCAATTTATTCTTATAATAATAGTTATTTTAAAAAATAAAAATTCATTTTCAGCACAATATTTTGGTAACCGAAGTAACTCAACAGTTACGATCACGATTTTTACCTTCACCGGTTATAATAAAGAAACGTATTGAAGGTCTCATTGAACGAGAATATCTTGCTCGAACGCAAGAAGACAGGTAACAGAAAATTAATTAAATATAATAAAAATTAAGGGTATTTTTATTATTTTTAAATTTTGGTTGAAATTGTTAGTTCGTTAAAACTTATAATTATTTAGGATGACAATTTTGAAATCGAAAGAACGTTTACTTACAATTAAATCACCTTGATTATTTCTTAAACTTCGAATTTTTAAAATTCTTTCACGTTTCTAGGAAATTTCGATGTTTTAAAATTAAAAATCTATTCGAGTTTTGGTTTACTTTAGCGTTAAATTTTATTTATTAATTTATTAATTATTCAATTACATATAAAAAATTTCCAATAATTTTTCCATTAAATTATTTTTTTTACCCTTTAATATATTTGAATATTTAATTAGTTTAATTTTACTAATATAATTTTGTATTCTCTTTTTGCAGAAAAATTTACACGTACGTCGCTTAATCGCTTTATCAACGGATTCTTACAAACGTGTAAGTGTTCTAAAACAATGCGCTCTACATTTTTTGGTATTTGCATTTCCAATTCTAGAACTTTATTGATCTCTGGTGATTGTTCACTTTCACTCAAAGGATTTAAGGATACTCATGTAACTATATTATGTCCAAGAAAAAGAGTAGATTATTACATAATAAACTTTATTCCATTTGCTTTCTTTTTTTAAAGAGATTGATTTTTCTTTTCTACCGGTACTCGCAAAAATTGTTCATTTATTGAAACTTTCAATCAAGGCACGAATTTATTTTTAACTTAACTGATAATTGATAGTGCTTTGAGTGTTAAGTAAATTTAGGAAAATTTTAATATGAAATTTTTCATATTTTTAAAAACAAGATGTTAACAATTTTTTTTTTCTTTTATATTTGTAATTTGTATATTAATTTTTTGAATTTTTGTTTTTCTATCGCAGAAAATGTAAAACTTTAGAGAAAAAAAATTATTGTTAATAAAAAATATCAATTTCTATCTATTAGTTATTAATTTATTTTTAAAAAAGAAAAAAGGTATAATATTGAAAATATAAAAATTTTAAATTAAAATTCTCAACATTTACTTAGCACCTAAATCACTATTGATTGGTAACGAAATAAAATTCCGTGACATCAACTTCTGTTTTCATATAAAATGTCTCATTAACTAAAATCAGATTTGCCAATGACTTTTAGCTTAGCTCAATTTTTTTAAGCAATTGAATTCTCTGTTAAAGCTTGTAATTTTTCAAATATTATTGAAAAAGAAGTAAAACATTATGTTCTTTCAGAAACTACCAAGTTTGGACTGAAATAACCCTGATTTACATCGTGCGTTATTTTAATTTAAAAAAAAAAATTGTTGCGTCAAAAAAAAAAAAAATTTACTCATGGAATTTTAATTAAAAAAAAATATGTCACCAGATATTGTATGCAACGACTTTTAAAATGTTCTTTCTCCTTTTTTTTATTTTTACGACTATATGAATTTCAAATTGCAAAAAGTATAAAAAATAATTCTGGATGTTTGTAATCCACAAAACTCGAAGAAAATTGAGCTAATGATGAATGTTGTAAGATAAACGAAGATTGTTAGAAAATAAATTAATTGATAAAGAAAAAAAAAAAAAATATATATATATATATAAAAGGTCAGCATCAAATCAGTTTCTTCGATCATTAAATCAATAGTCAGTTCTTGATAGCCATTTGGAAATTTTCATTTCTTTCGTATCATAATAATTTATTATCTATTATATAGTTTATTCAAGCAATAACCAATGTGGTGTAAAATGTAACATGTCGAATTTTCACTTACAGACTATCAAGAACTATTTAAATCTCGAAATGCATCGGTAAATATGTTATTTATTGATATATTACGACTGCCAAATAAGAAAATTAATATTAAAATTGATATATTGTGTAGTGTTCGCGATTAAGGTGTATAAATATAGAAAGGTTTACCTATTATAGCCAATTATTTGAAAATTCAATAGAATAGATTTAAGTTACATTTTTGAAACTATATATATAGTTTGAAATAATAAACTTATCATAATAAAAAAAAAAGTGGGTTTATACATTGAAATCGATCCATGTACCTAATTAATTTATTAGTTTGCTACTTTATAAATTTTAGATTCGTGGAGAAAGATTTGTAGTCTTTAAATTAAATTTTTTTTTTTTTTTATTATATTAAACAAAATTTCCTCTATATAGAAAAATTTTTTATGTAGAGGAAATTTTGTCTAGCGGACCTTCAAATCCTTTGAAAAAACCTTGAATTTTATAACAAAAGCTTAAATTATTAAAATTTCCTAAAAGGATATTTATTTCTTAAAATAATTTGTTACACTGACAATCGTTAATTAATTAATTAACACTAACAATTTTTAATATAAAACTAACAAATCTGGTTTGTTATTGGAAAAAAATTTTCATTCATTAAAAAAAATTGTTTTAAAATTCCTAACATTTATTTATTTTTAAAAATGGAACAAAGATCTCGATTTTTTATCATAAATTCTAATTTTTTTAAAATTCGCATATTTTTTCGATTTTTTTTCAATTTCTTTTTTTCTGATATATATTTTAACTTCTTAAATCTTTTTATTATTAAAAATTGTCGTTTTTAAAGCGATTTATTCATCAAATTTTCATTTTTTTTGCAATTTAATTTAATTTCTCTTCATTTTTTAAAAAATTCTCATGTTTTTTATTCTTTTTTAAATTATTCTTTAAATTCTCTTAATTGAAATTCTGAAAATTATCATTTTTTCTTTCAATTTTCTTCGACTTTCTATTTTCTTAAATTTTTAATTTTAAATTAAATCTTAATTTTTTTTTCTAAACTTTTTTTAAAAATTTTTTTCTCATATTTATTCTTATTTTTTTAAAAATTCTAAAAATTATTTTTTTAGTATTACAAAGTATAGCCAAAAATTCTCAATTTTCCTGACAAAATAGTCGCCTTAAATTTTGTCAATTTCTAAAATTCGCGATTTTTCTTTTAAAATTTCTCCTTTTATTTTATGAATTCTTAAAATTTATTTATCATATAATTTTTTAAACTGTTAAATGTTTTTATTTCTACCAATTTTATTCATCATTTATTTATTGCGAGAAAAACTAAAAATCAAAGCTTATTTTATTATAACTAAAAAGTATTTTCATAGTTTCTACATTCTACGTCGAAAGTGGACGTTGAAAATAATTGTATCAAATAAGTTTCATGTCCGTATGTGTGAGTGGATCCCGTTTTTTTTTTTAATTTTTTGTTAATTCCAGCGAGGAAGCAAAATGTTCATGAAATGAATGCTTTCTTAAAACTCCTAACGTCAACTTGTTTTCAACTGTCATCCTATATATATTTATTTATTCTAACCTAAAAATTGTTTCAAAAGGTAACGGTAACACGCGAAGCACGTTAGCAAGTGTTATTGTTAAAATATCCACTCTGAAGTGTTCGTTTAATTGACTTGATTATACTCATTCTTATAAAAAGTACAAATTCCAAGGTTAAATCAAATCACTCTATATATAGCTGATATTGTAAATGATAAAGTCAGCGCCTTCTTTTCTAATTAATTTTTTGTTCATAAATACACTATCTCTAAACTTGACAAACTCAATGCATTAAGAAATTTATTTTTCTAAAAATTTTGTTTATAAAATTCTTTTTATCTTTTATTATTATTATTATTATTATTTAAGTCAATGACCTAAAAAGAACGGAAGAGAGGTTAAAAAAGTCAAGATCGAAGAAGGACTGAGCGGACAGTTGCATGCATGTTAGTTGCATTTGTGTTAGAGGTGAAAGTACACACATAAGTTGCCTGAAGTTGTTAACCACTGTTAACTTTACTTGACATGTCTGTGCCCCACCTTTTTTTTCGAGTGAATACGAGTTTGTCGAGAAGTGCACCTCTATTACAATTTGTGAATAGCACTGTCACTTTGGTAACGCAGACAAGTTTTTCAACGCCGGTTACAAATTATAATTCATCGCTTCAATTACAAGAATATTCACTTGTTAGAAATTTCAGTACTTCAACAGCAATGGCAAAAATAAAGGTGAGCCATATATATAATTATAAACAAAATATATTTGCAAAAACATATCATTTGAATTTATTTATTTTATAATGTTTCACTTTTTAATTACCTCTAGTAAAATTAAAATTTATTTCTAAATAAAAAAAATTGTAACAAAAATTCCTTGATAAATTAAATTACAATTTTTCTATTGTTAAATTAAATTAAACATTTTCTAATTTAATAAAAATTAATTTTTTTTTATATAATAAATTTGAACTTTCACATACCTGTGAGGAGATTATTTAGAGTAGGAATAGTTTAAAGTTCAAGTTTGAATGATTTTTTATTTACTTATCTGGGCGTCAGCATAAAAAGGGATAACTTTGGCACTACTGAACTTATCTATATAATCATACTTTTGATTAAATTTCAAATATTTTGAGAGTACTTAGGCCTCTTCAGGTGAAAAATTCGCGAAGTTGCAGATATTCAAGGTGTAATAAATTACATTCTGTTATTTTGCACCAATAAAAAAAATCAAAAATCTGAACCACTTTTTGGAAATTGGGATTATCTCCTAAAATGACACCGACAAAAAATGACCCTTTTCATATTCATTTTATAGAATTTGTGTATGTATTTCTGTGACCTTATTATTAAAAGAAAAATATTTTGGTTAACACTAACTTCTGAACACTATTATAAATATTATATTAATATCAAAATAAATATATATATATATATATATTAATAAAATTTATTTAATTTATGTTTAAGTTTATTTCTTATAAATATAACCTACTTTATCCTTATCGGTTTTTAAATTATTGCAATTAAAATAACTTCATTGTTTTTTTGTATAATAGAAAATTACTTTTTATAAATTGTAATAAATTAATTTAAAAAATCAATTTTGTTTTTCTGTTTTTCGTGTACATATTTAAGTATATAGTTAATCTGCTATTGCTTCAGAAAAAAAGTTGCATATCGTGGCAATTTCTATCTTATCACAAACCGCATAATGATGTGACGAAAGGTTGCCAATATAAGAGTTTAGTTTATTTAAGATAAGCTTAGGATTGCAATAAATTATGTTCATTAATAATTAAATTTTATTTAAACATTTAAAAACAAAATGTCCAGGAAATTTGATAATTAGATTTAAAATTTTCAAAAAACAAATATTTTGCCCAATTTGTACTCATTTTTGCAAAAATTCATTTTTTCAGAAACTCAAACTTCCGGACAAAAAAATTAAAATTTTTTTTAAATATAAAAAATTAAATTTTTCAAAAAAACAAATATTGTTCTGAATTGTTCTCGATTTGTACAAATTCATTTTTTGAAAAATTCAAAATTCCGGGCAAAAAAATTAAAAAACATGTTTATAAAACCTCACAAAAAAATAACAAATCTTGTATTAAATTGTGCTCGATTTGTGCCTTTTTGTGCATTAATTATATTTTTTGAAAAACTCAAAATTCCGTGTAAAGAAATGAAAAAAAAATATTTTTGAAACGTCTAAAATTAAAGTTTTCGGAAAAAACTGTTTTTTTTCCAATTCTGTTTTTTTTTGCTCAATTGTAACATAAAAAATTTTAAAAAAAAGTTTTTGACCAAAAATTTCGGAAAAAACATTATTTTGAATTAATTTCTCTTCAATTTTTTTGCCCGGAGTTTTTTGAGTTTTTGAAAAAATGAATTTATACACAAAAGAGCAAAATTGGGCACAATGTTTGTATTTAGGAATTTTTAAATTTTAAATAGTTTTCATTTTTTTTTGCCCGGATTTTTGAGCTTCTTAAAAAACAAATTTTAGCACAAGTCGAGTGCGAGATTTGTTCTTTTTTCCACAAAAAAAAACACAATTGGGCACAATATTTGTTTTTTAAAATTTTTTTAGTTTTTACATTTAATAATGTTTTGATTTTTTGTTTTTTGCCCGGAATTTTGAGTTTCTCAAAAAACAAGACTTTTTTTTGAAAATTCTAACTTTAATGGTATTACTTCTTGTATTTATTTTTTGAATATTTTAATATTAGAAGTTTTAAAAAATTAAAAAAAAAATTTTTTTGCCCTGAAATTTTGAGTTTTTCAAAAAATTAATTTGTCCACAAAAAAAACACAGTTGGGCACAATATTTGTTTTTTACAATTTTTTTAGTTTTTACATTTAATAATGTTTTGATTTTTGCCCGGAATTTTGAGTTTCACAAAAAACAAGACTTTTTTTGAAAATTCTAACTTTAATGGTATTACTTCTTGTAAGTTAATAATAATTAATTTTTTCTTACAAATTTTTGATCGAGAAACGTTGAAAAAAATTTATTAGACAAAAAATTATCAGAATTTTGCACAGAAATTATTAGTTAGTAATTAAAATAGTAAAAATAGTATAATTTCAAAATTAAAATTTAAAAAAAATACTTAATTTTAATATTATTTAGTATAATTAATTCATTAAATCAATAAATATTTTAATTTTTTACATTCCATTCTCATTGACATTCAAGGTCGTGTAACAGTAAAAAAAAACTTTTTTTTACATCAATGAACTTAATAAAGAATAAAGTGAATGGAAACTATTTATCATTGATAGAAAAAATTTACTGTATTTATATAGAATTTTATTGTTTAAAAAAAAAACATTAGAAATATTAAAAGTCTTTTATTTTCAGGCCGGTCCCGTTGTTGATATTTTAGGTGATGAAATGACCCGAATTATTTGGGACTCAATAAAGGAAAAATTAATCCTTCCTTATTTAGACATCGAATTACATACATACGACTTGGGAATAGAAAATCGTGACAAAACAGATGATAAAGTAACTGTAGAATGCGCCGAGGCAATAAAAAAATATAATGTTGGTATCAAATGCGCTACCATAACGCCTGATGAAAATAGAGTTGTTGAATTTAAACTTAAGCAAATGTGGAAAAGTCCAAATGGAACAATAAGAAATATCCTTGGTGGTACTGTATTTCGTGAGGCAATTATTTGTAAAAATATTCCCCGACTTGTTACTGGTTGGACTGATCCAATTATAATTGGAAGGCACGCTCATGGTGATCAATATAAGGCCACTGATTTTCTTGTACCTGGCCCTGGAAAATTACAAATTACATGGACTGGTAATAATGGACAAAAAATTGAACATCTTGTCTATGATTTTAAATCGTCAGGTATTGCACAAGCAATGTATAATACTGATGAAAGTATTCGAGATTTTGCTCGCAGTTCATTTGAATATGCTTTATCTAGAAAATATCCTCTTTATCTTTCAACGAAAAATACTATTCTCAAAAAATATGATGGTAGATTCAAAGATATCTTTCAAGAAATTTACGATAAGGACTATAAATCAAAATACGAGGCTCAAAATATTTGGTAAGATATTTTTGTAATAAAAACGTAATAATTTGGTAATAATTGTAATAAATAATACAAATTTTAAATATTGAGCCTCTGGAAAGTAAAACCACATATAAAATTCTTTTAGCCGTTTGGCTTGACCCCTGATCATTAGAAATTTGATGCTTTTTTTTATATGAAAAAAATTAATAACACTTATCATTTTCGAGGAAAATGCAAAAAACTGAATTTTTTGAAAAGTAGAAAATTTAAACTTGTGTTTTCAAAAAATTCAGTTTTTTTTTCATTTTTCTCGAAAATGATAAGAGTTATAAATTTTTTTCATAGAAGAAAAAAATTGCAGCATCAAATTTTCAATAAGATAGTGATAATTAAAAATTCTTTTTTGACTATTGATTTTTCAATTATCAGAGGCAAAACTTTCAAACTGGATAGAATGTCTGTTAAAAAAATTTCCGCTCCAATTTTTCTGTCTGATATTTATTCATGAGTCAAAAGTTCTGATCGTTCAAATGAACGAAATATTTTTTTTTCAATCTATAAATTATTAAAAATTATGATGGCAATATAAAATAAAACACTAAATTAATAACTTATTTTTAGATATTTAAAACAATATTTTGTAATAAAATTCGTACTTTAACTTTGACTTTTGATGAAATGAAAATTCGTTTCAGTAAAAATTCTATAATATAGAAATTCGGTTAAATGTAATTTTCGTTAAATAATAATTTGCATAAATAATAATTCGTTATTTGACAATTTTAGGTACGAACATCGATTGATTGACGATATGGTGGCTTATGCAATGAAATCAAACGGTGGATTTGTCTGGGCATGTAAAAACTATGACGGTGACGTTCAATCAGATTCTGTGGCTCAAGGTTATGGATCTTTGGGACTTATGACATCAGTTTTAATTTGTCCCGATGGTCGTACAGTGGAAGCTGAAGCTGCTCATGGAACAGTGACTCGTCATTATCGTCAATATCAACAAGGAAAAGAAACTTCGACAAATCCAATTGCTTCAATATTTGCTTGGACAAGGGGTTTACTTCATCGAGCGAAACTCGATAATAATGATAAATTAAAACATTTTGCCGAAACTTTGGAGAAAGTATGCGTCGATACTATTGAATCTGGTAGTATGACAAAAGATCTTGCCATTTGTATTAAAGGAATGAATGGAGTTAAAAGAAATGATTATTTGGAAACTTTTGAATTTATGGACAAATTGGCAGACAATTTGAAAAAAAGTCTTAAAGTATGACTCAATGACATTCCAATTTTTAAAGTACAGTCTAAATATTAACTATTTTTTATAGTCGCCAATGATTTTTTTTTAATATGTAAAAATACATATACCTGACTATAAAAAGAGAAAAATGTACGTATATATTTTTTAATTCTCAGAATTCAAAGAAATGCGGAATTAGAAAAAAAAGAGAAATTTTTTTAAAAAAATATTGTCAATTTTTGAAATATAAATGAAAAATAGAACTTTTATTATATATATACAATTTTCTACTGTAGAAAAAACTATTTGTAATATTATAAATACATTTTTGAACACTTTTTTCTACGCTTTAATGATTATTTATAAATTTCATAAAATTATAAAATTTGTATAATTTTCCAAAAAATATAATATTTAAGTTAAATAATCAAAAGTTTCATTCATTTTTCTCCGTAAAAATGATTTTTCAAATTGAAATTATTAAAATTTCGCAAAACCTGGTGAATATTGTATTGAGTGATATTTCCTTCCCTCCCCCTCATTCTCTACAGTGGTGCCCATTTCGATTCCCCAAAAATTCTTTGTCTAAAATATTCGGTAGACAGAATTTTAATAGAACTTTTCGTTTTTCGAATTTTTATTTCTTTAAATTAGTATGTATTTGAAAATGTACGTAAACATGAATTATCATGAATAAAATTTTCAGAAACATGAATTTCAAAATAAAAGAATAATGAATTACAAAAAAAAAAAAAAGAATTCTTGACTTCTTCTAGACTTATACTGGAAATTTTTCCGATTGTGCACTACATAATATATTTAAAAAAAAATGTTTTTTAACTAACTAATGTTATTAGATATTAAATTCATTTTATTAATTCTGTAATGAGAATAATTCTATCAAAATATTATCAAGAAAATTTATTTCGAATATTTCAGAATCAAACTATTTGTAAGACAAATTTTCAAAATTTTATTTAAATAGGACAAATTTCTAAAAAAAAATCGTATCATTTTTATAATTTTTTGATGTCTGATTTAATCAATTTATTCAAATTTAAAATTTTGTCATAGTTTTCAGTTTTGATGGTAAAAAAAATTTCAGGCAATAATTAATTAAGTTTTATAGATTTTTAAATAAATTTTTTTTTTAAATAATAATAATTTTGGAGGAGTTAAAATTGAAATTTTTAGAAATAATTGAATTTCAAAAGATTTTGTTTATTTCCAGACAATAATTAAATTTTACAGAACTAAAAATAATTTATCAAATAATTTTAGATGACATTTTTTAAAAGTAATTGAATTTTCAAAGATTTACAAATTTAGATTTTTGAAATTAATTGAACTTTAAGTGATTTTTAATTTAAATTTTTTGATAATTTCTGTTACTAAAAAATTTATTAGAAATTACAGACAAAAAAATACAATAATTTACAAACTTTTTAATTGAAAAATGGTTACAGATACTTGAATTTTCGAAAAATATTATAAAAATCATTAAAAGTAATTGAATTTCGGGAGAGTTATAATTGAAATTATTAAATTTCAAAAAATTTTAGATGGAAAATTTTAGAAATAATTAAATTTTAGAAGCTTTTAAATAAAATAAATTTTAATAATAAATTTTAAATGAAAATAATTGAATTTCAAACAATAAATATAAGAAAAATTTTTAGTAATTTTTGTTCATGAAGAATTTATTAGAAATCATATACAAAAGAATTAAATTATTCCAAAAGTTTTTAATTGAAAAATGCTTTTAGATAATTTAATTTTCGAAGAATATTATAAAAATCATTAAAAATAATTGAAGTTTTTGCAAAATAATTAAATTTCAAGTGATTTTGAATTAACAATTTTTGGTAATTTTATTTGCTAATTTTTTTTAAATTATAAACAATTATTAAATTTCATAAAAATTTTAATTGAAAAATAGTTTAAGATAATTGAATTGGAAAAAGTTGGAAAAAGTATAATCCGAGGCCTGTATTCTTTAGATAAGTCAATTGGTTCGTTTCGATTAAAGGAATTTAATTGTTTTTATTGCAAAAAATACAATAGATAAAAACTAATTTAAATTTTTATGAAGAAAAAAGTTACCTATATTTCAAAAATAAGAAAAACTATTCTTTTAAATTAAAAAAATGATTTAATCCACAGATTTAGTTAAAATACATGTAACCTTCAAAAATTTAACTCATATTGGAGAATAATTATAAATTTTTTGATTAAAACAAAAAAAAAATGGATTTTTAAATAAAATTTATTACTAGTTTTAATAATATTCCAAAATTGTAACCTAATTTTTTCTATATAGTATATATACATTACAAATAATAATAAACATGAATTATTTTTTTTAATAAAAACAAATTATAAGCATAAACGTAACCATGATGGCAACACACGTTACTTGCATTAATTTGTTTACAATATTTCCTAAAGTACAAAAATTGTTTAAAAGTAGTAATACATTTCATAATTACTATTAAATTATTAATACCACTAATATGAAAAATAAACGAAGAAGAATTATATTTAAAAAAGAAAAAATTTAATTTAAAAACATTTTACAGCAGCCTTTTTCGTCAAAACGTATTTGACACTAGTAATTATAATCACGATGCTGTAGTTTTACATTTCGTTTTTTAAGTTTCTCATTGATTTTTCCATTAACTTAATTAACAACCAATAACAAGCTTCTGTAAAATCTTACTTAAAAAATCAATTATATAAAGTACGTATAAATTATTAAATACATTTACTAGATCTAATTAAAAAATAAATTATTGATTTATTAAAAAAAAAAAAAACTATTATACTAAAAGGAAATATAAAACCATTGGACATTCCAAAAATAAAGCGAATATTTTAGTTTAATGATAAAATGTTTAAATGATGTTGATTCTGCATAAACAATTAAGTTTTATATAAATTGCATAAACTTAAGTACTTATGTCATACGTAGAAAGTATCTCTTGATCGATAACAATCAGAGTTCATAATCTCTGGAATAAAAAAAAAAAAAATTACAGAATTAATAAAACTATAACTTATTTTTAAGAATTCAAATCTCAATATATTTACCAAAAATGAAATTAGTCATTGAAAAGAAAACAATGACTGTTTTTATTTTAATAAGATAAAATGTATGTACCTAGAATTTCAAGAAAATTGCAATATTTAAAGTGTAACTTGATTTTTTTTGATAAAAATTATAAAATACTTAAAAATTAAAAATCCGTTCAAATTGATTTTTAATACAATTTATAAAATCTGACATGTTGTAAGAAAGAGTTAAAGAAATACCTATATAGAATAGTAATAATTTCCAATATGTTCTCAATCAGGATAAAGAATGTAAAGAATAATTTATTGAAATTGTCATTTTTCCTTGTATGTGTGATTTTAGTTAAGACAGTTTTTTTTTTTAAAGATCTGAAAAATATTGACGCTTCTATTTGCAGGCGTACAAATTTTCGGTATGCATAGTACACCAAAATTTGTTTCTTTTTTTTTATAATTTCCTTCTTGTTTTACTTATGGATAGTAAACTGCTGTTTTTTTTTTAATTTTCTAAGGCTAGGAAAAAGTAAATAATTTTATTGATGTGCACATTGCACTTCTGGACCTTCATCATCATCCGAAGCGTAAGCTTCACTGGAACGCGGTACATGAGATTCAGTTTTGTAATTTGGATCATAATTTTCAAGTTCAACTTCCTCAACGTCTTCGGGAATAACGACCGGTGCATTTGGTGGGAACATTGTCATCAAAGTCTATTAAATTAAACAATAAAATAAATAATTAATTGAAAAAATATATATATCTTTATGTAAATGAAAGAACAAAATTCAATTTTACCTGGAGAACTTTTTCACTTGTGAAATTGTCATCAGGAAAAGTTATGTCGAATTTAACGTACAAATTTCCTTTTTCAAAAGGACTTCTGTAAACTGGCATTCCTTCTCCTACGACTCCTTTCACATCATCAGGTTTAATAACACATCCAGGTGGATGAGTAATAATCAATTCTCTTCCATCTAAATGTTTAACTACAATATTCATTCCACAAAGGGCTTCAGCTAAACCAATTGTTTTCGTCAAATAGAGATTATCTCCAGATCTGTGGAATACATCGTGAACCTTTTGCTCCAAAATAACAATTAAATCTCCAGGTTGAGTACCAGGAGTGTGTTCATTTTCACCTGAAAATTTAATATTCTTGTTTAAATTGTTTACCTAACATAAATAAAAAATTTCAGAGTGTCCAGCAATTTTTGAAAAAAAAAAATTCAAAGACTTTTCAAGGATTTAAATGTCCGCTGGACACTCTGTAATTTAGATAATATTACAAATTAAAAAATATTTTATTTTTAAACATTGAAAAATATTTTTACCTTTAAATAAAATTCTTTGTGTGTCTCTCATTCCTTTGTCAACATTAACTTCCAAATTTCTAGTGTGATACAAAACTTTTTTTCCATTACAAACAGTGCATACGAATTTTTCATTCACTGTCCGTCCCTTTCCCTCGCAAGCATTACATTGGGATTTACGATGAACGGATATACCATGAGCAATTTCACAAACAGTCAATTTTACTCCGTGACCAGCACAATCTCTACATGGAATAATAGCATTTTCAGGACATCCAACTCTGAAATATGAAAAATATTTTTAAAAAATAATTCTTTTTTCTTTTCGTCATTTTCATATACTGAGTCCACGTATCACAATCTACAAGTCGCACAGTGGTTGGAAATAAAAAAATTATTTTTTAAAAAATAAAATTAAAAAATTAAAAAATTAAAATTTTATTGTTTTGATCACCTTGTGTGTTTTTAGTACTTAAATGATGCAAGAAAAAAAAACCTCCTTTGATAATTTAAATTTAATGGATTCAAAATTAGTGAAGGTGACTAAAAAATTTTTGTTTGCACTTTTTTCTATCTAAATAGCAAATTTTTATTTACTATATAATTTTCTGAAAATACGAAATTTAAAAAAAAAGAAAATTATGTGTGATTTATTAAAATCGGTTAAAAACTCGACGAAGATATAAAATAATGAAAAATCAAACTTCTACAATTTTAAATATTTTGAAAATTCTTTTCACTAATATATTAAATTTTTTAAAAATTAAAAATACCCTTCTACAATACATACCCATTGCATCCAGTGCAAACTACGTTATTGCCTATCGTAATGTTTACTGCATTTCCATTATATAAGTCTTCTAAAGTAACTCTAAAAAAATTAAAAATTCATGTAATTATTAATTAGTATTTTTTTGTGTCATATATATATAGCTTATTTTATTTCATACTTTAAAAGATAATTAACATCTTTTCCACGTTGAGGTCTCCTTCTGCCTCCTAAACCTCCAAAACCGCCAAATCCACCGAATCCTCCAAATCCACCAAATCCACCAAAACCGCCAAATCCCATGGGTTCTAAAAAATATAAAAAGGTATTTTTTTTTAACACCAAAAATCAGTAATTAATACTTCATATTTGGACTTTGCAAAAAGTATAAATTTCTTAATTCTGTAGTAAAAAATAATTAAAATTTTTTTTTTATTTAAAAAGATTAATTTTCAATTGTATAGTGTTTAAATTATAGGAAAAGAATATTAATTTATTAACTTTAAGTGATTAGCTACAATTTTGCTTGAAAAAAATTTTTCTCGACATTTTCAGGTTTTCCAGACCTTCTACATTTTTTTTCAAGTTTTCAGAATAGATATAATAGCTTACAAAAAATGCACTGTTTAATTTAAATTTTTTATTTAAAGAACAAATTAATTTTTATTTGGTAACATTTATAAATTATAAATTTAAATTGAACTTTTTTTGAAAATAATTATTTTTATAATTATAATTATTATAAAAAGAAATCGACTTTTTCTAAAAAAAAAAAAAAGCAAATGGGAAACGCGAAACTGTTCGCGATATTAATTTAAAATAATTAAAAAATTATGACACTATTTTGTGGAAATTAAAAATAATTTTTCAATGATATTCAAAAGTAAGGACGGAAAAAATTCCTTGAGATTTCCCAATTTTCCAGGTGTTAACCTTTTTATGTAAATTTTTCAAAAATTAATTATCTAATAAAGAAAGCAAAACACCCACGTCAAGTTTTAATAACAACTAAATTATATCAATATTAAAATATCTGCAAAATCTCAAATTTTTAAGAGGTCCCAAAAAAGTTAAAAGCTTCGTAAAATATTATAAATTCAAGAAAAAAAATTGAGCTGTCGGATCAAAAACAATTATTGTTTCAAAGACGAATATTTCTGCAACTATTTTATTATTTTTCAGTACAGACAGGCCTCAGATCGACTTTAAGGCACAAAATAAGTCGTTTTAGTCGATTTATGTTCTAAAAAAAGTCGAATAAGTCGGTTTTTTTATTTTAACAAAATTAAATTAGTTAACGAATATTTTACTTTAAATAACTAATGTTATTAGATATAAAATTCATTTTATTAATTCTGTAATGAGAATAATTCTATCAAAATATTATCAAGAAAATTTATTTCGAATATTTCAGAATCAAACTATTTGTAAGACAAATTTTCAAAATTTTATTTAAATAGGACAAATTTCTAAAAAAAAAATCGTATCATTTTTATAATTTTTTGAAGTCTGATTCAATCAATTTATTCGAATTAAAAATTTTGTCATAGTTTTTAATTTTGATGGTCAAAAAAATTTCAGGCAATACTAAATCAAGTTTTACAGATTTTTAAATAAAATTTTTTTTTAAATAATAATAATAATTTTGGAAGAGTTAAAATTGAAATTTTTAGAAATAATTGAATTTCAAAAGATTTTGTTTATTTCCAGACAATAATTAAATTTTACAGAACTAAAAATAATTTATCAAAAAATTTTAGATGACATTTTTTAAAAGTAATTGAATTTTCAAAGATTTACAAATTTAGATTTTTGAAATTAATTGAACTTTAAGTGATTTTTAATTTTTAATTTTTGATGATTTCTGTTACTAAAAAATTTATTAAAAATTGCAGATAAAAATACAATAATTTGAAAACTTTTTTAATGAAAAATGGTTACAGATAGTTAAATTTTCAAAGAATATTATAAAAATCATTAAAAAAAATTAAATTTTAAAAGTGTTATAATTGTAATTATTTATTAAATTACAACAAATTTTAGATGTAAAATTTTAAAAATAATTAAAGTTTATAAGTTTTTAATTTGAAATTTTTGAAAATAATTGAATTTCAAAAGATTGTGTTAAATTTCAGACAATAATTATAACAAGAGAAATTTTTTAGTGATTTCTGTTGATAAATAATTTATTAGAAATCACATTCAAAAATTGAATTCCAAAAGTTTTTAATTGAAAAATGCTTTCAGATAATTGAATTTTCAAAGAATATATTATAAAAATCATTAAAAATAATTGAAATTTTTGCAAATTATTAAATTTCAAGTGATTTTGAATTAAAAATTTTTGGTAATTTTATTTGCTAATTTTTTTTAACCTTTGGCATACTGGGGTCAAATCGACCTCACATCTGTTTTTGTATTATTTTTCAAAATAACTACATTTTACAAAAAAGGACTAACCCAATTTTTTTCTTATATTAATACCTTAGTAGAAGATTTGGTAAAAATTTCAGCCTTGAATATTTAAAAATTTACAAATTATGAATTTTTTAAAAAAAGTGCTCATTTTAAGTGTGCCAAGTAAGGGTTAAAATTATAAATAATTATTAAATTTCATAAAAATTTTAATTAAAAAATAGTTTAAGATAATTGAATTTGTGAAAAATTTTATTAAAAGTATTAGAAATAATTAATTTAGTGAAGAATTTTAGTTAAAAATTTGTTAAATAATTTAAATAAAGATCTGAATTGTATACTAAAAAAACGTATTTTGTTTAAAAATGTTGTAAAAAAAATCGAAAAATTCGCATTTAATTAAAATAAGTCGAAAAAAGTCGTATAATCCGAGGCCTGGTTTAACGTATTTCAAAATTAGATTTTTTTAAAATTTGATCGCAACAGTTCTCAAATGAAATTCAATGACTTAACAGTTTTTACTTAAATCGATATTGTGTCTATATAAATATTTTTACCGATTCTCAAAAAATGATGTCAATTACCCTAAGATTATTATTTTTCTTTAATTGTTTATTGAAAATTATATGTTTTTTTTCGATTTTTCAATAAAGTTAACAACAATTTTTTTTTCAATTTTTTCTTTTAAAATTTACTTAAAAACACTAAGAAGATTTTGCAAAATTTTTAAGAGTGGTGTTAAAATAATTTGTTTAAATAAAACTTTTTTTAATCCCTCTATTTTTCTAAATTTTTTAAACCTAATTTTTTTTTGTTTGTCCGAATCATTAACTTTACACATGAAAAATTAATTTGCAATAAATTTTTACTTGAAAAATAGAGGGATAAAAAAACAAAAATTAAAAGAATCCTTTGTAGGGTCAGTTGGGGTAAATGGGGACAAGAGGTTTTGGAGCTTAATTTACAGTTTTAAAATTAAGTTCAACGTCAATATTTTAACCTCAGATCACCTGCAAGAGGTTTTGAGTATTACCAAGCTTTAATCTTGACAATTGGCAGCAAGATAAAAAAAGTTATCGCTCAATGCATAAAAACTTGAAAATCAAAGTCAAACTGTTTCAGTATTTTGTCGAGCATTTGAAAAAGCAGACTTAAAAATCATACCAAATTTTTTTCTTATTCCTTATGACTCCTATAACAGAAATTCACTTGAAATTTTGATTTTTATCAATTCAGTTAATAATGACAAGCTGTACCCATTTACCCTGAGTTTTCAAATTTTTGGGGTAAATGAGGCAGCTTGTCGTTATTAACCAAATTAACAAAAATCAAAAATTCAAGTGAATTTCTGTTATGGTAGTCATAAGGAATAAGAAAAAAATTTGGTATGATTTTTAAGTCTGTTTTTTTCAAATGCGAGACAAAATACTGAAATAAAAAAAAAATAAAAAAAATAAAAAAAACTTAATTGGTTCAACTATTATATATGAAGGGTAGAATGACAAAAGGGGTCAAGCGCCAATTTATCGAAAATGAGGTTTTTGCATAAAAAAATCAAGAAAATTCATTTACACATTTCTGTAGAAGGATTTCCTTTTTTATTGCGTATTTAAATCAGTTTTTAATAAAAATTAAATTAATAAAATAGCATCAAATTTACTTTATTGCAACCTGATTGAAAAACAAAAGAAAGTGGTGTTCAATTTTGATCAAAAATATTATTTTTTAGGTTTTATTTTAATATTTAATTTTAATTTTATTTTAATTTTATTTTAATTAATAAAATTAATAATAATAATAATATATTTTCAATTTTAAACAATTTTAAAATCATTTTATTGTTATTAATTTTTAAATATTTTTATGATTATACTAAGTGAACAATTGAATTTAAAGATGAAAGTATTGCTCAATTCCAAAGCAAGCAATTAATTCGTAATTTTCTTGAAAACAAACAATTTTTTAAAGGAATTTTTTTTTCTATTCATTTCGTCGATTCCATAGAAAGAAACTAATTTTCCAGTTTTTCTTTAAACTGTATATTTTTTTTATAATTAATGCTTAAAGAAAATGTGCGCAGTTGATATAACCTCAAGGAACCACAGTTTTTTTTAATTTTATCGTTAATATGTAGGTTTATTTCAACAAATTGTTGTTTATTTATTAAAACATACTAATATATCGAAACGGTTTTCTCAGTTTTTTTTTAAATGACCTGCAAAATTTTTAAAAATGTTTTTTTTACTTCCTGTAAAAACAGTGAATTGGCGCTTGACCCCTTTTGTCATTCTACCCTTCATATCTAGTACAAATTTTTTTTCAAGCTTTTTCATCCCTTAATACAGTAATATACTTAAGGAAACTTTTTTCTTAAAACTTTCTTAGAAACTATGCTGTCCCCATTTACCCCAAATTTTAAGAAATTTTCTAAATTTTGGGGTAAATGGAGACAGTCAGTTTCATGCGTTTAAAGCTTATCTAAATTTTTTTCTGCTGCATAAAATTAATCCTGGGAATGTAAATAACAACTTAAAAAAAATAAACCCCCAAATATTACCTTTTAAAGGAAGAAACTTGCGTAATTTGTAAAAAAAATAGCGATTTTGTCCCCATTTACCCCAACTGACCCTAATTCTTTTTATTTTCTAATAAAGTAAAATATAATTTACATACCTGCAAAAGATGTAAATGGAGACTCAAATAAATCTGATAAAAGATTACCAGAACTCATTTGATCTTCACTTTCTTGAACTCCTTTTATACCATAATTATCATAAAGTGGACGTTTATTTGGATTGGATAAGGTTTCGTACGCAAATGAAATTTCTTTGAATTTATCTGCCGCATCAGGATGCTGGCCGGAGTGTAGCTCTTTTGAAAGTTTCATATAAGACTACAAACAAATAATAATTTTTTCTGTTAATTTAACATTTTTTTTTGCATTATATTATTTAATTTTTTTATTCAGTTTATTAGTGTAACTGAAAATTTTTCTATAAATAAAAATATTAAAAATTTTTACTTCTTTAGAAAAGATTATCATTAAAAATAGTTAAGTATTTATATACATGTATATTTACGGCCACAAATAGTCGAAGGTTAAGGTTAATCCCAAATAATTCACTGAATGAAACATACATGCATATACATTATTTCTTAACTTTCAAGTTATTTAATCTTTGTCGGTTAAAATTTAATATAAAAGGTAATTCATTATAATGATAAATTAAAAAATTTAATTATTAAAAAATATGTACAATTTATATTTTTATTTTATCCCATAAGTTGACAAATTAATATTATTTTATTGACTATCATTTGAAAAAAAAATGCTTCGTTTTCATGTCAAAAAATACATTACATGTCCACTTAAAATTACTTTCATATTTCGCTTTTATCAAAACAAGATCACTTTAAAGCCATATAAATGAAAAAAAAAACATATTTCTGAAATGTGACGCAGTAATATTTAATTAATGTTTAGAAAACTGTTTTCATATTAAGTTCTTTACATGTGAAAGCAATAGAAATAAGTCAAAGATAAATCTACCTGTTCAATTTCATGATAACTAGCATTTCTTGGTACACCAAGAACATTGTATAACTTGTTGTCTGCCATATCGTGTTGGTTTATATTATTTAAAGTGAACGTAAAAGAGAATTTTTTTTTTTATTATCAAAAGTTATTATAGTTTGGTGATTAACTTTTCAATTACTGGAGAAGAGCAACATGAAGAACAATCAAAAGAAAGTGAGAGAAAACTGAGTTATTAAGGTGCTTCTACAATACGTGCTAAATATATTATAGGGCCAACGCACAATAGTTTCACAAAGATCGTTCGCGAACGAGGAGCATAAGATAGAAAAGAACATATAATCTCTGTCTTTTTCTAACTTATGTTTTACATTTACGAACGCCTTTCTCGAAGGTATTCTATTATGGAGCATTTACACCTTCGGTAAACAAATTTTTTACCTTGATTTTCCTAAATACACTTACCTGATTGGTTGTCCACAATGAATGAGATTCTGCACAACCAATCAGATAAGTGTAGTTCGAAAAATGCAAAGTGAAGATTTTCTACCGAAGGTGTAAATGCTCCATTATACCTTCTTTTTCGATCGGATGAACAAATATTTTGAACCGTGAAAATGCATATTAGTGAATGTGATTGGCCCTACAAAAATTTCATTTTCACGTAATTTTTTGTAGAGCAAATCACATTCACTGATATGCATTTTCATGTTCCAAAATATATGTTCAACCGATCGAAAAAGGAGGTAGAAAAGCACCTTTAGAGATAAAGAAAAGGACATAAATATTTCTTGATTTTTTACGTAATTTACGTCAAAAACCAGAGATGGGTAAAAGTGCTTTTCTGGAGGTTTTCTACGTATAATACATAACTGACGTATAATACTGTAGAAAACCAGGTTTTCGAAAATCACTTGTTTGACAGTTCTTTATTGCTTTTTTTGTTTGTTGTCCCTCCAGCAGGGATGCGCACGTAATAAACGTAGTGTAGATTACGCATAGAGATAATATAAATAGAGTGGAGATGGTCTGTATAGAGGCGTCCGTTTGATAGAAAGAGAACGCGATTTTAGCAGCAGTAGGTGTCTCTCTTGCGCTGGTGCTTATTGAAGGACAGATACTGGTGTTAAATCTTTCTTCTCTTTCCAACCCATTCTGTTTATGTCAGGACACTTCCCTCTTACGCAGCCGCCTATACCTTGTCTACTCTATTTATATTATCTCTATGAGATTACGTGTAGTTTCATACGTATATAACGTACGTTATATACGTCACTCATTTTCTACAAAACGTAATTTACGTTTTCAATATGGCGGCGATTTGTGAATTTGTGATATACTGATATATGTAAACATAACCTTTCTTTAGTATTCATGCCATTCATGCACTGTAAAAAAAATTTTGTGTTGATTTACACGCCGAATGTAAAATAACTTATTCAACTTATGGCCACATATGGCCATACTTTCCAATGTCCAACATTGTAAAATTACACAACCGTGTGAATTCACAACGTTCAGCAGTGTAAAATTAAAATGTTTAACGTTATAAATTTACAAAGCATAATAAATTAACATTGTTGAATAAGTTATTTTACATTCTGCGTGTAAATCGACACAAAATTTTTTTTACAGTGTATATAATATATTAAAAGGTTATGTTTGGTTATCAGGTTATGTTTGTAAATGATTTAAATTTAAATCCGCCATCTTGATTTAGTTTCATACATTTCATACGATTTATACGTATATTACGTTTTTGACGTAAATTACGTCAAAAACTCTCAGTTACGCGTAACTGCGCATCCCTGCCCTCCAGGCTTCGACGTCATCAGCCTCTGACGTCACAAGGTAAAATGCCAAATACACATGTTTGAAATTTCAAAAAAGTTTCAAGTTATGAATTACACGTGTAAAAGTTTATAAAATTTTCGAGAAATACACAGGCACACAAAAAATAAAAAGTTGTTTGGCCGAGACACTACACTAGTCTATTTTCATGTATTTTTTCACGCTGAATCCGAATCCGAAGTCAGAATTATCAGATTGGCTCTTATTTTTGAGATAATTGCAAAAAAACACAAGTAACAAAAAACTCAAAATACTCCAAATCAGTTTTTTGGAATTATCTTCAAAATTTGAGCCAATCTGTCAATTCTGACTTCGAATTCGGATTCAGCGTGAAAAAATACATGAAAATGCACTATCGTAGTGTTTTGGCAAAAAAATTATCTGTGCCCCTAATTCAAAATTTTTATCAGTTTTTGGCGATTTTAGCTCAAAGAAATTTGTTTTTGCCGAAACATTACGATAGTGCATTTTCATGTATTTTTTCACGCTGAATCCGAATTCGAAGTCAGAATTGACAGATTGGCTCAAATTTTGAAGATAATTCCAAAAAACTGATTTTGAGTATTTTGAGTTTTTTGTTACTTGTGTTTTTTTGCAATTATCTCAAAAATTTGAGCGAATCTAACAATTCTGACTTCGGATTCGGATTCAGCGTGAAAAAATACATGAAAATAGACTAGTGTAGTGTCTCGGCCAAACAACTTTTTATTTTTTGTGTGCCTGTGATATCAAAGTACCGATTACACGTGTATTTGTAACAAATTCATGAAATTTAAAAAAATTTAAAGTATGAATTACACGTGTAAAAGTTTATAAAATATTCAAGAAATATGAAAGTATCAATTACACGTGTAATTACTACATGTAACAAATTCTTAAAATTAAAAAAAAAATTTTAAGTATGAATTACACGTGTAAAAAGTTTATAAAATATTCGAGAAATATCAAAGTATCAATTACACGTGTAATTACATGGGGCCAAATCTACACACGTGTAATTTTTTGATAGGGGCATCAATGGCAACATAACCTATTTTTGTTATCTACTTTCTGGTTTATTGTTGGTAAATAAGTATTAATTAATAAATTAAATATTTAAATATTCAACTTTCAGTTGAGTTAACTAATATTATCTAATTTGCAATAATTTCGTAAAAAATTTTAACATTTTAAATGTGCTTTTGTTCTCAATTTAGAAGAGAAATACTAATATAATTTAAACTTTATCAAAGCATCGATAATTAAAGGCCTAAGCAGAATAGCTTTGCGAAAGACGTTCGCGAACGTGAAACATGAGTTAGAAAAGGATAGAAATATATTCGTATCCTTTTCTATCTCATGCATTTCGTTCGCAAATGACTTTCGCGAATCTATTGTGCGTTAGCCTTAATTTTTCCAATATCAGAAGTTTTGAAAATTGGAAATTCTAAACAAGGAGATTTAGGGTTATGTTTCTCAAAATTGGCCTTATGTATAATACACATGTAGAAAACTCATGTATAATACCTGTATATTACACGTAAAATACCTTGTATTATACTCGAAGTTTTCTACGTACCCATCTCTGTCAAAAACTCATTACAACTTTGAACTTTTCCGACTTTTCCCAACAAAATGTCACATTTCAGATGTTCCTCACGATCAGACATGTCACATTTCAAAGTTGAAATCAGAGGTGTCACATATGGGAGATTATACTTTCCCAACCCTTAGTAGAAAACCAACGTCCAACTCTATCTTTATTTAGCTCTATGGTTCACCGAATGTATTATTGGATTTCCTTTCTTCTCACAAGTAGAAACAATAAAACAAGATTAAAAGTGAATTGTTAGTGTTTCTTATTTCAGTGAAAATTCAAGTGCCTCACAATGGCAGACAACGAACAAAAAGCAATGCAATTGATGGCAGAGGCAGAAAAAAAACTAACCTCCTCCAAAGGTTTCTTTGGTTCCCTTTTTGGGTGAGTTGTTATATCGATTTGCGCAACTTTGTCTGACCGACTTTTACAAATACAGAACAATATTTAAAGCACATGGATCTAGAGACAATAAATTCATTCTTTATTTTAAAATATATAAAACATTTAAGAAATTAGAAAATACTTGCAACGTCATTAAATATATATATATATATATATCTCTGTCAAAGATGGTTGCGTAGTTGATTCAAATATAATAGTGAGTCGACTCGTACAAAAATTGATGAAATATGTATAGAGATAAAAAGATTGATTGTCATTGACAACATATGTACATTATATATATGTATACGAAAGTAATAAAATATTGGACAAATTTAATACGCACTGTTTAGAATAATTATTCAACTATTATGTTAATAATTCTCCAATTTTTAATTCATTTACTTTGTGTAGATCTATTTTTTTATTGATTAAAAAGTTTACTTTTTCTCATGATATATTTATTGTCTTTTGTAGATTTTATAATAAACTATTATCTACAAACTAACATATTGTAAACAGTTTAATGTTTTCTGTGGTATATGTATATATATTTTTTTAAATTTTCAATGGAATTTAATAATTAAAATGTACTAATTAGAGGGTCATCAAAAGTGGAAGAAGCTGTAGAATGTTATCAGCGAGCAGCTAATATGTTTAAAATGGCAAAAAAATGGGGATCTGCAGGGAATGCATTTTGTGAAGCTGCAAATTTGCACGCTAAATCGGGAAGTCGACACGATGCAGCTACAAATTACGTTGACGCTGCTAATTGCTATAAGAAATCTGATCCCAATGGTACGATAATTTTGAAAAAAAATTTAATATGATTTAGAAACTACTTTCGTTTTTTTTTTTTTTTTAAATCAATTTTTCGAATATTAATTTGTTTTATAAATATTTAAATTTCAGAGGCTGTAAATTGTCTATTAAAGGCTATTGAGATTTATTTAGAAATGGGCCGTTTTACGATGGCTGCAAAACACCATCAAAGTATAGCTGAAATGTACGAAAGTGAAGCTGTTGATTTAGAACGTGCTGTACATCATTATGAACAAGCAGCTGATTATTTTCGTGGTGAAGAAAGCAATTCTTCAGCAAACAAGTGTCTTCTGAAAGTCGCTCAATACGCCGCCCAACTTGAAAATTATGAGAAGGCTATTCAAATTTACGAACAGGTAAAAGAGCCTTTTTCTTCAAAAAAAAAAAAAAAAAAAAAAAAAAAAAAAAAGAAAGAAAGAAATAAAAAAACAAAATTGTGAATAAATAAATATATTTGGTAAATTTCAGGTTGCCTCATCGTCACTGGAAAGTTCGTTACTCAAATACAGTGCAAAAGAATATTTCTTTAGAGCTGCTTTATGTCATCTTTGTGTTGATGTTCTTAATGCTCAACATGCCATTGAACGATATGAACAACAGTATCCAGCGTTTCAAGATTCCAGGGAGTATAAACTTATCAAAGTAATTATTACTTTTCGTAATAGAATTTTTTTCCTTTCATAATACTGCCGTTCTGATTTAAAAAGTCACTATCTACATTTTTGACGAAAAATGAGTTTTTTATATCGGAATCGTTATAAAAATTCGAATTTAACGGTGCATTAATTAAAAATATTAATTAGTTTTCGAGATAATTAGACCTTAATTAGCCTATCTATATATAAATTATTTTTTCGATTTTGAAAGACAGGTGAGAGTAAAAACACTTTTATTTAGACGACATTTTGGTAACTAGATTCGCTATCATCATCAAGTCACTTTAATAAAACAAAAAAGTTTAAAAAAAAAAAAATAATTTTAAAATAAATTAATAATTTTCAAGTTAAAAATTTTTTTTAATGAAATTAACACGTCAAACAAATTTTAAAATAATTAAAATATACCATTTTTGTGATTCTGAAAGTTAGAAAAAACCTTTTTTACAAATTTTTTATTTATTTTAATTATTTCGACGCCTTCCGTCGGGAAAATGTTTTTTTAGTTGTTACGTTACAACATGAAGTTAAACAAATTAATGAAAGACAATTCTTAATTATTCTTCAATTCAAGAAAATGTTATCTCAAAATTCAATGCAAGAAACTAGAGTTCATTATAATTCTTTCTTTCAATACAATTTTAATTTATAATTTAATGTTTACCTTACAAATACATAAACTTAATATTTCATTATTATTTTTATTTTTAAATAAGATTTTTTTGAAATCTTCTTGAAAAACGATTCTGTAATTTTAGTTTTCGTAAAAATTAAAATTTTTTAAAATCCATACGATTGATTGTTTAAAATCATGAAAAAAGCGTAAGAAAAATAATCGTGGAAGAAGTTGAATGTTTAAAGAATCACCAGTAAAATTTAAACCAATCAAAATTAACCTTGTTTAGGGGTAAACAATTTTTTGGGGCATTTTTTCAGAGCCTAAAAAATGATATTTCACTGTGAAAAATAAAAAAAATAAATTTTTAACTACCTACCACAAAAAAAGCCTATAAAAAAAAAAATAAAAGAAATTGTGAGAAAAGTTCAATTTTTAAATTTTCGAGAATTTTTAGTTTTTTGAAAAACTATTAACAAATTAATTGTTTTTTTTATTTTTCATATGATTTTATAATTTTAAATACTCAATATTGTCATAAAAAAAAATTTACAACCCCAATAATATTAAATATTATTAAATCATTTTTACTTCGGTGAGAAGATTTTCATCATCTAATGATAAATAATTTTCTCTCTTTATTCTTGAAATTTAGTATGAAAATTTTCCATTTTCCAAATCAGAATAATATTCTTTATTAAATATTAAGTTTGTTATTAACAAAATAACTTAATTTTCTTAAAATTTAAGAGATTTTTGAATTGAAATCAAGAAAGTTCATTAATTCTTTCAATCATTAACAAAACTACAATAGTGATTGATAATTAACGTTAATAATAATTGTGTTACTCACTCATGTTATTTTTTTATAATAAAATTATTTATTTATGGATTTTTTACAATTATAAAGTAAACAAAGAATATTTTTTTAAGGGGAGACACCATCCCCAATTTTGACCATTTTTCATCGACAATTTTTTCCCCCGCTTTTTTGATGCTTCTTAAGAATCTCTCGCATGGATTTTCAAAAAATAAAAATTCTAAAATGGTCAAAAATTAAAATTTTCTTTTTTTTTTTTACCACCTTATATGTTTTTAGGACCCAAATAATTCAAGAAAAAAAATATAACCTCGTTTAATAATTTAAATTTAAGTAGGTCAAAATTGGTGGTCCTGCCTCCCCTTAAAATTAAATATAAATTTTTATAGTGAAATTATATTTCAAGTTAGAGAAAATTATTTATCATTAGATAATGAAAAATCTTCTTTCTGAAGCTAAAAAGGAAAAAATTATTTAATAATAAATTTAATATTATTAAAAATTCTGTAAATCATGGACACTGATGTCGATTTATTTATTTACTGTTTTTTTTTTTTTTTAATTTTTTTGAAGTGTGAATTTTATAAAAAAAAAATGTTTAATTTGGTAATTACTTATTAATTTATTTTAATAATTTTTTTTATACATTTTTTTTTTATATAATCTTATGTGTATTTAAATGTATACTACTTTTTTGTGTTTTATTAAAGTCATCTGATGATGGTGTAGCGAATCTACATACCGAAACGTCGTCTTAAATAAAAGTGTTTTTACTTTTATCTATACAAAATTAAATTATTAATTTTTGTGAATTTTCATTAAACTGATTATTATCAATATTGCAGAAATTTTAATTGGATGACAATTAATTAGGCAGAAATTAAATTTGATCGAATCTTAATTTGTTTAAAACATTGTCTTGGAGAATATTAATTTTGCAAAGAGAAGGATTAGAATGAATATTAATTTTGCAAAATATTCATTAGCTCGAATCATGCGTCCCTTTCATAATATTCTATTTTTGATATTGCAAATTTTGAATTTAATTTATTTTCAGACACTTATAGAACATTTAGAGGAACAAAATGTGGAAGGTTTCACAGAAGCAGTTAAAGAATATGACTCAATTTCACGTCTTGATCAATGGTATACAACTGTTTTGTTACGTGTGAAGAAACAAGTCAACGACAACCCCGATTTGCGCTGATTATTTTCATTTGCCTTGAGGTACATTCCAGTGTCACTTTTCTTCCTCTGATCCCACGTGTACTCCTAACACTCCATTTTCGCTTGTAACGAACATAAAACAAAAAATGTTAACTACAAACACAATTCTCCTCATTTGGTCTTAATTTGTGCATTAAGACCAGTCATTCACGATACGATCATATTAAATTTCATTGAAAATTCGTTCAACTAGTAATCGCATATACATCATAGTTCATAAATAATCAGTGGTATATAAAAATGTAGTTAAACGTCAAGTACTATAATATCATCTCAATAATGCCCAAGGTTAATTTAGAAGCGTGTAATTAGCTAGGGATCTGTAAGTAGTCCTTTACATATATTTATTGCTATTGTTAAAACTTTATGGTGTATGTAATCACATAAAAAAAAGAAAACAACAACCCGTTTTTAATTCGGCTTCTAAAATATTATGTCAACATAAAAATAATCTACTGTAAGTCATGTTAATTAATATTTTTCGTACAAGTAATGAAGTAAATAATGCACGTTGATAATAATTCACAATTCTAGATTCGCAATAAACGGTCTCCTAAATTATTATAGATCAGTCGTATATATATATATATTGAAAGTGATTTAAAAAATAATAATAATTTTTATTATTCAAAAATGGAGAAATAATTATTAGTATCAATTGATATCATATTTTAAGTGTTTGGTTAAATTTAATTAAGAATATTATGTTATGTTTATGTGATATTTTGCGTTTACATATTTTATGTACTTTACGTATTTTAAACAGTTGTTACTCATGTTCAAGTTGATTAAAAATTTAAATTATTAACAATTACCTCAAAACTTTAAATTTTAGTTCATGAAACTTATTTTACATTTTAAAATTAATTTTTAATAATTTATTTTGTAATAATTCTTTTTTTCTAGAAGGTTAAATTTTGTTTTTCTATACACAATCTATAGAGGTAAATTATTACAATTTATTTAAAACATTTAAAATAAAAAATTATTATAGAATAATTTTACAATTAAAAATAAATAGTGTTGAAAAAAATTTGCAAACAATGCATATGCAGCTGAGACCAAAATAAATACATAATCAGTTCTGCATTTTGACGAAGAAGAGTTTTTTTTACTCTTGTTTTAGTTGAACATGAGTTTTATTGTTTATTTATATTTGTTGTTACATTTTTTAATGTATTTAATTTTCTAGTGTAAATTATTCACATATATTTGCTTTTTATTTTAATTAGGCAAAAAAAAATACAATAATTAGGTCAATAACAAATAACTTTAATATTGTTTTTGTCAGTTATGTATTTTCATTTTTATATTATTTATCTTGAATTTATTATAAGCATAATTTATTATAATATAAAATTTTTGTTTTGAAATAAAAAAAAAGAACATATTTTTATGTACCATTGTTTTATTATTTAATTTATTGTTTAAAACAATGAAGACTTAAAGTGTGAAAGAGGTAAGTTAAAAATATTTTTATAAATTTATTAATAAAAAAAATTGAAATTATAGTGAGCATAATTTATTGTAGTATAAATTTTGGGTTTGGAAATAAAAAAAGAACATATTTTTATTTACCATTGTTTTATTTTTTAATTTTAAAAAAAGTTTTTTTTTATTACAAAAAATTTAAATTCTTGAATTTATAATAAACATAATTTATTATTTATTTTACTTTTTTATTATAATATAAAATTTGGAAAGATATTTTTATTTACCATTGTTTTATTTTTTAATTCATATTTTCCAAAGAGAAGATTTAGTGTAAAAGATTTTTATAAATAAATTTATTAGATATTTAAAAAAATGAAATATACGTTATTAAAGGTGTTAATTTATTTCCCTACATTAACAAGAATAAAAAATTTTACTATTTTTCCAATATTTTGGATTTTTGAAAAATTACAATTTTTTCCAACATCGCTGCTACGAATTTTTATTGTTTGAAATTTTACGGGTCAATTTTAAATGACATTTTATCAGAATTTATATTAAATATTTAGTTATAAAATAAATTTCAAATAAAAGATTTGGGTTAAAATTTATAGTACACAAGTTTAAAATTAAAAAATACTTTGATAAGAGTTTATTAATTTAAAAATCTATGGTATGAAAACAGTGAACGAAACCCTTTAATAAAATGAAAAATATAACATGATGTTTATTAATATTATCCACGAAGTAGTATTTTTTTTTTTATACTACTTCGTGATATTATCACTAATTTTATTATTCAGATTTAATGTACAAAAAAAGTTGCTTTTAAAATATAATTATTTAACAATTTCTTCATATTTGTAAAATTTACAATGAATAAAGCAAATTTTTTGAGGTTATTTTTCTAGAAAGTAAAATATTAACATATAAAATTTTGTGTCAACTGTATCAGTTTCTAAATATTGTATATATTAATTAATTTACTAGTGATATTTAATTAAATATTATTATTTCTATATAGTTATTATCGTTTTTAATAGCAGGTGTCGTTCACTGTCAGGGTGTCGCGGTCACTGTACCTTTTACCCTATCAGTAAAGTAAATTTCGATGTATTAAAATTTCATTGGACACAAGTTTAATATTACTTTTTCGCAAATTTACATTTTTGAAGAGGATAGCAAGTCAAGTTTTTATAAAAATCTTTATTGCGGTAATAACGACAAATTTTTTTTTTTTTTTTTATTTAAAAATAGTTTTAATAATTTCAAATTGCCGGGTTTTGTTAGTATAACCTACCCTGACTGACATTTCGCGGTACGCACGCCGCACACGCACATTAATGTGATATATATGTTATCAGAGAATATAATGTATATCAATATATGAATTGGAGCAATAAAGTGTTGTAGTTTTTTTTTTAATTCCTCCTTTAAATTAATCCTGTAAGATAACTATAAAGATAATCAAGTTAATTTAAAAAAACTCGATAAAAAATAAAATTGTGATCTTTGATCGTCGATGGTGAATCCAGAGCGACTTTTAAAGTCTTAGTTTGCCTCGCCGATAAGACTATAACCTCACTTTGAAGGTGATTGAAGAAAAAGAACAAAATTAATACTGTATAAAAATAAAAGCATGGAGGGGACCAGAGAAACGGTGATTGTAAAAGAAAAAGAAAATGAGAAACCAGTTTTGCTTAGAAATGTGAAAGTGATTGTAAAGGTGAGAGGGGACCACTACTATCCCTCCATTGGAAATGTCAACGTGTCTTGTTCGTACCACAACAATCTGTAATATCAGTATTCTCGTCGGTTACTGCGAATCGTGAAGACTCCTTGACTTTGCGGAAATTCGTTGATAAATTTAGATAACAATCGATAATAAATATTACAATTTTTTTTTTTATTTTTATCGTGTAACAATAAACGTAATTTTTTTACACAATCATGGAAGTGAATTGTTTAAAAGAAAAACTTGAAAAATTTAATCAAGTACATTTACTTCGTTTTTGGGATAAAATTTCAGATCAAGAGAAATCAACTCTTTTTAAAGATATTTTAGAATTGGACCTACCGGAGGTCACGTCTTATTTTGCAAAATCATTAATTTCAATAAAAGCAAATCGTGAAAATTTAGATTCAAAAATAAAACCAATACCAGAAAATGTTTTTGAATCTGTATGTTCATCAACAAAAGAAAAATTAGAACAATACGAATTGACAGGATTAAAGGAAATTTCCGAAGGTCGAGTCGCTATACTTTTATTGGCTGGAGGTCAAGGTACTCGACTTGGTGTAAATTATCCCAAGGGAATGTATGATGTTGGACTTCCTTCACACAGCACTCTATTTCGTTTGCAAGCTTTAAGAATTCGTAAACTACAAGAACTTGCTGAAGAAAAATTCAAAAAACATGGTCATATTACATGGTACGCGGGAAAAATTATAATTTAGAATTTTATTTTAAGTTTATTCCAATAGAAAGTTCAGTGAGAGTATTAACATTTCTTTTTTTTTTTTGATACCCTTTTAAATGTCAAGATCATTCCAAAAAAAAATAGAAAGTGATTTTCTCATAAAATTGAGAATAATATTACAATATTTTTGTATGAATAGATTATAAAAATTTGATTGCAACAAAATTATTATTATTTATGACAACATATGGAAATTTTAATTAAGACAAAATTAGGTACATGAAAAATCATTGTATTTTACTTTCTCTTAAATATTTCATAATATTTGAAAAGAAATTTGAACTTTCCATTAAATGTGATAGTAACATAAATATAAAAACTTGTCTGTCTTATCAATTTCGTTCTAAAGATTTATTTTTTTATTATCATTAAATTGAAGTGTTTTTAAACATATTTTCTTAATACAATGTAAGCAATCAAATATTATTATTGGTCTCATAAATTGAAACTATTTATCAGAGTGGTCACTTAAATTTGCGAACAAAATTCAAAGTTTTTTCACGGATTTTATTTTCGATTAAAAAAAAAAATGTTCAGGTTTTTTAAAATTGAAATTTTATTACATAATTTTAAATTAAAAAATGATAATCATTTTGTTTAATATCGTTTCAAAATTATAAATTTTTTTTTAAAATGTGTATTTTTAAACTTTAAAAATTGAATTTAAAACCCTAAGATTTGACTTGAAATATAAAAAAAATCTTTCTTATGGCCTACATAACAATAAGCGTAAAAAAAATTAAAATTATTTTTAATATTTAAAAAATTCAACTATTGACAAAATTTTTTAACAAAAATACATGAGCCAAAAGTTTTAAACGTTCAAATAAACGAAATTTTTTTTGCAACTTCTTTAAGTACGAATTTTATTACAAAATATTGTTTTAAATATCTAAAAAGTAGTTATTAATTTTATAATTGTTTAATTCAATGTTTCATTTTACATTGCCATTATAATTTTTAATAATTTATAGATTTAAAAAAATATTTGTTCATTTGAACGTTCAAAACTTTTGGCTCGTCAAAAATACTCTAGTTTCTATTTAAAAAAAATTAAGTTGCATTGTTAATTGTGACGTAAATTATTTTTTAAAAAAATCAAAATTTTATCCAAAAATTTCGAAAGCAAATATTGTAAACGATTTTAAAGATTCCAAATTATCAAAAAATGTTATAATAAATTTTTGGGGAAAATTTTATTCAGCAAAATTATTTAAGCACAATTTTTACTTTATCAAAAATTCTAATTTGAAAATTTTGAAAATTAAAAAATCCTATCTGATTTTTTTGATCAGACATTATTAATTATTTTGGGAAAAGCTTATAAAGAAAGAAGAAAGATAATTTTTTAATGATTTTTAAAAAGAAAATGTTGATTTTTCAGAAAAAACAATTTTCATCTATTTTGTAAAAAAAATTAATAGTTTAAAAAAATGTCACAGAAAATTTTTTTTAGAGCATTCCTAGTACTGTTTGGCACAATTTTTAAATTCGTATTTTTCAGTCAATCAATTATAAAATTTGTTTTCAAAAATTTTTATTTTTTTATTTAAAAAAAAAAAAAAACGCTTTATTTCGAGGTAGACCAAAAATTTAGGAGAATTCATCACAAGTTTCAATTTAAAAAAAAATAAAAATGCGAATTTTTTTTAAAAAAATTTGAAGGTTGAATTAAAAATTCAAATGGAATTCACGGTTTTTTCGAGGCGTAACTAAATTCACGTTGTTTTTCCGGTTTTCAAGGATTCCAGGTTCAATGGCCACCCTGATTATAAATATTTTTATTTATTTTTTAAAACGCAGATTTTGGAGCGCATCTTTTTGGAGATATAATATTTTTAGAGCGCATGATTATCTCATAAAAATCATTAATCAGAATTTTTATTTTAAAGAATTTTATTAGAAATAATAATTTTTTTCTTACTAATTTTCATTTTTCGAATTAACATTTGACAGAATTTCTTTTTATACGAATTATTATTTAACAAAATTAACCGAATTTTTATATCGCTGATTTTTTATTTTATAATTATTTAATTTACATGATTTTTTATTTAAAAGAATTTTAATTAAACAGAATTCTCATTCAATCGAATTTTTAAATGATAGAAATTTCAATTTTCCGAATTTTCATTTGTTCGAAATTACAAATGCCCGAACAAAAAATCGACAAAAAGATTCGAGCGGAATTTTTAAAATTGACCAATTAGAAATTATCAAAGAAAATTGTGATTGGTCAATTTTAAAAAATTGCACCGAAATCTTTTTTTCGATTGTTTATTCGGACATTTTTGTAATTTCGGACAAATGAAAATTCGTTTTAAATATTCTATCAAATAAAAATTCGGACAAATGAAAATTCGGTAAATTGAAGTTTCTGTCATTTAAAAATTAGAATCACATAAAATTCGATTGAATGAGAATTCTATTAAATTAAAATTCTCTTTTAAAAAAAAATCATGTAAATTAAATGACTATAAAATAAAAAATTCTGCCAAACATAAATTTGGTAGTTAAAAATTTTGTTAAGTAAAAAATTCGTATAAATAGAAATTCCGTCAAATGCTAATTCAAAAAATGAAAATTCGTCTAAAATATAATTTTTAAAAAAATTTGTTTAAAATGAAAATTTTAATTAATAATTTTTATGGAATAATTAATTAATTATGCTTCTCACTTTTTTTTACATAAAGAATAATATAATTTTAGGTATATTATGACAAGTGAAGCAACTCACGAAACAACTTTATTATATTTTGAAAAAAATGATTATTTTGGATTAAAGAAAGAAAATATAAAAGCATTTAAACAAGAGATGCTACCCTGTTTTACTTTTGATGGTAAAATAATATTGGATGAAAAATGTCACATATCAAAAGCACCAGATGGAAATGGAGGACTTTATCGTGCATTAAAAATTCAAGGCGTATTGGATAATATGAAGAAGCGCGGAATAAATAGTGTACATGTATTTTCAGTAGACAATATTCTTGTTAAAATTGCTGATCCAATCTTTCTTGGATTTTGTTTATCAAGATCTGCGGATTGTGGAGTTAAAGTTGTACCAAAACGTTCGCCAAACGAAGCAGTGGGCGTTGTTTGTCAGGTACTTGATAAATTAAATTCTTTTTTTTTTTGGCAAATAAAGAATTAATATTTAAAAGAAAAAAATTTTTTATTCCTCAGGTAGAGGGACAATATCGTGTTGTTGAGTACAGTGAAATAACTTCAAAGACAGCTGAATTGAGAAACAATGATGGAGAATTAGTATTTAATGCTGGCAATATTTGTAATCATTATTTTACATTAGATTTTTTGTGTGCTGTTGGTAATGAACACGAGGGGGAACTTGATTTGCATGTTGCAAAAAAGAAGATTCCCTATATTAATGAGAATGGAATAAAAATAATTCCCAATTCTCCAAATGGAATTAAAGTTGAAAAATTTGTCTTTGATGTTTTTAAGTTTGCAAAAAATTTCGCAGTTTGGGAAACAATTCGAGAATGTGAATTTAGTGCTTTAAAAAATCCAGATGTCGCTGGATTTGATTGTCCATCAACTGTTCGTAAAGATTTAATGTCATTACAGAAAAAATGGCTAATTAATGCTGGTGCAATTTCCGTTAATGGAGACGTTGAAATTTCTCCTCTTTTATCATATGCAGGTGAAAATTTAGAAAAAATGGCTAAAGGAAAACATATTCATGGTCCAGTTGTTCTTTCCTCACATTTGTAAATATAGTTTTATTAAAAAATTTTAATAATAGATTTTACCATAATTTTAAAATGCTTCTAACATTGTTCTAAATTTACTTTTATTCTTTTTGTGAAGACAATAAAAAAAAAAAAAACGAAATTAGAAGCACTTGTGCCTTGAGCAATATTTATATCAGTGTACAAGATTAAAACATTCCAAGAACTGAACAGTCTATAGAATGATAACGATATTAATTTAATTATATATTGATTGTGATCATTTAGATTTTCATTCCCCCTGAATATTAATTTTTAAAAAATTTTAAAATAACTTTCGAGTGGTCAATTATGTAAAACAATTTTAAGTGTAATTAAAATGAATTTTATTATTTTGTAAAAATTAAACCATTTAAAATGTATGTCTCTAGTTCTAAATAAAATTAATTAAAAAAATGAAATATTTATGAATTATATCTAATTATAGTTTTCTTTATTTTATTCAAATATTTAACAAAAAATTGTAAAAAAAATGTATGTACAATTTAATATTTCGAAAACTAATTAATTAATTAAAAATTAATTTTTTGTTTTAAAATTAAAATAAATTATGAAAAGAAAATTAATGGAACACGTACATAGTATCCGTGGGACTAATAAGCTCATATTTATCTGTAGAACCTCCAATTGTTTGTAATTCTCCCACGAGTTCTTTTGGATCAATCTTCCTGGAAATTATCAAAGTTCTTTGTGTTTTTGGCCCGTAACTCTGTGATTTTAATCCCATTTGTTTGGCAACTCTAAAAATAAATAAAATTATAATTAAATAATATATTTATGAACAACATTTGTTTTGCTTTGCGTTTTATATTACTTACTGATGAACAATTGCTCGTTCTTCATTTGTGAAATCAGATGAAAACACTAAATCTTCTTTCATGTCACCTTTCATATAATCACGTAATACTTGATAACATTTTTTCTTAAGAACTTTCAAATTAGAATTATCTGGATGCAATCCCAATCCACTTTTACTTAGTTGCTGTTTCACTCTATGGTAAAGAGATTAATTTTCTTTTTTTTTTCATTTCATTTATATATATAAAAAAAAGAAATTTCTTGCGTAATAAAATTGGAACTTACGTGACTGGTTCAACGATTCCTTGTTCTTTTTTTCCGAGACCACCTCCTGACCAACCCATCAATTTCATTAATTTTTGTCCAATATTGTCTTCAGCCAATTCTGAAGATGAATTTCCTTCTACACCTCTAAGTTCGTTACTTGTTACTGATTCTTTTTTCATTGCTTTTTTCACTTTTATTGTATAATAATATTTCATTAAAACTTTTAAACCAGAACTTGCAGCTTCTTTCTTTGCCAATTTTTGATTTTGTCCTGAACCTTCTGAAAGCTTTTTGGAATTTATAAAAATAGTGCATTTACTGGAAATAAAAAAGAAAGTTTTCAATAATTAATTTATTTCCTCTTAATTTTCTTTTTGTCATGTAATTTTATAGAGACAGGAACTTTATGTTTATGATAAACGATTTTTTAAGAAATAATTTTTTAAAATGAAAAATTCTATTATTTTTTGACTGAAAAATATTTCCTGTAGTTTTTATTAATCAACAAATTATAAACAAAAGTATTTTTTGTTTAGATAAACAATTTTATAATTTTCCGTGTTAAATAAATTTTTATTTCTAATCGTTGATCATAAATGTTGCGTACTTAAGCATCGTAAAGATTAGAAGTTAATTTTATTACAGCAATAAAATTTTAGACGACTTTCACTTGAAAGTTTTAATATTTGAATGCATGAAAAACTTTATAGAAATTTTTTTAAAAAATTTCATTTAGACTTTTGAAATTGATTTGATGTTACGAAAAGATGTAATTAAAGTTTTTAATATCAATTAGGTAATTTAAAAAAAAAAGTAAAATACAAATTTTAATAAAAATAAATAAATTCTCTTGGAATTTAAACTAATGTTTAAAAAACAATATTTTTAAAATATATTTTTTAAAATCAGTAAATTATCAAAGAAATTTATTACAATTTTTTAAAAATGATAAAATTTGCAAGGAGCTTTTAGTTAAAAAAACGTTTATAAATAATACAATAAATATATAATAATAATGTATTATTATAATATTAATATTAAAATTATATAATAATTATTCTATTATTTAAATAATTTAATTTTGAAATATTTGCTATTGAATGTTTTGACATTAGTTTAAATGATTTTAAATTAAGAATTTTAAAAGTAATTCAATTTTTTTAAAAATAATAATAATTTTGGAAGATTTAAAATTGAAATTTTGAGAAATAATTCAATTTCAAAAGATTTCGTGAATTTTCTGACAATAATTAAATTTTACAGAACTAAAAATAATTTATGATAACATTTTTTAAAAGTAATTGAATTTTCAAAGATTTACAATTGATTGAACTTTAAGTAATTTTTAATTTAAAATTTTTGATGATTTCACTAAAAAATTTATTAGAAATTGCAGACAAAAATACAATAATTTGAAAACTTTTTATGTGAAAAATAGTTTCAGATAGTTGAATTTTCGACGAATATGATAAAAATCATTAAAAATAATTGAATTTCAGGAATAGTTTGTTATAATTGAAATTATTAAATTTCAAAAAATTTTAAATGGATAATTTCAGAAATAATTAAATTTTAGAAGCTTTTAATATGAAATTTTCGGAAATAATTGAATTTCAAAAGATTGTGTTAAATTTGAGACAATAATTATAAGGGTTAATTTTTAGTGATTTCTGTTGATGAAGAATTTATTAGAAATCACATACAAGAATTGAATTCCAAAAGTTTTCAATTGAAAAATGCTTTCAGATAATTGAATTTTCGAAAAGTATTCTAAAAATCATTAAAAATAATTCAAATTTTTGCAGAATAATGAAATTTCAAGTGATTTTGAATTAAAAATTTTTGGTAATTTTATTTGCTAATTTTTTTAAAATTATAAACAATTATTAAATTTCATAAAAATTTTAAATTGAAAAATAATTTAAGAAAATTGAATTTGTGAAGAATTTCATTAAAATTATTAAAAATAATTAATTTAGTGAAGAATTTTAATTAAAAATTTGTTAAAAATTAAAAATGAAATAAAGAAGATCTGAAAAAAATCTGCATTGTATACTAAAAAAATTTTTTTTAATGTAAAAAAAAAAATTTTTAAAGTTGCATTTTATTAAAATAAGTCGAAAAAAGTCGTATTTTTGAAAAAAAGTTGGAAAAAGACGTATAATCCGAGGCCTGTATACTTAAATTTTCCATGTATTTTAATGGGAAAATATTTAAATAATTGGATTATGTACCTATTGAAGATCATGATTTTTTGATATAAAAAAATTGAGATTTAAAAGTTTCGACAGTTAATATATAAAAAAAAGGTGAATCTTGAAAAAAAATATTGCTAATTTAGAAAACTTTGAAAAGGTCTTAATTTTTTTTTCAAAAGTTGCTGAACTCTCTTTATTATTTTTTTAAAAATAATATTTAATGGTAGTTAAAATTTTAGATACTTTTTCGTTTTAATAATTTTGAACTTAAGTAAAAATTTCTCAGATGTAAAGCATAATAAAAGTAAAAAAATAAATTTTTTAAAAGCATAATTACAACTTTTTTTAAAAGCATAAATCGTCTTTGTGAAAAGCATAAAGTTCCTGTCTCTATTTGTATAAATATAAATTAATCAAACCTTATTTCTGTATTATTTTTGTCAAATTTAATATCTAAAGCACCTCCACGTGCAGTAACTGCTCTAGATATAATACTTTGAGGTGCATCATCTGGATATTCAAATAAAACAAGATTTCCAAAGGGAGGTAAAATATTACTTTTATGATCGTCGAATTTTGCTTTTTTACAAGGAACCAAATCATCATCATCATTATCATCATCTTGTTCTGATGCGGGAAAATTACTCAAGACAGGTTCCGGCTTATTACTAATTTGTACGTGATCATTAGGTCTTTGTCCTTAAAAAAGAAAAAAATTTACTTTTATCATTAAATTTATAACAAAAAAAAAAGAACGAAACCTTAAACGATTTTTTTATTTTCTTTCTAAAGACATTTAAATTTGTAAACTCACAATTTTTCAAAGTACCTTTGGCTTTGGAACTTGCGGCGTCCGAAGCTTTAACAAAGGTTCTTTGTAATTTCGTTTTTTGTTTTTCTCTGTATTCTTCTGCGACATTATGTGATAATTCTGCTATAAGATCCATTGTTTCTTGTGGATAACTAATTGTGCAAATTTTTATATAAATTTTTGAGAATTTATCAAAACTTATAACAATTCTCGTGATTTTGAGGTTAAAGGCTAATTAAACAAAAAGAAAAATATATATATATCATAAAACTCACCGGCATCCCAAAAATTCTACATTTGTAAAAACTTGAGCTAAACAAACTAATTCATCCTCTGGAAATTTGTCTTTGTGAGCAAGAAGAAATCGTCTTCTTAATTCCCAATGTTCTTCACATTCGTGCTCTTGTTTGTGTTGTTCCACATCCCAGTCTTGTGTAGAACTCATTTTTACAATATATATATTTTTTTTTTTACAGAAAATTATAAACACATATACAGAAAAATTCAATGAAAACTAGATAAAATCACATTCAATTTTTTTGGTGTTAAATGGATGAGTTTTAATAAATTATTTATTAACAAAACATGCGGCTTTATGAACCAGAGACTCAAGACTCAACAGATGAAGCGCCTCTGTCGCACAATTGTAAAATATTGAGACGATTGTTTGTTGTTACCATCGGAGCTGCTACCATTAAAAACTTAATTTTATATTTTTTGGTTGACTTTTTATTAAATTATATAATTATGTACAATTTTTATTCTGATTTTGTAAAATAGTAAAAATTAAGAACAATATCCCTGCTGAAAATAACCAAGTGGATTTCCACTTGGAAATCCACCTAAAAAACCACATGGATATTAATAAATTTTCAGATGGCTTTATGAAACTGGATTTCCATGTGGATTTCCAAATAATTCCGAAAATCCATATGGAATTTGAAAAGCATTCCAAATGCAATTTTTTTCAATCGAAAAACAGAAATGCAACAAATGCTATTTTTGCAAGATCCCATTTCAGGATTTCTTCCAATTTTTTCTTACAAAATTCCATGATATTTCAGTGATTTCCAGGTGATAATTGATAAAATTATAATGATATATTGATACTTACCATAAATGTAAACCAGGTAGGTCATGACGAATTAATAAAATACTGAAAATAAATCATATCTGTAAAACATGAACAGCTTAATATTAAAAAATTTTTTGTCGGTTAAAAAAATGTTTTCTCCTGCATCTCTTTTGCAGAAAATTTTAGCAATATGAAGCACTATAATAATTCTATCAGCAATGGAGTAGGTACCCTATAGGTTACGCCTACAGAAGATGCTGTGTAGAATTATTTGTTATTACCTTATTACTTACTATTATTTATTATTTTTATCAAGTTAATTAAATTAAATTTGCGTCAAAAAGTCTATTAAGACACTCTTTCTAAAATAATGAGAAATGGTGAGTCTACAAGGGTACCAATTACAACTTATATTTCCGCTTTATAATATATTCTAAAATTAAAGTTGTAAAATTTTTACCTGGATTTCCACGTGGATTGATTTAAATCTCCAGATGGATTTTCAAGTAAAATATTCATATTGATTTTTTTAACTTCTTATTAGCTATACTGCTGAAAATAAGGGCAACATTACTGCAATTTTAGGTGATATAAGGGTACATGCAGCACAAATATAAAATTCTATATAAAATTGAAACTAAAAAATGGGCCCTACGTAATAACATTCTTGAGAACTTTATTTATGCCAGTTAAAAAAATTATTTCTATGTTTCGAATATTGTACGCATATTTATTTGAATAATACAATTGTTATATGCAAAACCGACAAAATAGCTCAGATGGTTAAATCCTCTGGCTTTGCGGTCGGGGCGAGCCTGGGTTCGCTCCCCGCCCGTTAGCCTGGGATTTTTTCCGGCAAGTGAGTTATTGTGAGCGAGAGATTTGACGTCGAGGACTTGGTTGTGTAATATTCGAGGCTTCTTGCTTCGAATTTATACATCCAAGACTCGGACATAAATCGGCTGTACTCAGTAGAATTTTTCCGCAATTTTTTTAGCTACTCTGATCAGAAAGGGTCAGGCGAATGCGAGTACTTCGAATAAAAGTCGGCTACGGAACGCAAAGGAGGGAATTATAAAATGTAGTGAGTTGTAAAGTTTCGATAAGTTGAGAGGAAATTGTAAAGACCTCTAAGAGGTATAAAAAATTATAACTATAATTATTTTATGCTTATTTAAATGATATTCAGCTATGTTGAACTTGATAAAAAGTTCTTTTAGATGTACATATTTTACTTTTTTAGGTTGATATATACTAACAGACAAAAGTTTGTGACATAAATATATAATTAATATATAATTAATTAATTTTTGTGATATTTCAAACAGTTTTTGTTGATATTCAAAAAATTAATTGAAAATAAAATTACTTTTTAATTTTTAAATATTCCCTAATGTCACTAACTTCCTAATCGGCCTGTAGCGGTCGTGACTCCTTAAACTGACCAAAAAAGTTATATTTTTCGTAATATTTTTATTTAAAAAATTAATCCGAAAAACCGAAACATTAGGTCTTAAAAGTTTCGTCTAAAACTTTGTCACAACTTATATAAAATATTTTAATTAAAACTGATCAAAAAAGCTTACTTTTAACATTTTTAGATTTTTGAAACATCAATAACAACGCATAGTTACCAGAAAAAATTTTATCCATGGTTCACTCAAACAATTATAGTTGTCCGAACATTTTTTAAAGATATGGTCAAAAAGCTGTTTTAAAAAACAAAATGAAATAAATGAAACATACGTAAAAATATTGTTAGATTTAATGAAGCAAGTGCAAGATATATAGAAATTTCTATGTGAATTTCCACGAGGAAATTCACAAGTATTTCTACGTGGATTTCCACGTTGAAGTTCACATGGTTTTCCACGTGGATTGACTGAAATCATACATACAGAATTCTATGTAAAATTTACATAAATTCAACTGCTTTTTCGACTCTTGATGCACAAGAGTGTAAAATTGGATGGAATTCCATTTGGACCACATAGAACCAGATATTTTCTAAAAATTTTTTATAGTTAGTATTAATATTTTGGAAATATTTCATTGAGAGACTCAGGAAAGTTTGATGAAAGTATGAAATATTCGCTTAAAAGCCAATGTATTTTTTAGAAATATACGGTGAAAACTACAATATTATATTACAATAATTATAGAATTACATTTTGTGAATAAATCAAAGAAAATTATTTTAATTACATTTGTTCCTAATAATATTGTTAAATTCCGCTGTCGAGTTGCGCTGCAGTGTTCATTTAGAAAATCTTTTGTGCTCAGTATGAAGACAGTATAAAGACCTCTCCGAGATTAATTTATTTCTAATTTCACGTTTTTCAAAATTTTCTATTTTCAGTAAGTAATAAATTCTCAATTTTATATCTTAGTGGCTTCGTAAGTAGATACATGGTCAGTAGCGCACTTTCGATATTTATCGCTAACTCTAAAATTTATTGAAGATTATTAGGATGTATAATGAAGTAATATTCTACATTTAAATAAATCAACATTCATTTCAACGCTTAGGGTACCGCCACATTTCGACAGAGAATGAGGCTGGTTGTCTGTTCACCATTAGAGTGAGAGAGACAAACATACATACATCTCTGTTACTCCAATGGTAAACAGACAACCAGCCTGACTGTCTGTCGAGGTATGGCCGTACCCTTAAAGTAATAGCATACCAGGACACTTCAACATAAAATCTTGTGAATTTCCGCATTACTAGTAGAATATAGTTCAAAAAACTGTAATTTTAACTTCCGCATAAAGAAGTCAATTTTAAATAATTTTAGCGAATACGCCTGTCCACATAAATGTATAATTTCTGGAAACAATAATCTAAACAAAAAATGCAGGACTCTTTTTTCAACTTTTTGACCTTGTAAAGTAGTTATTTTTAATACAGGATAGGCGGAGAAATGTTTTAAAAGTATAATTAACTAGAATCCTTTTAAATTTTACAAGATGGGCTTGTACTTATATGGACAACATGACTTTCTTGTTGATTTTACTAGGTTCAACTTCTAAACAATGTCTGTATTTTTAACAAGCGTTGCACATGGCAAATATTAAACTTTTGTATGTAACTCTTTATTTCTTTACACTTTTTCTAAAATTATTATATATCATTTTACACTGTTTACTATATGAGAACAGCTGTCACTAGGAGCAGCCATATTTTGAAAACTTCTAAGTACACCGTTTTTCCGCTAGAGGCGTCATAATCGGAGATATGTAATTTCGGATTTAATTCTCATGCAGAGGGCCTATATGCTTAACAAGCAGTGAGTGCTCCTTATACTACTTCATGATATATGCGATATATGATATAACCTAAAATTCTATTCCTTATTTCAATTGCAAATATTGCAGCTAATTCTTATTTTTAAAACTGCCCCTTCAAAATTTAATCATTTAAGAAGTGATAAAATAGATTTTTATCAATATCTGTCACATTTTTTCTAGTACCATAATTGCCTTTTTTCAGCTACAAGTTTTCCTTTATTTTGACAATCACCCATAAGCCTTTTTTATTTAAAAACATTTTTGAAGTTAACACGTACTCATGTAGAAATCAGCTATATTCTGACAAATTTCGTATATGATCGCTAATATTTTTCTTTTTTTCACATTATTAATGAGCAGAAATGAATAATTTTCAAGTATATTATACTAACATATTTCAGGAACTTATTCTCAAAGTCTTATTTAATTTTATAAACTTAATTTTTAATAAAAGTTAAATAAATTCGAAATTGTTCACAAAATCTCATTAGATATGACAACGCTACATTAAAGTAGCATGTATGTTGAAGCGTGCGAAAATTTAAAAGGACAAGAACAAAAATTTTTAACAAGAATTTTGTAATATAAGTTAAAGACACAAATATTATCAAACGCAATTCAAAGTTAACAGTTGAGTTTGTGACAAATGCAAATAAAATAATTTATTTAATATTTTATTTTCAATTAAATCTTTTTAAAAGGAATTACGATTTGAACTTTAAATTTACATTAAAAACATAAATTTCTCTAAATTTAATTTGATACTGCAAATTTCTCTTAAATAATTTTTACATGAAGAATTTAAGCAGACTGTACACATAACACAACCTCAAAACTAAAAATTGTTTTGAACCATTTTTAACGCGTAAAAAATTATAATAGAAATTAATTGCAAGCAATTTTCGAATTTCTAGTTATACACTTTTTAGAAACATTTTCTACAATTGCCGTATCATTAAAATTTTGTTTTGTGTTTTTATTGTTAATTTTTAAATATTCTTTTGTTATTACTTCTCATTTTTCTCCGCGCAAGAGATTTATTTGTTAAAACGATAACATGAAGAAATAAAGTAACCACGAATTACTTTAAAAATAAAACATATTTGGAAGTGGACATATATAGTCAGAATCTCGTATTGTAAAAAATATGCAAATTTTTTCAATTTCATCCGTATTGATGGAACAAGGATTATAATCAGATGTTTCAACTTTTTTCATAAATGTACAACTGTTTAGGTAAGCGTTTTCCGTTCTAAGTAAGTTGC